TCAATCACAGGCTATCACTAGATCTGTGTCTAGTTAGGAGAAGGTATTACCAGGTCTCCTCCTATCTTTCTCTGCATTGAATTCTGTGGTATATTAACATGCCTCATGAGTGACTGTCAGGGCCCAAATGCGCCAGAGGCTTATTTCAATTGCAGAAGTGGAAGAACCATTCATGATGAAGTCGATCTTGGCAAATCAGAAGCTGAATGCTGGATGCCTAGAGGTTGGTGTTAAAGGGGGTGGAGATAGTCAGGATCAGATAAGGGAGCCAAATACCAGATCATTGGAAGTGTGCTGGATATCAGATATTTGTTTGTCGACTCCCGGGGCTCGGATCTTGGCATGCTTCTCTCAATTTTGGTAGTCAGAACTTGGCATTTGGTGTTCGGTAGGTGGTGATGATGAGGTTCTGATAAGAGAACCTTCCATGATGTTGGCTGTCGAAGATATATTACCATCTGTTGCTCAATGAAATACCAGATGATGGAAGTGTGCTGGATATGAGATATTCATTATCACACCGGGTCTCAGAACCTTGCTTCTTGTACAGCAATGCAACAAGAGTGAACCTGCAGCTGCAGGAACTCATTACGCTTCACCCAAATTAGCTACTCGGTAATCGGTACTACATTGTTTGACAAGTACCCTCGGCATACCCATCTATCTGATATCCACCTACCTTCGTACACCCATCTACATAATATCCAACTACCTTTCGGCCCACTCATCTACTCTACATATTCCACACATGGGCCCACCCACCTCCATCGGAAATTATATCCCTCCCAGCTCATCCGTCAACATTGAGGATATACATCACATTGGCCCATCATCCGCTGGCCCGTCTTATACGGGATGTTATGTAGGTCGGGTGACCCATATAATACGGAGATATGTCACTGTAATATGTGAAGCAGAACCTATTTGGATTCTCTACTAACCAATGCGGCGGCAGCGACCACATCACAATTGCAATGACTGACCTAGTGCACATATGGCAGTCAGTGCATCAAGCTTGTCAGTGAAGCTTCTAATATCCATCGACAAGGATTTTACAACATGTGATATAATAAGCGGCACTTAGATATGGATATGTAGTGCTAAAAGATCAACTGTAGAGTACATAACTTCTATTGCATCGATGATTGTACAAAGTAACAGTAGCCATTACAACATGTAGATATAAATGTAAGCATAGATACAACAATGAACGATTTGTATGGGTGAGCACACACCATGGTCATGAAACGAGAACACATATGATAGGGATTGATCTTGGTATGGATCTCAAGGGGATTCCTCACCATCTGACCCACCCAAACTCAATGCATCATTATCCGGCTCATCACCTGATGGTGTCAGGCTGGAGACATGCAACACACCATGGGTAACACCAATGTCGGTGTCAGCTTTGTGCAGTCTCTGCTGTGTCTGTATTTCCACCAGACTGTAAAGTTCCTTTTCAATATTGATATGTCTCAGGTGCCTCTGAATAAGTTTATACTCTGCCCAGTGTTCTGAGCGTTTAGCGCTGACGAGAGCAATAGTGAGGTCGCTATCACAATGCATACCCCAGAATGGAGGAAGACAAAGAGCATCCACCTGATTCATTAATATCAGTTGCACAATAACAATGAAATCTAGCAATAGTACTCACAGACGAAGGCTCCTTCAAGTCGGATTGATGGAAGACAGTTGGAGAAGGGTATGCATCTCAAGGTTGTTGGTTTGATACACAGCTGCACCAGGTAATGCAATCATCATGATTGCCCTCAAGAGTTGGTTTAAAGTTACGTGGGCCATTAAACCTAGGGGGTGATGAAGAGTCAAGAGGAGGTGGAGGTGTAGAAGACATTGTTTAGGTCAGCCAACTATGGTTGAATTCGTTGAAAAGTAAAGTGAATTAGTGCATTCAGTCAAGTTTAAGTAGTTGAATTTCGGGTTGTTCTGAAGATGAAATCAGGTATCTGCATGCCCAAGTACTGCCACTATCAAAGGCAAGCTTGTGAAGTCTGGTCTGCTATATCGCCCTCTTGTGTACAATAAGCCTTTGTTGGATGCTCGCTGGGAAGCTGTGTTTTCTTGCCATGAACTTGGAGGTAGAAATCATTTCACCAGGATATCATACTGTGCATTCCATAGATTCCATACTGTAGATGAGTCCACAAATTCAATTATTTATTCACATGAATCTAAATACAGATTCACAAATTCATTACTTGGACTTGACTTGAACAGAAATAAAATACATTCATAGCTGCAAGTTCAATTTGTGCTCGCATAAAGATTCAGAAGTCAAGCAAGTAATTTCCATTGGTAAAGTATTTGTCATCTGCTGCCAGGCTATGCACACAGACTCCGCATTGAGGAGCTGAAGAAAGCCGGTTTGGGCAGATTTTCTTTGAAGACCAAAACACCTGCAGAGGCTAAGGCACTTATCCAGCATCTTACCAACATGACAGGTTGGGAAAGTGATGTCACATCCATTGCTTTTATGTTTGACAACAACAATGTATTTTTTTGCTTGTCACAATCATCTGATTACAGGGTTAACCTCTAATGTTCCAGAACCCATACCGCAATAAGGCACTGTTGGTAAACCTTGCGCATTGGATTATGCGACCCATCAATGGGCGTCCAGAGTCACTTCTTACTCTCTTTCCCAAGTCCTACATGTCCCTTCCAAAACACCTCATTGCTAGAATATGTAGTCTGGTACATCATGTCTATGTTTCAGAACTCAGAACTCATAGTTTTCAACAGACTATCGCATTCTTTAGGACATATCTTAGTGACCACAACCTCTCATTTACCCATGCCCTGGATGAGGAACACTGTTGTCAGCTGCACTTTCTTACTATGGCTTGCTTGGGCACTGACAAGCAATCCATGGCACTGGAACATTGGCTTACCACATGTAGCGGCCCTGACAGCTGGGAAACAACACTGTAAGTCAACTCAGTTCAGTTTTTCTCACACTCAATCTCATGTGCACAGTGAACAGGCATTGAGGCAACACAATGCACTACGAGGCCTGTCCAGGAGATAAAGGTTTTCATGTATCGAAGATCAAGTTGAAGTGATGTATTATCATACTTCCAGTTGCATGTAGATATTCCTTGTAGTACAACAATAGATTGTTTTTCTGCACAGTGATGTTAATAGGTGATCGTGAAGTTTCAGACGGCTGTTGGAAGAATTCGCTTCCATTAGTAATAACCTTATCAGTGAGTTGTTGATTTATGCTCAGGCTCCTGCCACAGCACTGCATGATGATAGATTGAGATCGCAGACCACCGCCATCTCTGCTGAAGAGGTGTGTTTCAGATTAAAACAGTCACGTAGCTTACTTATGGCTTATCAAAATTTTACTGTCTATTTCTGCCATTCTACCACAATATTCAATTTTTACATCGCAACACTACAGCTTGCTTTCATCGTGCCTGTTGTGCACTTTCTTTTGGGTGAGTCATGTATTTAGGACTTATACTGTTAATTTTGTGCTATTCCCTTGTGCCTTGGATACAGCCTTGACAAACACATTTTCTGCTGTTGTCATGGTATCACTTATCATATCCTAGTTCTCAACTACTAATCTTTCTCTCCTCCCTCACATCGTCATCCCCAGAATGTTGATGATGCATCTCTTCTTTGAATAGACTATTACTTCCTGGATGGTCATGGAACTATGACATTATAACCCTGAAACCCTGAGGACCCATGGAATGACATCATTGATCTGGACGAGGTTGTCATCATCACTGGATTCATCGAGGTCGGTCCTTGGGGTAGTTCACATACTCATTGGGAAACAGGGGCACGAGAAGAGTTCATGACTGAGGAAGATGACCTGGCTCATAGGTTACATCAAGCACTTTGATGGGCATCCCGGGGACGGTTCACTGTATGTTGGCTGGGTTAATTCTAAGACTGGCGAGTCTATCGACATTGCGAGGAGATTTCAAGTCATGCTGGTGTATGGTTTATTGGTGAGTCACATCTCAACTTTTATTGGTCAGTTATAAATCTCCCAGTTTCTCACACACCCAGTTGTTCAAACCCTCTATACACCCCCCATTATTGTGCGCTCGCTGCCTTTTACCTCTTCCTTGTGTTATAGCATGTTTTGGTCGCTCTCAATATCAGCATCATTTATACAAACTCATATCTGCTTTCTACTCCACACTCACTCATTTCAATTGCTCATTCGTGCTTGTTTGCATTAATTTCAACTCGTTTGTTGTCTTTTTAACTCATTTGCACTGGTATTGACCCATTTGCACTCATTTGCACTCATTTGCACTTGTATCAACTCATTCTTGCTCGCACTCATTCTTTCGACATGTTTGCACTCATCTAGATCTTATCTGGGCCTGTACACATTTGTTCCTGCTGGTACCATTTGTTCTTACCCGTACGTTCCCGCTTTCACTTGTGCATGTTCCGTTCTTGTCATTCTCACTGATATGTGTTTGTTTTCACTTGTACAGGTTTGTTCTTCATTGTCCATGTTCATTCTTGCCTGCTGCACTCTTTCTCACCTGCACATGTTCAATCTTAAAAATGAATGATCATTCTCATGTTTCTGCAGGCACTCAATGCTTTAGTGAACACTGGAGATGCTGTTCTGGTGGATTATCCAGTGTATGCATGAGTTAAGATAGTCTGAAGAGAGGTCCACAGTTTACTGATCTCGGTTTGTATATTTAGTGGTACCATCCCAGTATTTGAAATCCTGCACTGCAAGCAGATCGGTCGGTTGTATTCTGGTTTTAATCTTCTCATGCTAAGTCAATTTTAGAGGTGGAAACAGATGCAAATGGGGTGTGTTCTCATTTGTTATGCAATATTTTAGAGACTTAGCCTGTCAGAAAGCCAAAGCCAAAGATCTTATACACGGTGCAACCTCGCAAAACCACCCCCCCCCCCTTCACCATATCTCATGTATGCATCGCTGTCTTTGTTGTTTTCTATTGCTATTAGGATCTGTACTGTAGATAAGTAATGTTAATTAATTGTTGTGGATGCCCCAGTTTGCAATTTGCACCCACCTTGCCCGACAACATATTATCATCAAACAACTCACTGGCAAATGATTGACCATTGTCGGTCAATTTTGCTTGTCTGACATCCACTTACAGGGTATTATTTAGTCTGGCTATTACTCAACTAGTTGACAAAGATTTGATCACCTTCTGCCAATGCCGCACTGGTGTGACAACCAGTTATGATTTATTATCAAATCTGACTATCAATTGACTAGTTGATACAGACTTGATCATCCTCTATCAGTCAGGCACTTCCCTAGCAACACATTATCATATATTATAAATTTTGACCGACACTCTGCTAACTGACGAAGGATTCTAAACTCCGCCTAGTCATACCACTAACTCCCAATTTCCTGATGACTGCAACCATGGTCTTGGGCCAATTGGTTTGAAAATTCTTCAAGACTACATGTAGCTACTACCACACAACAGAACTCCCTCATGAGTATGCCGTGCATGGACGTCAAGAGGCTGCATTAACAGCAAAGCAGCTTTCATCTTCAGGTAAAGGGAAGCAAAAGTCTGGTCCCAAGTTCAAGGCCCTCAATTTGTTGACATACAAGTTCCATGCTCTCGGACATTATCCTAATACAATTCGATGTTCTGGTACTACAGACAGTTGTTCTACACAGCTGGTAAGATTATCTCAAATTGAACTCTCGAATATCTGACATCCTATTTTCAGGGAGAACTCGAACACCAGCGAGCTAAGCACTGGTACCCTAGGACAGCCAATAATAAGAAGACCATGGTCACTACAATGACCCACCTCGAAGCCCGTGAACAGGTTATTGCACAGATTGTCCAACAATGTGAGGAATTACTCAAGGCACCCAGCGTACCATGTGAACGTACTTCACCCGCTGCGCACTATCATATTTCCAAATATCCTAAAGCATCATATGATGCGACTGGATGGCTCAGCGACCTGGCAGAAGACCCTGCAGTCAAAGTAGTAAGTAGTTCATTCAAGTATTTTTCGATCTATTCATATGGTGTCATAGGACTTCATTCTGAGATTAAAAAACCATCTATTGGCAAGATTACATGGTCTTGAGTACTCTGGAGACAAGGATGAATTCTCTGATGAAGACAGGAGCCAGGTGATTCTCACTAACAATCAGCTCTACAAACACAGTATCCTGCACATCAACTATACGACCTATGACCTTTGCCGAGAGCAAGATTCGATGAATCCACAAAATCACGCTGACATCATGATGTTGTCATATGAGGATGACGAGGACCGACACCCCTGTTGGTATGCTCGTATTATCAAGGTTTTCCATGTCAATGTGTGGTACTATGGTCCCGGTAGTTCTCAAGCAGCACCTACTCGCATGCATGTGTTGTTTGTGCGTTGGTTCAGACGAGATCTTGTTGCCTTCAAAGCTGGGTGGTCTGCCAAATGACTCCATCGCATTGGGTTTTTTAGTCGAGATGATCCTGACGGCTTTGGTTTCGTCGATCCCGATCAAGTGATCCGGGGGGTTCATTTAATTTCTGGATTCGCATATGGACAGACTGACACTCGACTCGGTCGAGAGCAGCAAGATCATGTTCGAAGAGACGATTGGTTCCGACTTGACCCTTGATCAAGCTGTTCTCCTTGTAGCCCGTGCCAATAGACCCGCGTAGAACCGACTTAAACTCTGCGTTCAACTTCTGCGCGTGCCCTACCCCGCGCCAAACTAGAGCCGTCTTTGGCATGCCCCCATCCCGTTCGATGAAACCTGGACAATATGTAGCACGAGAAACCTCGAGATAGCAATTATACGTACCAACGCCTATATCCTCCTTGTATGGGTGCGTTGTTCGTACATTGAATATTTTTCTTCGGCACCAAGGGGTCGGTTTCGGGATCCTAGACTTGTCTCGCAAACGGATACTGATAAGGCCAGTAGGCGTACTTGCGCAAAAACGGTATAAGTCGTTCTTCTTGGTTAAAGTGGTAGATTGCCCAATTTAACTAGCAGTCCATGAAACCTTCGGCAAATCCGTGAATCCATCCGAGTCTCACCTGGATAGGAACCTCAGTCGAAGCACTTTGGATGACATCACTAGAAACAGATGTGATATTCACCCACCTTCGGCCCCAAATTTCCTGACCCTATTCGAAAAGTTACTAATCAGCGAGAGAGCAGAACAACAAAGACGGGACAGCGACTCTGTATCCGTCAAGATCGAATCTGGAAACTAGAAACGGAGAGCCTTTTTCAGGTCAAGTTCATCATGCTTCACAAACAGCTTAACATTGTTTTAGAGCCCGTCCGTCGACGTACGAAATGATTCTTTTGACGCGTTAATATTCGCCACTGTAAAGGGTACAAGTGACATGCAGAATTCCATAGCGATTTACGAGACTTCGAACCATTATCCCGTTTGATGAGATCTGGTCATTGTTCGGAGTAAAGTTATGAAGTAGTAAGGAAGGGTCACATTGCAACCCGACCTGGTTTTTATTCGACTTCTGCGGTGTTGAGCGCTCCAAACGTCAAAATGGGATAAGACAGGATGCGATAATCGGTCCTCGGACGTGATGAAACCAAAACATCCACGTGATCGCTACCCCCGGGCCCTTTAAACTGCAACTCCCGGAACTAGGACTATTACTCGCACGCGCCGCCGACCACACCACTTCCTCGTGTCAGATGAGTCACCTCGATTCACCCACTTAATATTTCTTTGTATAAAATATGTCTGTAATCCATCATGCTAAAGAATCAAATATCTTCTTCTGAACGCGAGCAAATTCGAATTCGAATCGGCCGTGCAGGGAAACCAGCTTTTGGATTTTCGACACCGAGACACATTTGACGATCTGTTCTGAGAATTATGTACCGCCACATCCCCATGCATCGATTCGGAACTCTCTTAACACCGGTTGTGGATATCCCAGTGGGTCAACGTCGTGTACAGGATAACCTCAACAACGTTACTACAAACAACAACGTTTAACAGATCCCCTCAAACCAAAGTCTCGTACAATGCTACCGAGCCCTGTCAAACCTGTAACGGATCCTTGTATGTCACTTGTACCCTTTATGGCAGTGGCGAATAATGTGTCAAAAGAATCATTTCTTACGTCGACGGGCGAGTATTGTGAAAGTGATCAGCTGTTTGCAAAGCATGCCGAACTTGAATCGAGAACGGCCCTCCGATTCCAGCTTCCACATTCGATTCCTACGGATACAGGGCCGCAGTCCTTCCGGAGAGGGGTATATAAGTCGTGTCAACTCAGCCACAGGCCATACACGACTGAACACTAACTTCCTCTTACTTTCCATCTCGGGTTCAATACGATATGACTCCGATTGTCACCAACAAGCTCACCTTCATCTCCAGGGACCTCGGCATAGACGTAGAGCTTCTTCTCACCTTCGATGATCAGCCTGTCGTTGGGATGTACAAGGATTATTACCCTTCGGCTTTTGAGTACGTATATCCTTCATATTTTCGTCTTTGTTCCCGCATGCTCACTGAAGGGATTCCCGAACAGGATCAGGAGATTTGGGGCCGAAGGCGGGTGAATATTATTAGTTCTTTGGGCCATCTAAATAAACAGTATGACTAGCAGGGTTTTACTGCGCGGATTTTGCATATCGATCACAGTAAGGAACATTCGACATTTCATGTGGATAGCTAATTTACGATCAACCAGACTTGCGTTCTCCAAGGCTGTTGTTTCTGACGATGTAATCCAAAGTGCCTCCACTGTGGTTCCCATTAATGTGAGAGTCTGATGGAACCATGGATTTGTCGCTGGCTTATGCTCTACTACTTAGGTTGGGCAATATACCATTTTAACCCTGGGAAATGACATATACCATCTCTCCGTAAGTGCGTCTACTTGCCTTCTCAATATCTGTTTGCCAGACAATCCTAGGATCCCAAAACCGACCCCTCAGTGCCGAAGAAAAGTATTCAATGCACAAACAACGCACCATTCAGGGAGGATATAGGCGTTGGTACGTATAATTGCTATCTTCAAATTTCTCGCGCTACATATTGTCCAGGTTTCATCGAACGGGACGGGGGCATGCCAAAGACGGCTCTAGTTTGGCGCGGCATAGGGCATGGGCAGACGTTGAACGCAGAGTTCAAGCCGGTCCTACGCGGGTATATTAATACAGACCTCTACCGTGAGGATGACTTGATCAAGCGCGCAATTCAGCATGACCGCCTTTTCGACAAAGACCTCACTGCTCTCGACAGGCGTACCACGTGGGTCATCACATATGATAAGTCCCAAGGAGTCTTTAGCATCGATGAAGAGATAAAGAGCGAGGTTCAAGAGCTACGATGACCTGTTGAACATTTCGTTTTTATGAACTTCTTTCACATGCTGGCAAGTACACTATCATGTTGGTTTGATGTCGTTATCTTGTTGTAAAGCACAATACACCTCGAGGCAAAGTTTCAGTTGGGGGTATGTAGGTTAAATGTCAAATAAAGGGAGAAAATTTATGCCATGACCTCAAATGAAGATAACAGAAAGATGCGGGAAATTGGAATGCACAAACTCGTTGGAAATCTGTCCGAGCAAATAGTTAGAACAGCATCAACAAACGAAAAAGTCACGCACCAATAGAGTAGCCTTGTACTAGTATATACACTGCAGCGGAAGCAACCAGGGCCTTTTTGACCATGCAAAAGGTACCTCAAAGGGATGACAAATGGACAAATTTATGATGCCTTTCAGGATAATGGATGTGAACCTTAATTTTTTAAAACTCGAGAACTACTGCATAGTGATGTGCCGGGCCTGGCTTGGCCTGAAAGCCATGGCCTGGGCCTGGCTTCAGAGGACTCGGGCCTGGCAAAAACCCAGGCCAGGCCAAAGCCCTCTGGTTGGGCCTGGCCTGGGCTTGGCTTTGGCCCAGGACAGGGCCTCTCAATAAAAATCAAAGAAAATGATGAAAAATGATGTTTATTTATTTGAATACTAGTCAGATGGTATATCAGATAGCTCCAAATCCCAGGCAGTCCTCCCTTGAACACCAGAATCACCTTCCTCACCAACTTCTGGCTCTTCTAATGCTAACTCTAAAGCAGATGAAGGGGGAGGCTCACGAAACATAAGGTCACAATTGTACAACATGTGTAAGACTTGGATAGCCTCCACAATATCACCCTTTAGGCGATTTCGCCGCTTGGTAATAGTTAGAACAGCAGCTGAAAAAGCACGCTCACTAGAGACTGATGTAGCCATGATAGATAAGTAGTCACAGGCAAGAGATGCCCATACTGGGTATTGCTGAGCATTCAACTTCAAGTGTAAATTAGTAGTGTAAGACACAAGGATATAAAATATATTTACATCAGTGAAACACTAAATTTAGCACAGCTACCGTGGCAACTTACAGCATCTTACAGCAGTTGCAGGCACCTGTAGTGATGTACAGTGACCCCATAAACTGTAATGATGACATACAGTACATATAGTAGACTTCTGCAGCGCGACATAGCACCACACAGTGTGCTACAGCGAGCGACTTGAGTAAGTACATTGGCAGCTCTTAACTAAAGTTTGAACATTGAAAACGGCTTGAAACAAACATAAATTCAAAGTATGTACTCCTGCGACTGCTAATACAGTAGATGGGATAGTATCAAGTCAGAACAGTATGATAGTATGTCATGCCAGAAGTATATATAATAATTCTACCAGTTTGAACACTAGCAGGTCAAGGAATCGGACGCCACCTCAGAATCGAGTGTTTGACTCAGCTCTGGGTTGTGCTCACAGATTCTGTATCTACTTCATAGAAAATGTGTCAGTACAAGCGTCGAATAAATTTAACAGAGTTTAATTACCTGCTAATGGCAGTGGCAGAGCCACATTTACTTCCAGGCTGAGCGTGTCACCATCAAGCTGACTTGCAGATTTGCGACAATGTTTTCAAGGCTTACTGGTAGGAAAGTCCTCGAGCAATGTGATGCCGATTTTGCGAACTGAATGACGTACATAACCGATGTTGATATCAGCGTCCTCCAACTTCCTTCCAGCTTCTGTAGCCTCAAACTGGTAGAGTCTCCCAAGCACTATATTCTGCTGGACAACGCAATCTGCGAGTGTCTTCTCCGCAAGGCAAACATTTCGCTGTGCTCGAGTCGCGTTCAAAACAAGCTGGGCCTTAAATTTATCGCTAGACCGGGTGTCGATGGGGTGAGTAGTAGATTCCTGGGCAATAATGTCATTTAGTACTGTAGTAGATAGCGTGTATGGATGCTGTTGAACTTACATTGTCGCTGTCTTCGCAGTTTGAGTCTGACTCTGTTTTTGTTGGGAATATAGGTGATGGGACTTTCTCCACATTCAATCCAATAGTAGAATGTGTGACATTTGGTGTGGTTAAGTGGCGCAATAACACAGGAGATCGATTTCACAGAGCACCAATGGCCCTAGGCGTTTTAATGTGCATCAAGTTAGAATGCAGAACTCCTTGCATAGTGGTACCAGGTACTAGTACAGTAGATGTATGTTGAGCCTCAGAGATGGACAACTTAGATGGAGTGCGATGAATGGATATGTTTACGACTGGTCCTTCTGCGCTTGAGCTGGAGACTGCAGAAAAAGATCCTATTGGATTTGGTGGTACCGGTGCATGTGTTCTGTGAATTTCTGGTGTTGTTAGATAGGTGTGGGGCTCTTGTGAGCACTTTTGATCGGGTGAGATCCTTGTAACTGCTGCATGCTGGGCACTGGAGGACATTGAAGTCGTGCTGTTCAATTTTCCTGCCGGGTCACGCTGAGAGTGAGAGTAATCAAACGTGATGTGACACATGATAGATAGCACCTAGCTAACTAGCATATAGTACAGGAGAAACATCCGCAGTAGTAGTACAAAAAACATGTCAAACTAGCAGCAGTAGGCTAGTAAACTCAAAGACTCGGAGTGTGATGGTAGAATCGGAACAAGCGAAGATCAAAGCTTGAAGTACCGATTGTAAATTGTTAGTGTTAAGAGAAAGTCGAGTCGGGCAACGGACACTTACCCTTGATGAATGACATGACAAGAGCCCACTATTAACGACCATTCCCCTTTCCATTCCCCTTCCCCTTCCCCTTGCTACTTGCATTCACCTGTGCCTCTTTCTTCGGGGTTCCCTTAGACCCTTCACCTTCTGGCTGAAACTTTGATTTCTTCGCTGAGCGCTCAGGCTGCGCATCGAACGATAACCCAGTAGACGAAGAGGCCGACGTCATGCTGGACGAGGTGCAAGTTGTCGGATCAGATGAGGAGGAAGTTGTTGGAATGGATGAGAGTGAAGTAGCATTGGTTGTACTACTGGTAGACTCGGAGCCTGAGGGTTGTTGAATGCCAACATGCATCGACTTGCGTTTGTCGTATTTGTGGTTGCACCAGTCCAAGTAGTGACAATATGCTGTGAGGTAAATTGCGGAGGAGATAGAGTTGAGGGCTGCCCCCCAAGAGGGCTCAAACACGGGATGGGAATCATGTGCACTCTTGACTACAGACGCCTCAAGACCCATGCCCTCCATCAATGATACAATGTACCCCTTCAAACTTTTTGCGGTGTTAGCTAACATGCGTTCAACATCGCCCATCTGCAACGTGGGGTGAAGGGTCTGCGGGGGTGAGTTGAGGCCAGAAATTAGTAGATACTGATAAAGTGAACACATACCTACCCCCTCTGCAAATGTAGAAGCATCCTTGTTGTTGAAATCGAAGTGGCCTTGTAAGCGATCTGAGAAATATTAACCTAAGCTTAAAGGACCCTGATTATCCAAGTCTGTAAATTGAACCCCGAGTCTTGACTTTATTGCTGTCTTGAGGTCTTCAAAAATCTGCTTGTCTTGAAGCTCTGTATCCTTTGGAACTTGATTATGCAAAGAGCTTGAACAGGAGATTTTCTTGAGTTGTACACATGATTAAGGAGGCCCAATCAAATTGGTTGAGGATGGCTTTGGGAGCCAAGACTTTGAACTCTTGGAGAGCTTAGAATAAAGAGTTGCAAGAGCCATGCTAGTGAGATTGCCAGTGACAGGCATTGAGAGAGGGTAGGATAATGATGCAACCAATCATCTCCATTGACTGAAGTTTTAGTCAGCCGAGAGCCACGTGCCTGAGGTGACGCTATACAGCAATACACAGCAGGTCCTCATGCAATATAGGATTGTGCAGTGTCATGCAGCAACACGTAGTGTCATACATTGAGAGTTCTTCAATTGTTAATATAAACTATCATCCTAAACCTAGTGCTTACTAGTATTTGCAATGCAATTGAATCATAGTGACGCAAAAAACTACTTTCGAGATAGCATAGTAGAAGTCTTTGTCGATGTATTTATTTAAAAAGAATGTTTGAGCAAAGTGAGTACTATTTTGTGCAGTTAAACGAGAATCAGCAGCACAACCAAAGCAGGGGATGATGTGAGCAAAAGAACGAAGTTGATCTAGTGGGAGGATATCACCGAAGGGAGTCCCTGCTGATCGCATTGCACATTTTAAAATATGCATCTGTGTCGTGCATTCCAGCAAGCTTCCATGACGCTGAGGCATAACATCGAGGTGCTGAACATAAGTAAGAAACTGTGTGGCTTAAGGGGCACTAGTACTGGTTTTTCCTCGTGGAAGAAGTGGTTGCATGATAAGGTGCACCTCAACAACATCATGGCCTGCAAGTTGCTCGGATGTCAAACTCGGACACAGTACTATACAAATGGACATCTGAGAAACATACATTTAAGCCCACTAGTAGGCCATTGTTCACATCCGGTGTCATCAACAGTGAAAATAGTGGTGTCATAGTGCCCATACTTCCAAGTTGTGCTCAGAGGAGATGCGTTGACTGTGAGAGCAGGAGGAATGATCGATGGGCTGTGGTACGATGCCTGCTGCATGCGTACTTTAAACCAGACCATAAGGTCATTAAATGGAAGAGGTGCATCAGGCAATGCTCTGTGTTGTCCCCTCAGGGAGTGGAAGCTCTGAGCCATACCCTCTCATTGAATATAGTCAGTGAGTGCTCCCCGCAAGTCGGGTAGAGAGAATTTTTCAGTGACGACATCAACTGGTATGCGTTGTATTGAAGGATTGAAATTCAGGTGGATTGCTGTTGCACCGACTACGAATGTGCGGAGAGGTCTGGCTACTTGCATATATGAGGAGACTTGCTTGGCCTTCTTGAAGAAATCGGTCACTACACGCTTTGGCCCCTGGAGATCATCCAAAACTGTTTGCAAGGGTGATTCATCGGCGTGTGGATCTTCATCGTCCGACTCATCATGATGTTCTGAACCGGTGTCTGTTGTTTGGGGAGTAGAAGCTTGTGACTGTGATTGTGAACAAGTAATTATTGATGTGGCAATATGGAAGTTTTGACACTTCTCTCGGTGATCAAGAAACTGGCATATTTGAGCATCATAGTTGATGGAGGAATCTGCAGGATCCTTGATAAGGGTGATGTGAGCGTGCTCTGTGGTGTCTGCAGACCACTGCAAGAGAGAGCCGACTTGACATATACTGGGCTCAACACTCTGCATCAACTCCAGTTTGGGTATATGCCAGTTGTTGAGGACCTGTCCGCTCTTGGCACCTTGGTGTGCGCCGCAAGCAATGATACCTTGCTTGTGTTCATGAAATTCCTTGAGGGCATCGAGGATCTTTTGACAATGCGCTTCGTCAATTGTTGTCGCTTGTGATATGTAGCAGAAGTCCATAAGTGCGCGAACAGCTATGACAACACTATGGGGGGCTGCGTCGGCAATGAGAGGAACAATGTAGTGTTGCATATCACGTTGGGCTCTTCCAGTTACTTGTTTAAGCTTGGAAATGCCATCCTTGAAGTGTCGGAACGTCGTGAGTGGCTGCAAAACGGAGAAATGAAAGTCTAGTTCCTGCTTGCCAACAGCTGCAAGACACCACTTAACATCTTGATCATAGAATTCATGGTGCCAGTGATGCAGGGCTTCAGGAGTGAAAAACACATGCGGATCCGCAAGTGACCAATCACGCCAGAATGGCTGGGCTATGCCACTCAGGCGGAATGGAGCGCATGCATCAAAGTAACCTTCGATGTTGAGGGAGTCACAAGCAATGCTCAAAAGCTGCTCGAGAGTTGTTTTAGCTGTTTGAGGGGAGTGTTGGAAGGCATCTCCGAAATTTTTGTACATAGCCATAGTTACTGGTGAGGTCTTTCCCCGGACACATGTGAGCATGCATGCCTCGGGTGTATCAACAATCTATGAAGCTAAGGGAGTAAAACAGTATCTGAGGTTCCCAAGTGGGTCCGACATCATCCGGCCAATGCGTGCAGCTTGCTTGAGCGGTTCTAGCACAATATCCAGACACTGGTGGACCAAGCGGGCTTCAAGAACACTCTGCATCTGTTTTACCAGATGCAGAAATTCAGCAATTGGAAGCAGCGCTGTTAGGAGGAAAGCATGTGAGGACACCTTGTTTCGAGTTGCCATCTTGATATTGGCAAGGCTGATCAGGAGTGGGTAAGTGACACGTCCACCAGTCATGTTGGTAATGTTGGTCTTATCAGAGGACAATATAACACCTAACAATGTTGCACCATCCGGAAGTTGTGACTACGATGAGGTGTGAGAGTTAGCAAGTTAGAGACAGTTGATAGTAAGGTATGTAATACCTGCATCGACCATGCTGCGTCCCCCATCAACCATTCATTGTAAATTCATGATGTACGTTCCACTGTGTCATATACACATTGCGGTGTGACGTCCATTTCATTAGCAAAGAATGGGTGGCTAAAAAGTGATTCGATGCAATCCAATGGATTGCGCCAGTAAAGATGGAGAGGCTGTTTTGTTGGGTGAGTGGTTGAGACTATGCGGTACTGCCATTTTGGAACAGGAGGTAGCAGCTCAGCACGACCATGCAACTCCTTGGCTGTATAAAAGGAGAGAGAAATTGCTTTAACCTGCAGAGAAATCAGCACTTGTGACAGTAAGATGCCAGCTGACTCAAGATGTACTATTTCAAGCCCCAGGAACTCATCTATGGCGGCCATACTTAATGGTGAGCACAGGAGAAAGCTGCCGAGTTCCCAGTCCTGACGGGACGCAAATGGATAGTAAAGATTGTCTTTGCGATATGCTGTATAGGGATCCATGTTAAACCTATCCTGAAAGGTCTGGCCGCACCGATACACTTTCGCAGCGTTCCTGAAGCGCTCGACGTAAGGCTTCTCCGAAGCTTGGCTGCCCAAAGGCTCTTCAACCGACCCTAGCAGATCACTCTCCAAGCCCACCACACCTCCCTCGTCACCATAGAAATAGCCTGCCGAGTCATTCATGTCCTGAACATACGCTGTTTCCTCACTATCAGTTTGCAATTCAAAGTCCATTTGGAAATTTTGAACAGGGCTTGATGTTCTGTAATGAGGAGATGGGCCGGGAGTTGCATGCTGGTCTGCCAACTGTGAGTCTTGCAAAATTTGCATGGCAGTCTCAAGCTGATCGACCCATCGTAGACAGGATGTGAGAGGCTGGCTCAGGTGTTGTGAAACAGCCCAAGCGCTCTTGAAGTCTTTCAAACAGTTAGGGCAGTTGAGTGTCATTAAGCAGGGAGTCAGGATGGAGGTACTACTAAGTACACTGTGCACTGTAGAAAGCTGATCTCTGCTGGGCTCAGCAGAAATCGTACTACCTAGACAACAATTATTTAGGTAGATCTTAGCACGACCTAGTCTGCTATACTTGCAGAGCAAGTGCATTCGATCCTATAGGGGTTGCTAATTGGTATTAGTAGTAAAAATGTGTCAGTAATACAAATAACAAAATGTCCGATGGTGCGAAACGATGTCCGAAGGTAATCCGATGATGTCCGAAGGTACTTATCCAATGTCCAAAGCCAAAGTGTGATGTCCGAGATTTTGGACTTTCGGACTTCACGATAATAGGTCGGAAACTTTATAACGAGTGTCGGATTGCGAGCGGTATGCACGAGTATAACGAGTGACGGAGTATGACGGTGAACGAATGGTAATATTTTGCAATGCAACTAAGAACTACGAGAATATTCTGGGTGATCCGCAGAGTCAGGAAACGGCTCCTAACTACTGGATGATGATTGCTACGGGTCACTACAGAGTATTTAAGTAAGTACGAAGAAATTCGGAAAACTACAGGTGAAGATAGTAGCGATATATTTCGGGTCCGATGTCCTATGTAATAAGACACGAGGTGCTGCGGACATGTAATAATGCAGTACAAATGTTAGAGAACATGCACGGGAATGACTACGCACCTAGTGAGGCTAGTTCGGATGGACAGGACACGGGATGGACAAGTGCGCGCGAAGTGCGATCGGCCAATGCGATGTCCGAAGGTCCGATGCGCCAGATCCGATACGGAGTGGCTCGGACATGTGCGAAAGTGCGTCAGATATGTGTGCATATGTTTCGGGTGTTGGCGCGAGTATGGAAATACGTGGTTTTGAGCCCAACGCTGCGACCATCGCTACAGCGCACTGCTACACTGCTTAGTATGTAACTCAGTGTGCATGTGCCGACAGTATGATTCGGACTCGGTACCACTTAGTAATTAAGCAGCACCATGGCTGGTAGTACTACCCATGATGCTGTAACCATTTTTTAACCTGCTTTTGAAGGTTCATTTTCTCCATCACCCACCTACTAGTCGTGTGTTGGCAATACCATGGGCCGACAGAGGGGGCAACAAGTCAGAGTCCCGTCCGTTCAAGAATTGGATATCGACAATGAATCAGTGACGTTGGTCCAACCTCCTCATCGCTGTTCCAACCGACCTGGTGCTGGTGCTGGAGGAAGGAATTCTCAGCTAGAGAAGATAGGAAATGCTATTCAGGCTCCAACCAGAGCAGCTGGAAAATCGAAGGTTCAGAACATCGTCCTGTTTGACGAACCTGAAAATGTGATGGCCCCGGTGGCAAAAAGAAGAGGGGAGGAAAAGTTTCTCAGGATAGAAACTTAAGTGCAATAGTAAGTACCCGCTTGGTTGATGTTCATTTCTGTAACTGCACCATCACGGCAGTACCATCAATTCTTGACTATCTCAGTACTAATGTTTGGCATTTAGCAGGAGGCATCTGAGTCAGGCCCTAGTGCTGCAGGTCCTGCACCTGCTCTACACGTCACGGATAAAGGAAGGTTTGGTTTACAGGGTCATCCAGTTCCCTCAACATATGTTGGTTCCAAGCCACTCCAGTCTTACCAAACGGATCCTCAGCCTGACTTAACAATATCTCCTGCCCGGCCCTATACCTCTCAAGGTGCTTCTCGCAGCATCTCTTGTGGTATTTCTTGTGGTGGTTCTTGGCGTGGTGGTTCTCGCCGTGGTTCTTGCAGTGTCTCTTGCGGCGCCTTGCATGGCGCTCCTCATGACCATCAGGCTGCTGAAACCAGGACTCCAGCTGTCCAGCATCCTATTAGTGCTTGTATTGTTCCTCGTAGTGTCTCTCAATCTGTCACCAAACAACGCTCGGGCTCAACTGTTCCTGTTCTCAACACTGCTGTCCAGTGGGAGCCATTAGTGACCATGACCCCCCGCCATACCTTTGCTCACACTGGAACTGAAGAAGGTCGTGAAGAGGCGGACATTGAAGAGGACATTGAAGAGGATGCCGTGTCTAACGAGGGTGGTGATTTTGCGGAAGATGATGATGTTGATAACGAGCTTGAGGGTGAAGATTTCACACAAGACGATGATGCCAATGACCTTATGGAGCACGAGGAGGATTTCTACGAGAGTGACACTGTCATGCACCCCCCACAACACGGTGACCAAACCTATCCTGGCAGCAAGCAAGTTAGACGCCCTATGCAAGCACCTGATCTCAGTCTGTATTCGCAGGATGAGGATTCTGATGGTGCAGGAGTGGCTGGCACGGACTGTGATTATCAGAACAACCGCACCACTAGAAGGACAGCGCCAAAGCGATCAAGTCTTCAGAGTGCTAACAAACAAGTTCCGAGTCATTTGAACGCTCCCGTAGTCGTAAGTACTCACCCATACTATCACCTTGTACTAACATTATTTTCCAGCCGAATATCGATTATGATATCCTCCAGGCCCACCACATGAAAAACCGTCGACCACATTCTCCGTCCCCTACATATTTGAGCAGCATATGGAGCCACCATCCAAAGGCTAAGCGCGCTCGCACAAGAACCTCGCTGTCAAGTGACGACTCCGATCAGCAGGACAACTTGGAGGATCTCAATGAGGTCGATATCGACAATGGGAGGCATCACCGCACCAAGAAAGTGAAGGGTGCTGCTAACAATCGTGATGCAACTAATGTTGGGTTCTACCCCTCACTCTGGCAAAAACTTCTTGACCGTGCGAAGGCTAATTTCAGGCTTTATATCGCTACTTCAGTCCCATTCCCTGACAAAGAGCAATCCATTGGTGGTACCGGAGTCTGTGGTGAAGTGATCACAGAAGCAATCGTACAGTGGCAAGAACAGAAACGCAAACTCGAGAAAGGTATTTTCTCGCATTGCAATGCTACCGCACACTGACACACATACAAAGGTTACTACCCCGAGTTCAAAACGGGGATGGCTACTGTGGTGAGCGCTCCAAGTTGCACTAACTTATGTTTCCATTAACGAGGTCACACGGATTTAGGTCTTTAACAATGCCGCGACATTCCGCAGCAAGATCAAACAAATTGTACTTACTGTTGTTCCAATGGCATATGAACTCGCCCTCAGTGTCAACAGGAACACGATTGAAAGCATCAAACTCAAGGCAACCGGTTTGTTGAAAAAAGCAATGTATTTGCATGGCCATCCTGATTCTGAGGTACTACGTCCTTCATCATCCTTGATCCTCAATTCTAAACATCTTGTAGGGTCGTGCATCTAACTTTGCAAACAACACAGTCCGCATCGTTTGCCATAAGTCATTTTATGACAATGGATCCAAATCGCTAAAGCAATTCTCCGAGTTTCAGAAGACCATCCTGCCCGCAGCGCTCTTCCTCGTTGGGACTATTGTGAGTGCACTTGTAGTATGCTTAAGTGCATTCACTGATTCTGAGTTTATCCCACCAAGATTTGCAATATTATATATATCTACAGTAAGTATGGCCAGGTAAATGGCGCCAAGCAAACACCTATCGAGGATTCGGAGACTTCATACAATTGTATTTCAACGCTGTTCGACCGCACGAACAAAGACGCATATCACAGACCAAAACTACGTCAAATGCTTCAATCTTGGGCATTGGAAGGCATGTAAGTTTCGACATAGTTTTTCACAGCGGTAGCAGTATATTGACCATCAAGTTACTAGGAATGTACATGGTGCTGGCCTTGGTGCTGACGAAGGTGACAATGGCTCAGAGTGGGACATTGATCTCGCGTAGTTCTACATACCACTAGTCCTTTCATTGTTTTATTTCAAATTGAATTATCATTGAAGTTAGCTTTTGTATCATTGCATGCAAGAACAGTAGCAGTACTGGTAATATAGTAGTGTAATATCAAGAGTGCTACAGAACACCATGCGCCGCTGTATGACACTGTATAGCAAAAGTTGCTATACAGTGTCATACAGCGCTACAATGTTGTGCAGTGCTATGCCATACTCGGTAACTAACGGTCACTGTACCTGACTGCATGACACATCTGGATTATGTACTGTGGCTCGGCTGCGCATGGGGGGACCTCTCTGTGAACCCTGAGTCACTGTACGGCAACATGCAGTGCCACCTACCCCATTTGGGTTTTGCTGATGTCATCCTCATACATTACCTTGTTTACAAGGTCACTACGCCTGATAATTGTGGCTGAAGAGAACCAACTTGTGTACACATGGGAATTTATGGACAAATTTGGCATCCAAATGTCGGCAAATTCCACAATACGTTAGTCATCAAAGCGTGTTATCTGCCACGTCTCAACACGATTCTACAGTACTCACCAACTGCTGCGCACGGAAGATGAGTTCCTCCGGAAGATAGCGGCTTGCCTGGCTGTCAAATTAAACAGCTTTTGTCATCTGGGCAATCAATTATCTTCCTTATCAACACCACGACCTCCAACATTTTTTCAAGATTCCTGGTTTCTCAATCGCATGCTATTTTCTCTCCCACTCGCCATTCCCTTATAGTACGACCAATGGTGATGTCTTTCAATTTGCGTGTGCCTCTCCTGAAGGCAGGTCCTGTTTCTCAGTTGGTGAGCGTATCTTCAGATCAATCATCTGTGTCGTACTCAATTTTTGATATACTAGCATGCATGCGGGTATACACCTTAACTTGCACAACTGGTACTACAACATCTCAATGTCTTCTAACACTACTTCACACGTCGTCTTTTCTTTCCACCATTGCTCCGTCTCCCGATCCATCATTGCCAACCTTTCATCTTCAATTCTCAAATGTTCTGACGGATGCGTCATCAGCAAGTTCTCGTCAAAATCTCTCAACAACCGAAGTCCATCTCGGCCACGAGCTCATGATAGTGCGACATAGACATTGAATGGAGTAAGCCCTGCAGTAGGTGGTGTCGCAATGTCTATAATGGTGTTATTGATGGTCTGACCTTGTGACCAATAGTCCATGAATGAGTATGCTGGTGTGAGAGGCAGCTGCCGTCTTCTTATGGATTTCGGGTGATTTCCGTGGATAACGGTAAATGTGTGCTCCATTGGAACTAACAGTATTATGTTCTTCTCCAGACCTTCAAGCTGAACTGCTTTCGTACAGTTCAGCTTAATAAGAACATATGCTGGTGGATATGTCAGTTCCACAATTGCAGCTGTCGGCGAGAAATCTGTTTCACGTTCATCAAGAACGATTTTTGTTATTTTGCCTCGAGAACCGTTGGCGATGTCTAGGTCAGTTTCCACGTTAAAAGTCACCATGACATGCATTCCGATTGCTAATTCCACTTTATCCGGTAGTGCAGCCCTTTCATCTCACCTTCTGCCATGCCTGCTCTTCGGTTTGGTAATGACTGCGAAGCGCTCTGACAGTGTTAGAGGCCGATTTTGGAATGTATCATATGCTGGGCATATTAACAGTTGAGTTCTGTTTCTTCGGCACTCTGCTTGTGCCATGACTGCATTCCAATGTTGACGGACAGAGTGACGAGGCGTCACCAGTACGGCTTTGTTCCAGGGTGGTACCGTAAAATCGACAGATGGGCAATCTGGATTGGTGACTTTTTGCCAGCTAGAGACTTCCCCTTTGCTATATATGCCGAGAGACAGGCAAAGAATGTGCATGACATCATGGAACTTTCGTCGATAATCAAGTACATTTTGTTATTCCAGAAAGCTGCGAGGTTTCTGCTGGCCTTTTGTGACTGTTCACGACCATTTACTGGGATATGCGCAATGACGTGAAGTGTCTTGCCGTCAATAATGGATGCTGCAATGCCTGTGTATGCTGCCTTGACGAGCATGTCAGCGACTCCTCTATCGCAGAAATTCTCTGTGATTGTTTGGATCGTCTTCAATTTCCCTACACCACCTTCGCCTGGAATAATCATGAGTAGCTGTGGTGGTGCTCGCCTAGCTAGCGTCTCTTCTAGATGCCAGTCAATTATGTCATAGGCCCGTCTTTGGTCTTTGAGCAACTGCGAGGGGTCGACGGCAGTTACGTGTTCAAGAACTTTGGGCTGCACCATCATTGACAATGGCTCGACTCCGTGATGGTCGTTGTGAAGTTCAGATATCATCTCTTCAGAGGAGAAAGTGGTAACTTCGCCAGGATTGCTGGGGTGACAATCAGTTGACAAAAGATTGCTATTGAGATTGGTGATGTCCTCCATCATCTTTGCTTGCCAGTTTTGAAGATTGATGTAATCTGCTCCTTGCGCAATGCCTATATCTTTTGATCCAATTGTCCAGTTGCATTGCTCGTCACCAAAAATCTTCCTCATCCGTCCAGCTGCGACAGCTGTCAATCCATGCAACTCTTTGCGGTGATTTTTCTGTGATTCTTCATATGCACACAAATCTGCTTCTGTCAACTTTATCTGCATACCATCGTTTTCGTCGTCTTCATCAAAGGATTCTGCGACATCCATGTCTGCATTGCAGTTATCCCTTGCTTCTGCTTGTGGTCCTTCATCATTGCTTTCCCGGTGGTACACTGCAGCAGCCTTGCAGTCATAATAATACTGCACACCAGCCAAGGTATTTCTGTCCGATTGAGATGCTGATTCCGAAAATGACGTGAATGCTGTTTCAAAGCTGTCGAATCCTGCCATTATATCCCTCAGGTCACGCCAAGGACATAGAAGAGCCAACATTGAAGCGCAGTATAGATCTCTGCATGTTGGATCATTGGGACGCAGAAAGAATGGACCGACAATGCTTGGTAAGGTGCTGTGGCCCTTGCAACGAACAACTCGACAATGAGTTTGATACTTGCTGTGCCCCTCTTTGTAGCAGCTTCGTTCATTTTGTGGACGGCCACGTGAAGATGTTCTGGCCTTGGGCTCTCCATGCTTTTCCTCCGCTGGGATTATCTCTTCATACGTGTCAATCACGAATTGGAAAAATGAATATAACTCAAGCTTGTCTCCCCGCAGCATGTAGTCTTCTAGCTGCGATTGAACAATAAGTGACCACCTGTGCGCACTTCCAATGTAACAGTGTCCTATTGTTTCTTAGACAATCAGCGCTGAGTATAGAACATTCGCTTACCTCAAGGCCCTCCTCGTCATCAATTTGGTACTTCTCCTGATCCGCATCACTCTGATCATCTTTGCGGGGTTCTTCCACCTCAATTGTATCGTCCCTGATTCCGAGTTCTTCTGAGTCATCAGTCACTATGGTGCTACTGTTGGTATTCAGTGTGAGTTGATTTTATTGAAACGACCTATCATATGAAAAGCTTACCAGAATTTCTTTGACTGTAGGCCAGGAAAAGTTGCCAACAAACTTCTTCTCAGACCTGACCAGTAAAGCGACACGTAACGATGAGAACATATATGATCACCCCATCCCATCAAATATGCCATTACTTGTTGACCAGACAACTCCATTTCGTGGTTGAGAGCATGTTGGCAACGAAATAATAGGAGTCGATTACGATCCAGTACACTCTCTAGATGATCGGAGTGCTGTTCGTGATACATGAGGGACTGTGCCATCAGCGCTGACACGTTGTTATTTTTGTTTTGCTTTTTGGTTTGATAGTCCGTCAAATACCATGATGCGTGTTTCATGTCAACTCCATTTGTGAGCAATTTGATATCATTATTGCAACACAATGAAACTGATATCGCTGGGCAATAGTTATTGATGTAGGGATGTGTGCGTTTTGGCTTCCAGTTCCTGTTCTCGTCAATATATTCAGTGTCTGATAGCTCCCATGGTGCACGTCTTTTGCATACAAGCCTTCCATGTTTGTTGTAATGGAGGCAAGTTGATTTAGTGCATGTATGAACTTGTTGTGACCGAACAACTCGCCGCTCCTTGTCAGCACATTCGGCTTCCCAATCTGCGCCATCAGGATTGGGCGGACAGGAGTATCCCAATTTGGATTCATGTGGTGTGGTGCGCACTGTTTCTTCATCAAGACCATCAACATGCGCTCGAATGTTCTGTTTGATGTATGCCCGTATGTGATCTCGAAACTCCTCTGTTTTCAAAAATTCATGCATCTCCTCAGGATTTGGTGTATGTGCAAGCCATAGTAGCATGTGAACATGCAAAGTTCCGTGTCCTTGTGCCTCTACAAAACCATAATAGGCATTGATAACTCCAAGTATTCCCATTGAACTGTGGACATGATCCTTCGTCACCTCGATGCCGAAAAGTGCACTAAGAACTGCATGGATGATGAAGAAGAAATACTTCGCTGCTCCGTAAGGGTCTTTGGCAATGTTTCTCGCTCTGTGATTACTGTCAGGTCCTGCAGTGACAAAGAATTTGAGCAACAGGATCGTGAAGATCGTTCGGATTGATGGTTATCCACAGAGATGGTCCACACAGTTTTAAGGTTGTACCCCAAATCTGGCCTCGATAGGATGCGCATAATTTATCCGAACCCTTTACACGTCCACTAGTTGCAAAAACGTGCTTGCGCAGCAGACGAACTCAAGGATTAGATATTGGAATGTGAGCAGCTTCCTCTTTTTCAGCTTCTTTCAAATCAGCTATAGTCACTGAACTGATTGCCCATGCATCTTGTTCGAAATCCTGCTGTCACATCTGAATCCATGCAGACTTCAACACTTCTCGTTTTTGTGCAATGCTGAACACAAAAAATGGGAACGAGTGATGGATGCGGAAGCGATGGTCATAATATTGCAAGGCCCATCGTACATGTTCATCAAATCCAATCTTCTTCTCTCGATGTCCTTCTATCCCTCTGATACCATACAGGAATAAAATTGGATAGGCTGCTGCCAATGGATTCAATTTTGGATCAGGTTCACCATGCCATCCAGACCCAAAGTCCGAAACAGGTAGTATACTGTGTCGTACCGCGTATCCACCCTCTTTCGACTTGTCTTCCAGATTGGTAAGGGCATAGTTCATCAACTTGTTCAAAGATAGATTGTTGAGCTCAGTATCTGTGACACCCAGATACTGTAACGGAATTACATCAGCATCTGGTGCTGTTTAATTACATGTCAACTTATTGTTACGTCAACTAGCTCTCGTGTACGCTGTCCAGCCCCCATGGATTGGAATACTAAGAAATGCCAGCGGGGAATAGTATTGTCAGTAAACTTCCAGCAGGTTTCACAATTTTTTTTTTCAAGCTTCCCTCTCAGCACTGACTGCCTACCCACACTTCCGCCAACTTGAACCCAATCCGACAAACATGGTTCTGCTTCCACCTGCCGTGCACAACGTATGAACTCTAATACACAGCAACTATTGTGTGATCTATTGCTGCCTTCACACAGTCTAAACTCATCTTAACTTGGTCGCTGATGAATTCACAATTATGATCCATTTTAAAGAAGGCAGTTTAGTAATCTCATCATTCTGAATGCAAATCTGATCCAATGACCACTCAACCTTCCCTTCAGCGTCAGTCAAACAATATTGACCAGCACCCATTCACATCACGGAATGTCGTCACAAAAATGATCACGAAAACTTCCAGGTTTCAAATATTTTGCTTAGACTACATCTGAAGTCATGCTCCCATTGCCACTGCTCGCGTGAGTCGTGACCCTGCACGGATCATAATCATCTTTCCTCATAAGAAACAGCCAAAAAAGCTACCAGTACATTGTCTCTTTAACTTGACACCATCGCAAACGATTCCACAATGCACATGGCTCCGAACACACCTACCACTCCCCCCACATCATCCTCTAGTACTTGTGCTCCAATTTCTGCTGCATCCGCGGTATTGGACAAGCTGCAGAACTCTCCTGGAGGGTTCTACGCTGCAACACCTAAGCTTGCTTATCGTGCCGAATATTTTCCAGGTGGATGGGATGGCAACATCCTCATTGCCAAGGGTCGAGACGATGACCAAGAATTTATCGTCCGCGGTGTATTCCAGATCAGTCGGAACAATTTTTATTTCATGCCAGATGCCAACTTTGATCTGGCGAACATCTTTCACGGCCGCTTATCAGATGTAAAATTGAGTTGTAGACTCACTGCAGGGCGTAACGACTTGTTCAAGTTTGCATCAGAAGACTTCCCTGCTATTCTCGACAATCTCCGTGCCTTCGAGAAACTCGTTCCCAGCAAAAGAGATTACGAGACACTCAGTGTCATCCATGACTCTCTCGGACACAGAACAATTAAACTAACTCATAGCCTCTTCGAAGTAAGTACTAGTTCCTATCACTCGTCAGTCTTCTTTCCCAGCAATACTCATTATATTATAAAATAGGCTAAGACAACGGACAACGAAAACCAACGCGATCCTAACGCGAGTGACAATGACGGTAATGACTCGACCAGTACATACAACAACAATCCTCAACTGTTAATATGCTAATTTATCTACTTTCATTAGCAACTGTAGATAGCAGCCTTGGGTCCGAATTTAATATCGCTACTTGGCCAGTTGCGGAACGGTGTAAAGGTCATTTGGAGGATCTTGTATCCACTCATGAGATATGCCCGTTACCGGCATACGACAAAAACCACGTTCTGATCCCACCCCTTCAATACGAATCAAAACTCAAAGGTGCACTTGTGGAGGTTCACATGGCATTTTGCCATCATCGCATCAACAAATCAAAGCGCGACATTTTTAATTCCATTCTACGAGAACTCATTGTACTCTCACCGCCGGCAGCCATGCCAACCAGCCCCTTCAAACGTCGCCGCCTCAATGCAGGACCTTCAACAGAACGAACCAATAAAGGAAAACGATCAATCAGAGGATCCGGGTCTTCACCTTGAATAATTGTGGTATGTGTTCAGTCTATTCTCTGGCATCATCATTGTTTGTACACTAATTACTTTCCACAGTTGAACATCGTGCAGGCTAGTACCCAAAGGATCTCCAAACGTGTAATAAGTATTGTTGTACTACTACGTATCTTCCTACCAATATGCTCAAAATTCGTCACTAAATAACTCAAGGATTGCAGCCTCGCACCTCTGTACGAAAATGTATTTCACTATGTAATGTTGTACAAAATACTTCGGAAGCTCGTTTGCTACTTTACACTGTACAGAAACAATAAACAAGGTTCCTGCCGACGAAGTTCGGCCCCATCCTCTAGTTACTTGATTGCAAGTGGTAATTACAATGATTCATGTATGGCAATTAACTGATGATTACAATCTATTTAATGTATGATTATGTCAGTATAGACTCGACCGTGGGGCTGGGATTCAAGAAGGAGCCTGCTGGTGTGTTAGAATTGAGCAGTCTCAATTTAAAAGCCAAGTTTCTCGGAGTATATATGGTCATATTTAGCGGCAGCAGAATTAGATCCGTCTACAATCGACAAGGCCACAACGCCAAGAACTGATGGGTTCATTGATGACAGATGAAAAGATGAAGGATATAGGGATACACATACGCAAAAGCTGAGGGGCAGTACTTCTTTTGCAGCCCGGCCACTTATCGTCGTCCGCTTTGGAGGCACAAGTCACATAACAGACGGAATTGAGTTGCGACACAGTAACGAAATCATTGGAAGAGCACAAACATATTGAAGTACACGACAGCAGCCAACGTTCAAGAACAAATTTAAAGTCAGAGGTAAACAATTGGAACACAAAGGAAATATCCAAAAGATCATATCTCAAACCTGATCGATGCGGAAGAGTCCGGTGGAGGGATCATACGTGATGTTCCACGTAGTATTGTCATCTAGAGCAGCAAGATCTTGTTCGAAGAGACGATCGGTCTCGACTTGACCCTTGATCAAGCTGTTCTCCTGGTAGTCCGTGCCAATATACCCGCGTAGAATCGGAGTAAACTCTGCGTTCAACTTCTGCGCGTGCTCTACGCCGCGCCAAACTAGAGCCGTCTTTGGCATGGCCCCGTCTCGCTCGATGAAACCTGAATAATATGTAGCGCGAGAAATCTCGAGATAGCAGTTATACGTACCGACCCCTATATCCTGTTTGTATGGTGCGCTGTTCGTACATTGAATATTCTTCTTCGGCACCAATGGGTCGGTTTTGGGATCCTAAGCTTGTCTCGCAAACGGACATCGATAATGCCAGTAGGCGTACTTACGGAAAATTGGTATACCTCGCCCTTCTGGGTTAGAATGGTAGATTGCCCAACCTAAGTAGCAGTCCGTGAGATCAACGACAAATTCGTGAATCCATCCGACTCTCACGTCGATAGAAACCTCGGTCGAAGCACTTTGGATGACGTCCTTGGAAACAACAACCTTGGTGAACGCAAGTCTGAGGGGTTCGTCGTAAATTAGCTCTTCGCACAAGCTTCGAGTCGCCCTTACTGTGATCGATACACAATTTCGCAGTGGTAAGCGCCTGTAGGTGTCGGTGCTTATTTAGATAGCCCAAAGCAGTGATAATATTCACCCACCATCGGCCGCAAATTTCCTGACCCTATTCGAAAAGTCACATCAGCGAGTGAGCGCGACAACAAAGATGAAGACATGAAGGATATACGTACGCAAAAGCCGATGGGTAATACTTCTTGTACAGCTCACCGATAGGCTGAACGTCGAAAGTCAGAAGAAGGTCGATGTTTGCGCCGAGATCGTGGGATTTGAAGGTGAGCTTTTTGACGAAGGCATTTGAATCCATGGTGTAGAGTCGAATTCGAGATTGAAAATACAAGAAATTTGGCGTTCGACGTTCAGACGTGGCCTAATAATTGCTGAGTCCACGCGACGGGTTATATACCACCCTCTGGAAGGACAGCGACCCTGTATCCGTAGAGATCGAATGTGGAAACTAGAAACGGAGAGCCTTTTTCAGGTCAAGTTCAGCATGCTTCACAAACAGCTGACCATTGTTTCAGAGTCCGTCCGTCGACGTACGAAATGATTCTTTTGACGCGTTAGCATTCGCCACTGTGAAGGGTACAAGTGACATACAGGAGCGATTTACGAGACTTCGAACCATTATGCCGTTTGATGAGATCTGCTGGTCCTTGTTCGGAGTAGAGTCATGAAGTGGTAAAGAAGGGTCGTATTGCAACTTGAACTCGATCTGGTTTTCACTCGACTTCTCCGGTGTTACGAGCGCTCCGAACGTCAAAAATGGGATAAGACAGGGTGATGATGATCGGACGCGATTGAACCAAAACATCCACGTGATCGCGGCGGCAATCAGTTGACATCGAACCGCCCTTTCTGCAACTCATGGACGCGCACAACACCGCCGACCACACCTACGCATGCCACTCCCTCGTGTCGGATGTCAGCTTCATTCCACCACCTAATACCTCTTTGTATAAAATATGTCTGTAATCCATCATGCTAAAGAATCAAATATCTTCTTCGGAACGCGAGCAGAATCGAATTCGGATCGGCCGTGCAAGGAAACCGACTTTTGGATTTTCGACACCAAAACACATTTGACGATCTGTTCTGGATGTCCTCAGGATCATGTATACCGCCACATCCCCATGCATCGATTCGGAACTGTCTTAATACCGGTTGTGGATCTGGGGTCAACGTGTACTACAATTACGAGGATGACCTCAAAACGTGAGCCATGCGGATATGATGCGGCCCTTTCCTCCTGATTCATAACTTTACTCATAACAACTACAGATCCCTCTAAACGACTTGATACCCGAGCCCCGTCAAACCTGCAACGGATCCTTGTATGTCACTTGTACCCTTTATGGCAGTGGCGAATAATGTGTCAGACGGTCAGCTGTTTGCAAAGCATGCCGAACTTGAATCGAAAAAGGCCCTCCATTTTAGCTTCCACATTCGACGTCTACGGATACAGGTCCGCAGCCCTTCCGGAGGGTGGTATATGAGTCGTGTCAATTCCGTCATAGGCCATACACAACCGAACACTGACTCCCTCTCGCTTTCCATCTCGGGTTCTACACGACATGACTCCAATTGTTCTCAACAAGCTCAACTTCGTCTCCAGAGACCTCGGCATGGACTTAGAGCTTCTTCTCACTTTCGACCATCCGTCTAACACTGGTATATATGAGACTTATTACCCATTGGCTTTTGCGTACGTATATCCTTCATGTATTCGTCTCTGTTGCTGCATGCTCACGGACGGAATTTCCGAATAGGGTCAAGAAATTTGCGGCTGAAGGTGGGTGAACATTATCAGTGCCTTGTGCTATCTAAATAAACACTCATACTGACAGGCATCCACCGCGCGCATATTACATATCGATCACAGTAAGGGTCATTCGAACTCCATGTGGAAAGCTAATTTACAATGTGCCTCTCAGACTTGCGTTCACCAAAGTTGTTGTTTCCCATGATATCATCCAAAGTGCCTCGACCGAAGTCGCTGTTCAGGTGAGAGTCGGAAGGACTCACGGATTTGCCGCTGGTTTCATGGACTGCTACTTAGGTCGGGCAATCTACTACTTTAACCATGAACAATCAAATATTCCATTTCTCCGTAAGTACGCTTACTTGCCTTCTCAATATCCGTTTGCGAGACAACCCCAGGATCCCCAAACCGACCCCTCGGTGCCGAAGAAAAATATTCAATGTATAAACAATTCACCGTCCAAGGAGGATATAGGCGTTGGTACGTATAATTGCTATCTTGAAATTTCTCGCCCTACATATTGTCCAGGTTTCATTGAACAGGAAGGGGACGTGCCCACATCGGCTCTGGTTTGGCACGGCGTGGAGCACGGGCAGACGTTGAATGTGGAATTTGTTCCGCGTCTGAGAGGTTATATTAATGCTTGCACCTACCGGCAGAATGGCTTGATCAAGGGCCCAATTCACAGTAGCTGTCTTTTCGACCAAGACCTCAGTACTCTCGATAAACATACCACGTGGGTCGTCACATACGATGAGACCGCCAGAAGTTTTAGGATCGATGAGGAGATAACGAGCGAGGTTCAACATTGCTTTTCATGAACCTTTTCAAATGTTGGCTGCCGTCAATTACTTCGTTTTGTGCTGTTTTGATGTTATTATCTTGTAAACTGTTCCCGTTTGTTGTACAACTCGTGTTTTCAAATTGAAATGTTCTAAGTAGTTCCTGACCCGTCTTATGATACAGGTGACAGACATCCTTTATACCAGGACCTGTCAGCATCAGCAAATCACTGAACCCTTGTACAAGCAATACAATTTCACAACAAAGTCCCTCCTATACAAGCTTGTCACAAAGCCTTACAGCCTGTACAAACGGTCACAATCTTGACACATTGGACATACTATACAGACTAGACACATTATACAGTTTAGACATAGCATACAGACTTAGATTAAATTCAGTAGTACTACACAGACAATACATGACGGACACAATGTGCAGGCCTAGTAAGGCGCTGCAGTCATTCTATTAAAAATATGTGATACTGATGATGACAAAAAAACTACTACAAAATGATGTTGACATCGTCGCTGCCTGCCACACTATCAGAATCGTCCCAAAACTCACCCATCATCCCCACATCAGCCCATTCCTCTAGCATACTTTCCAGTTCCTGACGACGCTCGGAATTGTCCATCAGTGTGTCACCTGACCTTCATAAGGAGTTGAAGTCAGACCTGCATTTATCAGCGGACAGGTTGGGGACTTTGTCTGTGCTGGTATCACAGAACCCAGTTAGAATACCCTTCACCTGTTGAACCATCAGCAATAGCATTGAGAATAAATGTTTTAAAAAAACATATGACCGCGCTGACGAGAATGAGCGCGTTGATGGGGATTGTTTTGCGAAATTCTTCGGTCAACTTGAAGGCCTTTTTGCCGTTACCGTAGTAGAAGTCGATACATGCGTCCTTGAGAACTTGCGAAACGAAATTCTTGTACTTGTCCTAAATGAAAAATGCTTCAGTAAAATTCACCACCCCCTGATGTTACTAACTGATGATGAGTCAGGCAATCAAAGATAGTCGCCAGATTTGATCAGCTTCAATGCCACTTCAAAGACATGCTGTTGTACGGCATCCTTCTGCCCCATGTTGGCTTTGGGAAAGATACCATCCAGTTGTTTTGCAATAGATATTACAACTTTCTTGAGCTCAGTGCAAAATGTGAATAAGTTGTCGCAAAGCTGACAATGAATCAGTGAGCGTGTTTACGGTCAGTACTCAGGACTCACAAGGCGTGACATCTGTGCCCTATACTGCGGGAAATGGCCTTGACAAGGGGCATCAGATGACAGCAACACTGGTGAATTAAAACTTACCGTTTTCCATTTTGATCCTCTTCGAATGGTAACTCCATAATACTGCATCTAAGACTTCTTGCACGAGCTGTAGCGCATCCTGATGCTCTGGGACAGGATGAGTCAGAACAGCTTGCAAGCACATTTCTAATTTGGCGGCCTGGAGAAATGCTTGCCAACATGGTGGATAAAACCCGAGTTTCGAAGGATTTGTCTGCTTGTTCATGGGTTCTGCACCATCATTTTTTTTGGTGGAACAATAAACGCAGCTGGCAACTGACAAGGTCAGCCCCAAGAAGGTACATTGATGTTACAGAATTTCACCTGTTATGATAGTCCAGCTTTGTCTCTCGCATATAGGGAACTGCACGGGTAAACCCGTGGGTGTGCGCAGTCGGACCCGTACCCATACCTGTGGTGCGGGTACGGGTTTGCTTGTGGGTATCAGCCAAACGGACCCGGGGTATTACCCGCGAGGGGTATACCTGCAGGTCACTACGAAGAGCATTGTAATGAATTGTAACAACAAATGTAATACTAATCTACTTGGACTCTGTCCCAACCCTCATTCATTGCTTCCTCTTCGCCAACGACATCTGGGAGCTTAGATACGTGAATGATATCCTCAGATTTGACCAGGCCTAACTCGTTCCATAAGCTGGCACAAAGCAGCACACATGTCGACTGCACTGATAAACAATTTCTGACATGTGACAGGACAAGACACCCACAACTGAAGAGACGTTCAACATCTACAGAAGTAGCTATAGGCAATGTAAGCTTACAAGGCATTAAACATAATAATGCCACATACCAGAGATAGTTAGATAATCAATGGCCATGCGCGACAGGTGGGGGAATGATTTGCGACGTTCTTGCCACCAAGTGATAGGGTTGGTGACATGTTCCACGTCCGTACTAAGGTAATGGTCGAGTTCGGAGCCCGAGTTAGTAGATTTGGGGACTGCAAGTGCGGGGAGGTTGTCAAAAATGTTGTTGCTCTAAGATTGAGTCAGTACAAATGCTAAGTAAAAAGCAAAAAAGAAACATACCATCAATATATTACCATTTGACTCCAAGACATCCGCCTCGCGCCCCAAATCAGAGTTGGCATCAAGGGACAGGTATGAACATCCAAATTCCTTCCACACAAGTTGCTCTGCAGTTTGGATCCAGTTGTCTTCCCAGTCTGCTGCCTTGAAGTATAATAGCTTGTGTTGGGGATGTAACACTAGTATAATAATATTAACTGTCAGTAGAAACTAGAAAAAACCTGGATTGAATAGAACTTACCCATGGAGATCCGATATGTGTGAGACCTGTCTGTGAGCTGATAGTACTGGTTGAGTGTCTTTTTGCGAGCCGAACTGCCAAATGAATTGAAGGCAGATATTTCTTGTTGCGCAAATAGGATGTGAGCATCTTGTCGACGTGATCCATTGCTGGTATCACTGTTGCAAGGTTAGGTGTTGCACGCGAGAAGTAAAGTGTGGTGTCCTTTAGAATCTAACAAGAGCAAACAATATAACATAAGCATATGCACCAAAGCGTCAAACAAAGAGTGCAAACTGAAGGTTCGTGGGTGGCATGGTACAATTTTATATTTGTCTTTAGAGTTTGACAGTTGGCAGCTGTATAGTTTCGTATTTACGTAGTTGAATTTTAATAGCACCTGTTTGGCATCCATTCGGCGCCCATTGTGACTGATACCCACAGTGTGGGTATGGGTAGGGGTAGGGGTATCATGACCTCAGACCCGTACCCATACCCCAGTGGTACCCGTACCTGTGACCCATGCGGGTTACCCATACCCGCACAGTTCCCTAGCTACACAAAGGAGTGTTCAAAGACCATATTGTGAGCTGGTGTGCTGCCATCATCTCTGATGCAGAGTTTGATGCACGATTTCAAGCTATGCCTGAATATCACGGTCTCTGTCATTTCAAATGTGGAATCTCGACAGTCTCTCAGTGGACTTGCATGGAGCATAAAGAGATGCAGCGAGTCGTTTTGAGAGTCATTGCAGGTGCTGTTGAAGTCCATGTGTTCAAGGCTGCATGTGCTGTTCTTGATTTTATCTACTATGCACAATACCAAGCTCACACAGACACAACTCTTGCACAAATGCAAGACACTCTTGATGTATTTCATGCAAACAAGGTTGTCTTTGTTGAGCTCGGTCTTTGCCAACACTTCAACATACCAAAGATTCACTCAATGTGCCACTACGTGCAGTCAATATGTTCTTTGGGCAGTGCCAATGGTTTCAACTCGGAGAGCCCCAAACAGTTGCATATTGACTATGTAAAGCATGCTTACCAGGCAAGCAGCAAGGTCAATTATATTGTGTAAATGACTCACTGGCTCAAACTTCAAGAAGCTGTGTATTGACACAGCGTGTACATTGATTGGGTATGAGTTGTATCACAAAGCTGAAATCCCCCTGACTTCGATACACTTGATGATGAGATTGATGAAGAACAAGATTTTGCAGATTCAGACAGTGTTAAGCACACCCCGGATCTATTACCATCTCAGTTCATCTCATCGGGTCTATTGGCATCTCATGGCTACCGTGTGACAAAGAGCTGCCCTTTCCCAAATGTCTCCGTGTCTCGTCTGCAAATGGCTTTTGGCGTCATTGACTTCATACCTGCGCTTCAAACATTCCTCACCCTCTACTTTCCTCATTCATCCATCTCTGCTAGTGTGTATGATCACTTTGACATCTTCAAGTCAGTTCTACTTCTACTCCCTCAGCGAAATCATATCAGCAACCTCAAGCAACTCAATAGGCTGCAGGCCTATCCATCCATTCCCAATTGAGATTGTTGCAAGCCATCTTCACCCGCACACTTTTATGTGGCCTTCATTGTTGAAAACCACCAATTATGGAAGGCTGACACAGGTTTTGATGGTATTTTCATCACTCACACATTCAAGCCATTGTGCTGACTCGGAGGGCAACACAGGATTGTGGCTTGCACAAATATGTGCAATATTCAAACTGCCATCTCACTACAGCAAATTTCCTCATCCGCTGGTGTATATTGAATGGTTTCGACCTCTGTGAGATCCAGAGCCCGCACCCAACCTTTATCGACTGGCACGTTCAACTCATAACCAACGGCACTTCGCAGCCGTTGTCAGCATTCAAGATGTTCTACACACAGGGCACCTTATGCCTAGATTTGGTTCAAGCAGGGTAGACATGTCATGGATCAATGGTGATGTTCTCGAGCTTGCTGATGATTTTTATGTTAATCCCTACGTTAATTTTGACTTGTTCGATACCTTAGAACACTTGTAGCACAATGTTGTATTCATTTTGCCCATTGGTATGAGTGTTGCATCATGGAGGATTGTCAGAGTTCTGTTGCAGTTCATAGTATTTTGCATGGGAACTAGGCTACATACAGCTCTGGAACATGGACTTGTATCTACTGAAGCTCAGGTGCTACATGCAGGTCTACTACGAGCTACCAACACCTCCAAGGCACGACATAGTAGTGGTGTGGCACTACAAGCCAGCATGCTTTTTCTTGATGTAGTCAATCTCAATCTCATCATATCATGCTATCTATCTGTTAATCTTGACCTGATAACTGCAAATTTTGATGCATCACATCTCCAAGAGTCATAACACCAAAAAGAGTATGGTGTGCAAGGTGTACAAGAGTGTCCCTGGACTATCCAGTGTCTCTCAAGACAAGTCCAGACATAGATGTGGTCTGACAAGTAGTACTAGTATCCATAGCATTGGGCTGGCAGCATGTCTGAAAAGTTACATGATGATACTATGGTGATCATACTAGGTTATACTACCTGCGAATATCAAGTTTTCCTTGCTGATATCAGATGTGAACACAGGCTTCGATATGCAGTCAAACCAGTGGTAGCATAACATTGAATAAGATTTCAGAATTCAGTGCAATGCTCGAAACAAACTACAATCGGGCATTTAAAATCCTTCCGGCATAACGGCAAATCGAACTGTAACCAAAAATCCACCATACTAGTGAATATTGGATGCTCAAAGCGAATGTATGTTAAGACGGATAAGATGGAATGAAAAAAAACTGATGGCATTTGATGCAAGTACAACATACAATTTCAGGTCAGAACACTGCGAGACATTCAGATACTGGGGCTTGGGCAATGAGGAAACAGTGTTATAGACTACGAGTCATCAGATTTTAGTACCAGCTAGGGAGCAACGACACACATAAGATATTCAAAGATAAATTTCTGGACTCGTAAACAATGAATAGCAATCACCCTAAACCAGAAGGGTGAGCCCAAACTTTGCGGATTTACAAAAAAAGAAAAGCACCAACCCAATGTTCAGGACTTCCACCCGCACAGTAGCACAAAGAGCCGCAGTGACTATTGGTGCAACAGTGCTGTGATGCGCATGTCAGGCATCCGACAGAGGCTTCATGATTGTAGTATTGAAGCACCGTGGCAGTCACACTAAGTGCAAGGGCAAAGAGGACGAAAACACGAGCTTGAAGTGAAAGCATTGAAAAGGGTGGTTTGGGTTTGGAGATGAGGTGTAAAATACTTGAGTGCTGAGGTCAATCGTGTGCCACCCACCCTATATTTATGCATTCAGCCAGGGGGCTGTTGTGATCAGGCCCACAGTATATCTGTCACAGTGGATATTGAATCTGGAAACTAGAAACGGAAGGCTTTTTTGATCCAATTTCGACATGCTTCACAAATAGCTGACCATTTTCACAATGCCCGCCCGTTGACATAAGAAATGATTCTTTTGACACGTTATTAGCCACAGCCGTGAAGGGTACAAGTGACATACAAAGATCTGTTAAAGTTTGACCTAGTTCAGGACTTGCTAGCATTGTACGAGACTTTGGGGTATTATGCCGTTTAGAGGGATCTGTCGTTGTTTGGGGTAAAGTGATTTGAATTGGTAGGAAAGGGCTGCTAACGTTCTGAGGTCATCTGCTATGCTTGTTGGAAATGGCGTGATTGTAGTATGTACATGGTGTTGACCCCAGATCCACAACCGGTGTTAAGAGAGTTTTGAATCAATACACGGGATATGTGAATGTACTAGTGGATATTCAGAACAGATCATCAAATGTTTCTCACACTGCGGGCATTTCTACATGTTCTTCCACCAAAAATCAAAAAAATATTGAGTGAGAAGATAGAAATTTCCCCTTCTTTTACGTGTCAAAACATTAAAAAAAATGATCACTGTATTAAAGATATTCTGTGCATGGAATATACTGCAAACATTATTGATTTTCCCTCAGGGAAAATGATGAATTTTCCATCTATTGTCTTTCAAATAGCAGCTTGCAATAATGTGAATTTTCTTACCTGTGTTTTTGAATATTCTATCTATCAAAAGTCTCAATTACTTCATCCAGTTTACTACATGTTTGGTCCAAGAACATTTACAAAACATATAATAGATAATAATTTTTATTTTATCAATGTTTTTTGAGGAAAAGCGAAGAAACTCTCAAAGGTTCCTTTGTGTATTTGGCAGGAGGAAATTTGTGAAACATTTTCTATGTTTTGTAAGTGTAAATACATAATGTTTGCAGTATATTCCTCCTGAACAACATCTTTGATACAGTAATTATTTTTTTTCAATGTTTTGGCACATAAAATAAGGGAAAATTTCTATCTTCTCACTTAATATTTTTTGGATTTTTGGTGGAGGAACATGGGGAAATGCCCGCAGTGTCATGTCAACAATCCACTGATTTCCTTGCACAGCAGATCCAAATTCAATTTTGCTTGTGTTTTGAAGAAAATATTTGATTCTTTAACATGATGGAATACAGTAAGGTGGGGGAAGAGAGCTGACTCCAGAGTGGCATATGTGGTGTTGTTGAGTACTAAATGAAAAGGAGTTCAATAGCCGATTGTGATCACGTGAATGTTCAAGTTGCTTTCATTATAATATAATTGTGTCTGAGTCTGATTATCGCACTCTGTCTTATCCCATGTTGACGTTCAGAGTGCTCGTAACACTGGAGAGATCGAGTGAAAACCAGGTCAAGTTGGAATGTGGCCCTTCCCTACTACACTACTTCATGACTATGTCAAATGCCTTACATCTAATGCTGGGGAGTGTTTGTTCTTGTTCGATTATGACAGGGCTCGTCGTCGTCAACTTTTGATGGAGAGGGCATGCTCACACCGATCGTCAAGATGCCTTCAATGGCTCTTCCTTCCCCTGATGCACTTACAGCCCTCGTGAAACTTACATCCGACCCTAACAACATTGTATATATTGTATCCGGCCGTAACCAAACATTCCTCGAGGAACACCTTGGCCATTTCCCGCGTCTTGGGATGATTGCAGAGCATGTCAGATTCATCCATTTGCCTGACAGTCCCGCGTGAATGAATTTCACTGCCAATCTGGATATGAGCTAGATGGAGGAAGTAGCGGAAATTGTCAGGTATCATATGGAGCGTACGACTGGGGGTCATATCGAGATGAAGAAGAGCTCGATTATGCGGCATTATTGGTCGACTGATCTCGAGTGGGGGTGTGTGTGTTTGTGATTTTTTATTTATTGAGCGGAGCTGATGAATGGTGGGTTATAGACACAGTTCCAGTGTAGGCAGTGCCAGGATTTATCGGAGAATAATGTGGTACCCAAGAGGCCAGTCGAGGTGCTCGTGGGTAAGAAAAATCTAGAAGTGAGACCTATTGCTGTGAACAAGGTCTGTACGTGATGTATGGACTTTTTTTTTCTCTCATTTTGAAATGTTATTGTGTGGTCCGTATTTAGAACATTGACGTGCTTGACCCTTGGATTTTCTATAGATCAATGATGATCATCTGAAGTGTCGTTGTATCTAATGATGCATCTCGCTCACAGAACTACCATTGCCTTAGTTTATGTCAAGATTGGAATGGTTTCGAGTGAGGACAGGATGAGAAGAAAATGAAGCAGCTTCACTCTGACCTTCTTCATTCTTACGGAGACACACTGTGAGCGGCAAAATGTTTTACTCATCAACATTGATCCTCCTACATAGGTAGAGGTTTATACACCCCCACACTCGAAGTTCGTGACATGCATTAACCTCTTGAAGTCGCCAAAATTCTTCTTATATGAAGGGTACTGTGCGCACAATTGACAGAGCGGTATCAAGCAAGCAAGTCCTTCATCTGATTGAGAAAGGTGGTCACTTATTACTAAGCCATTGTTTCGTCAAGCTTAATGGGAACCTGCTGCACTACAAACAACATAGGGTCCTTGCCTGGCAAAGCTGAGACCTCAATGTAGAACTTTGAAGTGTTGCCCTTCTCATCCTTTTCCATGTAGAGGTTCTTGGACCAAATATGCCCTCCTTCTCTGGAGGCTGCATTGTAGCTGGCCTCAGCATCAGCAGATTCTACGACTCCAGCTTTCATTGAGCCTATGAGCGGGTCCGTCCAGCCCTATACCAATAAACAATCAATAAATCCTTTTGTTCCAACCTCACAGGAATGCTTAGTACTCATGACTGCGAAGTTGAACGATTGCTCAGAGTCGAGCCACAGATTGAACACTGTGCCCCCTGTCGTGCCTGTGATGGCACCATCGCCATTACAGCAAGAGAACGGTGTTCCACCTTCTGGTGCTTTCCAGTAGCGGCCCGAGGAAAAATAGCTCCCTACTATCGTGTAGTTGAATTGAGTGGCATTCTTGAGGGAACAGTTGATCCAGTGAAACTTTTCCTTGAGGTCATCATCTGCACAAGGGATAATTTCCCGTATAGTATACAAGTTGTGATGAGAATATCATTAATATTTGGTCATGCTTGGTGTTGAATACCGAAAAGACGTTTACATATGTCTATAGTTTTTTTAAACATGATCAGCAGGTCTAGGACTATGCTCAAGATTTCAACAATGCCATTGGGCGACATGGGTGAATCGGTCATGATAGATGGCTAGAATGTGTGGACACAGTGTGATGCTTTGGTGTACTGATAGATGTTACCCCACAACACCTGATATTGGTAGACGGATATATCATTATGGGCGATAGCCCTAAAACTGGGATACATCCCTCAATTCAACTATCCATTGACATGATACATCACTGTAGGCTAATTATCTATCTATGCTCTGCCATGGTTCTCCATCCAAGAGCTGGCACATTTGTTACTTTGACGGCAGATGCCCGGCCAATGTCTAAGTTGAGCAACTTGAGCATTCCCTGAGAATCTGAGATCCAAGGTTGATTGATTGAAAATGTCACTATGTATGAAGGTACAGAAGCTACTAATCAACCCCATCGAGATCTTCGTGTGGGGGTTTATCAATAGAAGGTCCATCTTCATGTGGGGGTTCATCAATAGAAGGTCTGTCATCCTGCTGGCCTTCTGCGCCATCATCCAAACCTGCACTTACTAGGGCTCCCACATTCCTCCACATTCCCAAAAAGCTTGTAGACAAGGCACGATGGATAGCAGCCTGGCGGTTTTCATATGTGATCAGACCTTCCACAAATTCTAACCGCTCTACCATGCGAAGGGTTGCTCGCTTGTCCCACTGTCTGGCTTCCCATGCGAGAAAAGTCAACACGTGCTCCATCTCGACCAGTAATAGCTGTATTTCTTCTTGCCACCAGTTATGTCGGGCCCTTGCCTTACACCATTTGACGCGAAGTACTAAATCCACTGCAGAGTAAGTCTGTCATCTTCAAACAAAAATATTGCTGCATGATCACTTACTGTCTTGCAACCCCCCGCTGTCATGCGAAGAGATCCCATGAGTAAGCCAGATCCATGGCATGATTGCTGTGCCCACCTTGATAGGCTTAATGCCTGTGTTGTCGCTTCGACATGCAAGGCAATGATAAAACTTGTAAGTCGACACTTTAGACTCGAATGAAAGGAGGTGGAAATGGTTGAGAACTGCGAATGTTGCTGCAGTCCTCGGATCTGTTGTAGTTGATGGAAAGAAGTGGCCACACAAAAGTTCTCTGTAGTGGGATGGTGCATTCACACAGCTACAGAAGTTGAGTCTGATCTTGTGTATTCCATGGACGTCGATTACAACAAAATCGTCCTCTCATGCAGGTTTGGGATTGCGGCAGGACTGGTTAGCGTGATCTCCTAATTGGATGCACAGGCCAAGGTGTTTTAAAGTCGTAGGGTGAAAATATCTGTCCTGCCATTGCTGAGATAGTGTTGTCAGAGAAAGGATCAGCCTTCCTGTGCCCTTCTAATTGAATCAATTTGTCTAGATAATGTGATTGTTCTGAGGTCCAGACGCGCATCGGATCGTCCTATCGTGGAAAAAAACAATGCAGAAGTCAGGTTTAGTTGAATAAAAAAAGGAAATGTCACTCACTTTAACCATCTGCTTTTGTTTTTTGGTCAGAACATAGATGTCATGAGGTTCAGTGTCCAGAGATATATAAGTCTTATTCCAGGGATCAGTCTCGCAGCAGTCAGTGCTAACATCATAAGTGGTTGGGACGTTGTCCGCTGGTAGGACAGCATCAAGATATCTTGTCTTCATGTTGATTTGTCCAGTAGGTTGAATTGTGAATACTCGATGGCGGTGGATGTTCTGGGAGGATTGTCCAGCAGAACCTAAGACAGGATGTCAAACAAGTCGAGGCTTCTTGCTGGGACGGGTGCCTGCTCCAGCCATGATTGTGAGTGAGAGTAAGAGCTAGTGTTGTCACACGGTGCAATGTGCTGTTGATATCACGTAAATAAGCTTCAACTGTGCTGACTTCAAGTGTAATCTATGTAGAGTTGGCCTAATGAGTGGGATTGAAAACTTAGGTGGGAGAGCTTAAGACGAGGCATTGATTTGTATGAAAAGGAATTGTTGTAGGCACTTGCAGATTGAGACAGGCGAGTTATGAGTTTTGGTCGGACCGCAAGTCTTAGTATTGATCACCTCTTATGGGTGTTAATGGTTGTACTAGTAGTGTGACCATTACAATTTATGAAGACCATACATATACTACCTATTTAAAATAAATCTCATAAGTCTAGAAGGTGGTGGCCCACCCAGTACTACATTCCTGCATGCATTTTACTATGTTAATATCAATATGGCTCACTCAGAGACAACATCAGTATATTTATTATGGTCGGACTCCCTGAACATTTGAAACCCTGAGCTTCTTTGAGCTCTGCTTCTTTTCAACTTTTTCTGAACCTATACCACTACAATTTCAATCCTAGTCCTCCAATAATGGCACGTCCAACTATTCACAAAACGGTGCAAGAAAGAAAGGAGGCTGCATGAGAAAAGCACAAACGCTACTATGCCAAGTATGTCATAATTTTATTAATTGTTCCCGATGCTGTTCCTGACACCTACAGACATAGAGACCAAATCTTACAACAGTGGAGGGAGCATGGTGTAAAGAAATGTGACAAGGAAGCAGAGGTAATATCAAAAGAGATCTTGAGAGCTGTGGTGAAAGGATTGCGTGGCTGTGAGGATGATGACAAGTCTGAATCAGCGTCTGAATCAGACTCTGACAATTCCAGTGATGATGATGAAACTGACACACTGTAAGTTCTATTCTGTTTTTAAAAATAGAAATATGAATTGAAATGGAAAATTAATGTCCAACAGATCCAATCTTTTGGCATGCTTACTCGCCATCAAAGTCGCCAAGGACGACATGCTCACATTAATCGGTGCTGACCCCTGTGACAAAGGGTGATATCTCTATCATCGTGAACTCAATCGGCGAGATTGAAAAACTACTCAAGCGTGTAATTCGTGCACAAGACAAGATCCTAAACTTCTGTGGTATCTCACCTGAGTGGCATGCCACTGACATGGTCTCTCGATTCTTGAAGACCACAGCCGCATACTTGGAGGACATTCAGCTTCTTGAAATGTCTGGAGGAATTGTGGAGCTTACAGTGGCACAATGGTTGGGGGAACTAATGTATCAGAAGGACATCGGGATTTGATTAGTACCATACATAATTTGTGATTACATACATTGAGCCAAAATCTGTGAGCTCCTTCCAACGCAAAAAAGTACATTTGGTGGCCCATGCATGGGATGTTTGAGAGCAAAATATCGAACTATTATCATTCAATTCGTGCTACATAAGTATACCCATCCCACGATCGTGTGAGGCAACATACATGAACATTTTAATGACAGCGCTCATTGCATAACAATTAATGTAGATGGCACCCCGGAAATGGAGCACTCCTGAGCAGGAGGAATGGCTGTGTCCTTGGTATGAGAAGTATTGCGCAAAGCAATCAGACCGAGCCAAGAACTGGGCAAATTTCTTTACCGACTTGTTGGGGGAGTGGCTTGATGTATTCCCCAAGCCAAGGCCAGCTACAGTGCCACCTATCAGGCCGCTGATCAGGGACGAGCTTGTGATCATGGATCAGGCTGAAGCCGAGCAAAAAAAGGTGCGTCGTCACCGCAACATGTCCTGTTGAAACAATCATGTTAATAGATGCTCGCAGAAATTAGAGAACCATTTCAAAAATAGCCTCGGGTCTACAAAGATGGAACGGCAAGCAAAGGCTGAGGCTGCAAACGTCTTCAATGCGGTGCTGAAGAGTGTCACCGAATGTGAAAAGCTGACACGTTCCCTTCAGGAAGTCGAGGTGTATTCCAAACTTTACTACCAGAGGTGTGTAAAGGTCATGGTTAATAACAGACTAAAGGCAGAAGCTGAGGTGCTACAAGCCAAGAACAAGGCACTTACTAATGGGATGCGTGTAGCCATTGCCAAAAAGGAGGCAGTGAACCTCTATGGAGGAGAGACAAATGAAGTTAAGGCAGAGGTACGGAAGTACATCAAGGATGCAAAGATGCATAGAGACAATGAGAAGGAGGGAATGTAGAGCGAAGACGATTATGGGAGGTAATGATTCATGAATTCTGACCTGTCAATAAGCTGACATGACTTCATAGAAATATTGAAAAACTCGCCGCTATGGTCAATAAATTCTTGACCGGACTTGCGGATGTGACAGGGTTTTCGTTCTCCCTCCTCGCAGGTGGCCCTTCTCCAGAGCTTGGTGGATTGATTGATGTCTATAGGTAAGTCATCCATATTTATCCGTAGCATTCAGTACTCACCTCAGACACGAAGTTTTCATATAGGTCAAATGAAGTATGGTAACAACTTCAGTCAAACATACCCAGAATTTGAGAGCACTATTATGGCTCCTTTCAAAGACTATCTGCACAGAGTTTATCGTAAGTTTGCTGTTATAACTTATAGCAACCGACTTACCAATCCATCAATAGCAGAGGCCACAGCGACTTTGAAGACGAGGCTAGGGAGTGCAAGCGATGATCTCAATCATGATGATGGTGGTGATCATTCACCGATAAGCGCTGGGGTTAGGAATTAGCCATGATGACACATCTGGTCAGGTGATGTTCAACACATTGTCCCAGGTGGATGAAGTCCCAGACATCAATTTGCCTGAAAACTTGACTGATATCAATTGGCCGGACATAGATGACTCATTCTGGGAGGGACTCTCTGCTCAAGTCGACATGTTTAAGGCATCAGGCAGAAATCCAAACCTGCCATGCTTACCTCCCTACCCGCAGGCAGCATCTGCCTTGGAGTTGCCATCAGCTCTCATAACTCCACCTCCTGGCTCACCCCCAAACATATCACCATCACCTCCCATAACTCCACCTCCTGGCTTGCCCCAAAATATATCTCAGCCTGCACCCATTGCGGTATCACTGCAGGACTTACCCACACCACTACAGAACTCACCCACACTTCCTCCAACCACAACAGTGTCCTCTGAGTCCACACGAATCCAGGCCCCATTCATAGATTTCTTTCAGCCTACACCCATCTTAGCTCCATAGGACTCACCCATGCTTCCTCCAGCCACTCGTCCTTTGTCCACTGCACCAGTCTCATCCCCATCTACCATACCCGATCAACAAAGCCAACCTCCCACACCCATTGAACCTCCTGCACCCATCAATGGTTCTGTTCTGTGCAGGACCGGCCAACACTGTGTTCCATCCTCACGCAATGTTATTGCTAACAGTATTGGCAAGAACTGTCTGATTGCTAGCAAGTGCCGTGGACTGGCAGGTGAAGATGGTGTCTCAGGTCACAAGAAGTGCGTTGTTTTCATTGTTCATAAATTCAGTAAATCTAACTTGACAAACAGGAAACAAAAAGTTTAAAGTTTCAAAGCCCTGCACATCACTACCATACCTATCTTCGCATATAGTTTATTTTGTTGTCATGTATAATTGTTGTCTTGATAATAAATAAATTGCAGCCTACATGTTTCTGATGTGAAAATCTGAAAACCGTCACTTAGAAACACTTATGCCTTAGTATATTACTCCGTCTCTTGTTCACATTAATGACACATTCTCGATAGTTTGAATTGCCAGTTGTTCTTTGCAAGTACTCGATCTTAATATTATAGCTCATTTTCGCCACCACAGATTTATATCCAGGCCCTGCGAGAAGTCCCCTAGAGCACCATCCCAACACTGCTGTGTTCCCAATGCCCACTTACCCTTCATGAGATGAACCGGACCTCCAGAACACGTTTGGTGATGTTTGATCCAGGGTTCGACCAAACAGCTAAACCAAACCTATGGTTTGGTTTGGCATTCGGAAAATTTGGCCCAAGAACCGGACTGAACCGGACTTCAGCAGCACTAGCCTGGAAAGTTCTGAGAATCAAAATTTTGGATCCGCCATGGATGTATCAAAGGATACATCCACTGGATGATGGACAACCTACCTAGATGATGTATCCTGGTTTTAGGACTATAGTCCACTTTAGATGTATTAATCTAGCAGCATGGCCTCCCCACAAATTGTACATTACCCTCCACCTTTTATACAACCCGTGTACAGATATTGATACCGGAGATCAAGAAAGGGTGGAAACCAGTGGGATTGTCATTGTTGACACAAGAAACATAATGTCTAGTTCCCAGACTTGGAAAGCTCTTCAAAGGCTCTTGAATTCTTCTGCATTTTGGATAGGCTGCTTCATTCATTCACACTCAGAGAATTATATCCCCATGCATCGATTCAGAACTCTCTTAACACCGGTTGTGGATCTGGGGTTGACGTGTGCTACAATTATGCCATTTCCAACAAGCGCAAAAATGTTTAATTAGCAATGCGGATTGTACAATCAGTGGCAAGGCTTTTCATAGTAATTCTACTTCAAACAACGACAAATCCCTCTAAACGGCATAATACCTCAAAGTCTCATCAATTGACAGGATGGACTCAAAATGTTTGCAATGCGGATATGATGTGGCCCTTTCGTACTAATTCATAACTCTTCTTCAAACAACAACAGGTCCCTCTAAACAGCATACTACCTCAAAGTCTCATACATGAGCCCTGAGCTACACCACAAACTGCCGCTTTGGGCGAAACTGAGCTAACAAGAAAACTATTTAGTGCTCCTGGGAACCAGCCAGGTTGTATTTGTCATGGGTGTTTGTGTGATAAATAATAAATTTTTAGAGTAAAGACATGAATTCGGAGGTCTATAAGAGAATTTTGCCCAATCTCCCACCAAGGTGGTAATAGGCTGTGCGTGTATAACCCCAGGGTTGTACAAATGTCGTGTGGTGAACATGCGAGGGAGATCAGAATGAGTCATATGGACGAGATCGGGCATGAGACATATCACAGACATCTGTCAGAGATCCTACAGATATTTGAGCGTGCTATTTTTGTCTATACAATGCTAATCACAAACTTCCATGCCTGCAATGACCTGATCAGCAATGACTGGTTGCTCAAACATTCAAGCTTGCGACTTATCTATCCCTGCGGCCATTTGATACTTCAAATAAAACATAATTGACATTTGAGACATATTATAACAAGTGGTGGCACAACAACAACTCTAAGGTATGTACTTGAATGTATATCTAACCTGCTTCAAAAGAACCTCTGGATCATTGTAGTGAGTTTAGTTGGTAGAAATGAGGGGATAAGGGTAGAAAAGGGCGGCATCCCTACAAAATGCGCCCCAGATTTCCTTCAAGTCCTCTGTATTGCCCAAGTCTATCACCATAATTTCCTGGTCGACTGTGATGCTATGACCCAAAGTCTCTAGACATTGTTCAATGAATGCACCTTCCAACGGTATGCGGGGATCCCACATTGGCCAGGTGCCTCTTGGGAAGAAGGGATATGCGGCAACAAATGTCAACCAAAATGTGTCCCATCCCCACATCCACTGCGACAATTCGGTATCGAGTTCTACAAGCCACCCCTCAATATCCTTTGATAGCTTTACCCAATCGCCTCAATTAGTGTGGTTGAACATTGATGGAAGGGGGAGGAATGGGATGGGGATTTCATCAGGAGGGGGAATACATTCAAGGATACCAGAAAACTCGAAGCACAATGTAAGTTTCATCAAGTCAGATGCAGCAAAATATGCTCACATTTGAGTCGCTTGAATTTAGCATGCTTTCAGTATCGGACTGCCACTGATCCATTGACAATATAGCTTTTACGAAGGGCATAGTGAAGCACCCGTATTCTTCAGCGATTGACACTGATATCTCAACAGGCTGTGAATGAATGTAGCAAATTGTTGGAGGCAGTTAATAACACTCACAATATTTTGTTCTATCAGGTGCTTTGGAAGGGTACCAGAAAATCTGATCATGAAGAATAGTGGCTTGAATGTTGCGTCATCCATGTCCTGGCTTTGGACATCGGGATAGACAGTTGCAATGTTGGTGAGCACTCCAGGCATTATATTTCGTGCAAGCTTGACAAGAATTCAAAGAAGACGTGGGACTTTGGACTTGGTGTTCTTTCATTGTGTGTGCACCACGTGACTCGCAACCTCTTCCCACCTCTGACACACTGACCCGGATCAGCCATGAAGCATGATATCGTCGATGGCACACGTGAGTTATATATCTTGTCTGTCTGATAATAATCTAATACTTTTTACAGTTCTCCAATTTTGCGATGATACACAGAGTCACATCGTTTGCAATGTATGTCCCAAGAAGAATGATCTGCACTGTACCATGGATCTCCGTTTTATCCAGAAGCATATCGTATTGGACAAGCACACACACCACACCAAAAATTTCAAGGGTGATTGAGCATCAAAATTTCATCCTGTTTTCAAGGCAAACTTGCATCGGGCCAGGAATAATCCTAAACAACGCAATATGGACCCGGACGTGGAAGCTGAATCGTTTGGACTTGATCATCTGGATGCTGATAGTGGTCTGATGGAGATAGACTCATACAACACATGTGAGGCTGACTTGGAGATCCTGCTGTCTGAGCACTTGAACAATGCCATTGGAAGTCAGGTATATGAGTTCGACGAACACTTGTTTTGCAATGCAAGATTATCCTGAGGATTGTGGGAAAGGGATGTCGCAAGTTTTCAATGGCACAAAGATGTTGCTCAACCTTCCATCTCCTCCTGCAGCACAAGTGGATGGGATAGTGTATTTTGTCAATGAGCTATTACAGGAGTCTTCGGGAGCCTACTTTATTCTGGAACAGTTTTTCCAGGTTATCTGCTAAATACGGGTCACTCGAGCCTAATCCCTTGCGTGAAAAGGCGCAAGGCTGAATGGTTTATACAGTCCCTCTCATAATCTTCATGGACGATGTCTTGGGCAATATTTTGAAGCAGTGGAACAAGCACCACACTATTTATATGTCAAATGCAAACTTACCTCGTGAAATGCTCGAGAAGGCATTCTTTGTGCGATTTGTCACATCATCACCCCACGCTGCTCCAATGGAACTGATGCGAGCAATGAAAGATTCTCTTTGGTACATTTTTCTCTGGATTCATTCTGGCTTATTCCTGAATATTTGCAGTAATGCAGCGCAGTCTGGCATTGTTGCATGGGACTGTAAAGATGAGGAGGAAGTTATGCTCATTCCGTGTGGACTTTTTCTTGCCGGCGATAATCCTATGCAAGCCGAGGAATGCAGCCATGCAGGCCTTAATTGCAACTATTTCTGCAGGACATGTAACGTCGGCGGCACAAAAGAATACAAGGCATCCGAAGAGGGTTACAACAGTATATTCAAGGTACGAACATATATCACAGTGTCTCTTACTTGATCTAATTTCATACTCGTAGTCAGGTAGTTTACGAACACCTGAAAAGACCACCGACGACATTCAACATCAATTTGAAGCTGCAATGAAATCGGGTGCCACGACAAAAGTGCAGAGTGCCGTTTCTTCCACAGGTGTTCGTGACAGTGCCTCAGCATCCATCCTCGAGTCTCTCGTAGAACTCGGAAAGAAACTCCGCAAACGAGTGCCAGGTTTACCAGCAACATCCGAAAGCAAGATCACAGCAGCGCTCAAAAAGGAGTTTGATAAATTATTACGAGGTACCACACTCAATGATGCAATGAATCCGTTGTTTTGGATGAACGGTAAGCTTGGTCAATGTCATTCGTGTTGCACTCACAATATTGTCTCACAGGGATCAACATCCACTTGGATACGCCGACTGAAATTCTCCATACAGTATTTTTGGGGTCAGAGCGTGTTTATCCTGGAGAAAGCCAAGCTGCTGCACATTTTTCAGAACCGCCTTGAGTCTGTTGACAAAGACGGACTGAACGCACCCTCTCTGAATGGTGACTATATATGTCATTATAAAGGCAGCTTAATAGGTAAACATTTCAAGAGCCTAGCCCAAGTTATGCCCTTCCTGGTGTATGACCTCGTCCCCCAGACGGTCCTCAATGGGTGGTCCGTTATCGCAGAACTTGTCACGCTCATTTGGCACACAACAATACCAGATACTGAAGAATATCTCGTCAGTTTATGCTACTTAAGTGTTGAAAGGTGTCATGAACTAACTGATCTTCTTTAAATAGGCAAGATTATCCGGAACGATCGAGGACTTCCTCTATATCACAGCGCAATGTGCTCCAAGCATTCTCATCAGCAAGCCGAAATTTCACTTCCTGATTCATCTTCCGGCATTCATACGTCGTTTTGGACCTGCAATCATATTCTCCACTGAGAGATATGAATCATTCAATCACATTTTCCAACTGTCGCTGGTGGATATTGGTATGATCGCAATGTTAAGAGATGGGTTCATGGAGGAGAGCAGGTGCTATGTTATCTCAATGAACACCGAGAACAGGCTCACCTTCTTGGTATCTCAAGTATCTTGTGTGAGCCTCCGCTGCCTGGTGAGTTAGGCGGTATGTTGTCATACCATTGCTAAGTATGCATAGGCACTGGAAGTCCTGATACTGCTGTTGGCATTAACGGAAAGGCACAACGAGCAGATGGAGTACAATGGAAGGATACTTGCTGCACAAAAATTCTCAAAACTCTCTGATCTGGTGTTTCATACTGCCAAGGCAAATCACTTGTGATGAGCAAGGGAGAATGAGCAGATCTGAATAGTCATGTCATCTTTCGACGACCTGCTGATGGACAGGTAAATTATTTTTTGGTCTGTCTGCAATCAAGCATTAATATGTGTGCAGATGTCTATTGGGTGTATCCGCGAGATCCTTATATCGCATGGCACCAGTAGCACCGTGGATCATGTCGCACTGCAAGTTTTTTTATTCGGGCCTACATTACATCCTTCAATTTTTCTACCATGTCTCGACCTTACAGAAGATGAAACAGTCTCAATGGCGACGGTAAGTGATGTGTTCTAACACTCAGAGCTGTCTGTTGAACATTGCTGGATCACAAGATATCATTTGCACTGTCGATCTTCAACACAACTGTATTGATTCGAAGTGCGTAAACATGCACCAGCAACACCTACATCAAGAACAGATCCAAACTATTCAAACGAAGCCTGTTGTCGACCATCAGCCAACTCTGTACTTCTTCCTCAATGCCTACTCGATTCACAACTGTGATCTTATCTGGCTGGTCATACCTGAGGTGCTTCACGAGTCACCATTGAGAGTCGCCAATTCGGCTGAAGTTTGAACTTTAGCCATACAGCAGATGAAATACAAGAAGGCAGCAAAGAAATCAGGCAGCATCCCCAAGCCTCAAGAAGGTGTGACTGCTGTGGAGGAAAGTGTTTGCAATGCAACTGTACCACTTCCTGCCTTTGATCGTGCTCCCGCCAAAAAGATAGCTGCCAAGCCAAGAAAGAGCACAAGCGGTACCAGCACACGAGGCAGGAGGAAGACGACATCATCAAATGTTGGGCAGCCAATTGCTGGGACCTCGAGATAGATGTCTCCATCCAGTCAGCAGGGTCTGCCAGTCCCATCCCACCAATTCATGCCTCCCCCACTGCAAGCCTCGCATTACCCTCTGCCGCTGCCAATTGGACCTTTGCTACATGCTCCACATCACCCTCAGGCTCCCTTTCCACCCTCCATGTCATATTCCAACACAGGTCCTCAAGGAGTGCATGCGGCATCCATTGTGCACCCACTCACACAGCCTCATTCCTCAGCTCACAACCTCCTCTGGCAACACACCAACCCCACGCCTCTCCCGCTCACTTTATGCAAGCCGAGCTACCGGGTTTGCAGCCTCGCACTGCACATGCCCAGATGTACCCAAACCACCAACAGCAAGCTTGGATGGCTCAAGCTCATGTGCAGGCCATTCACACTCACACGCAGTCACAGGCGCAGCACCCACACTATTTCATGGACCATTCTATGTATCCTCGGTAATGGGAGAGATATGAAGGAGGGTCACAGTGTTGGAATCTCGCAGGAGGGATGATCAAAGTTTTTGAGGCCTCCGGTATATATTTTACTGTATCTGGGAGGACACCAAGTGATGTCTCCTCCACCTTATGTTATGATAGTACACCGTTATGTCACATATGCACATTTTTTTAAATCGTTGCTGCAGCTAGATTAAATGCAGTCCGCACTTCAGAGCTGCTTGACCGCATGTCTCTTATCACCAAACATTACCGCCTATGTCACAGATATGCACACGAACATTATGGTACCCTTTTCACTGCCTTTTGTATGCACACAAATTGACTATGCAACAGGATTTTATCAAGAATCATTGTGAGGTATTCAAGCTGCCAGCAGTACTAATGCAAGATGTAGAGCTTTTGGCACAGCTCTCAAAAATTGTTAGTGAGTTGCTCTCTTCTATTCGCGGTAATCTCAAGTCCAAGGTTTGTATTTCGTTGTCCCATGCAAATCATTGTGACACTGACCACCTCTAAGTTGGTCATATTGATTTCCAAGCGTATGAGCATCATGGATACAGCCAAATCACTGGCTCACGGTGTAATTGAGGTAGAAGCTTGTCATTGGAACAGATACACTTTTTTAGTATGTTTTAATCCTAATACACGTTATCAAGCATTTAACGTGAGTCTAGCGGCGCTGCTTGTGAATCTTTCTTATTGGAGTCAGCGACTATAAAGCCATCCCACTCAAGGACCTTTACTCAAGCTCGCTCATCCCCTCCCTTCATAAAGACCTCCACATCAAAATTGCAATGACACTTGATTGCGAAGTAGGCACAGAGGCGGACGAGAATGACAAACAGCATGGAGATCATCTTGAAGACAGCATGGACCATTTGGACGGCCAAGGTTCTGAAGCACAACCTGGAGTGAGCAATGACACTGGTGGTGACGGTGACCTTGGAGAGGGAGGACACATGATGGACACCTGAGAGGAAGATCAATTTCGCGAGAATCATGATGAAGAAGCCGGCCAGCAAGAACTTAATGAGGATTATGATGATGACAGTGGCTCTGGATTTAGCAAAAGAAAAAATGGTAAGGGTCCCAAATTCACCTCGGCAAAGTTCTGGAATTTTGTGGATTGCTCACTTGAAGCTATTCGCAAAGCTGCAAGAGAAGAGGCAGGACCAGAGTATATGAAGTCAGCCTGCAGAACATATGAAAATGCGGTGCGCAAGTAAGTTTATTGTTATTACATTGCACATGTGATTGCTGATTATGCCATAGCCTGCTCGTTGAATTTTTTCAGATGGACCTCGTCGAGTTTCCAGGGAGCATGGTCATTCCTAAACTCCTGAAAACAACTAGCCCTCAGTGGCAGACGACCATCCAGGACTCATTGCTTTGAGGCTGACTTCTCTCATAGGAAGCTCGTTCTGAAATTCCTCGCATAATGACTGGCACTATTCACTCCTTTGGTAGATACTTTCACCGCACCTTCCTTTTAATACCCTGGCATCACCCCATACATATTACTTTGATTGACATTGTGTCTACCCGCATCAGCATTAATGCAATAACACTTGTGCTTCATTTGACCTTTTTTACCTGCCTGATTCTGAATGGCTGAGGTGCATTGAATTCCTGCATGCGAGATCAGCATCCTTCCAACCAACATATATACAATATAAGACATCTGTGTGACCCATCATGTGGGATATCTGTACAACCTATGAAACGAGACATATCCTCAGTCTATGAGAGCAGACCTCTGCGCTACCTATGAAACGAGACCTCTGTGCTACCTATGAAACAAGACCTCTGTGCAATCTATTGAAACCACACATGGAGGATATTATAATCCAGTGTAACTACTAGCTACGGTCGTCTATGTTTCATCGGGGTCTCATAAATATAGTTAGGTGCCTTGTAAAGGTCTCTTAAGATCATGGATCCATTGGCTTGCTTAGGCAAATTTTCAAATTGTCAGCAATTTCTGGCAAGAAAACCCTTCAGGACATATTATTAAAGGTTTGACACATGGTACCCATTTTGGACATGTGTCAAAGGTTTGCGGCAGTTTGCAGTGTAGGTCAGAATCACAGCAGGGTTAGAAATATTTAAGATAGGTTTTAATGTTATCCGGAATGCAAAGAACATTTTTGAAATTTAAACTAACATATATATGGGCACATAACTTCAAATTTTGTCAGTGTTTTGTGCAAAATCCAAACTATAAAGCTTTGGCAGCTATTTTTGCACTGACCATACATCACCAAAAATAAGAAATATTGTCAGATTTTGAGTGTGTGCTTGAATTTAAAGTTTTATTATGATGTTCAACTTGGGACAATTACTTGAAGTTTGGTCCATGGTCACTATGTTAAGTTGTATCAAACAATTAGACCCTGCCGAAAATATCAAGTTCACGGCGGCAACAAAATGTGATGACAAAACTTCAAGTTTTATCTTCAGATTAAATATATCGCCCAATCATCGCCCACTCACCCGCCTGCAAAAATGCAAGAGATTAAATAAATATATTCATATTGAAAGCTATAACAATGCAAGTTTAAATGTTGGCTAGGTAGTTTCAGTCGCGAGATAAGGATAGGATCACAGCATGACAGTCAGAAACCCTCCATCGCGCAAAGTGACTAACGACCCATGACACCTGGCATTTTCAAGGCGGGGTTCGAAGTCTGTCGAGTACAATTTTGCCGGAAAATAAGGGTATATTGAGAAGGGATCAATGGTATGGTTATCTAGCGGGATATGTCGCTGTACAGCAAATAATAACTCTCCTGTCAGCGTGTACTGTAAATGTATTTGATACTGGCAGCGACAGGGGTTAACGACCGATCTCCGCGAGGATAGAAGAAAATCTGGCTGTTGCCCAAGTGTGTAGACGCCTTACTGTAGATCACACCGTCGAACTTGAGTGTAGCACGTAATACTGCCATTCGTCGTCTGATGAGGGTATACAGGTCTTCAGGCACCACACTAGTTGCCACACAGTCGGCAACCTTGATGGCATCATTCATAGGATCTTCGGCAAGCTCATGGATAGAACTTGTAGCACTCTTATTGAATACTCGATCAAACAAGACCCCACACTCTTGAATAGCAGGCGGACAGTCTGGTCGGGCTAGGGATTAGCATGGGTATATGAAACCCACATGGGTTGTGGGTGTGGGTATGTTGTGGGTGTGGGTTTAGTAAGCAGATATATATTTTACCAACTCCAAAGCTCCAAAGATTCCATTCTGCCGCTAAACGGATTACCAAACTAACTGGGAAAGCCAAGGCTGCACTTGACGAGAAGCATTGTGTTTTCAAGCTCCCCTAACAGGATTAAGTCTAACTTTCTCGTTCGTGTTTTGAAAGGACGTACCAAATTTGTGATTGATAGGAATGTCTTGTATAATTCCAATTAAACCTTCGAAAGGAAAAGACCACCATGAGTGAGCAGGCCTGAATAGGAGCAGATAATCATATATATGGAACGATGCATGGTGATTCAGTTGCACAGAGAAGGTGGGATGAATTGTCTGCAACTTTCCGACATAAGCAGCGATAGGCTTGAGCCCTTCTTGGTGTCATTGTTCATGCACAAGCAAGATACACTGCACCGACTAATTCCATAGTGTGATTGAGGATAGTTTTGAGGCGAACAGCAAGTTCATCAGAAGAATGCGATGTACCAGCTCCCCACAAGCTCATGAGGGCGATGGGATGATAGATCATGATAAGGGATTGCCACTCATCAGCCTTAATTGTCCCAGCAGATGCCTCGCCAAAATTCTTGGGGACGGAACCAAGCCAAGTGGGGGTGGTCGTATCACGGATGATGTTACACATTCGATCAAGTACTTCTGCTGTCTCGAACAAACAAACTTTTTGAGGGGCCGCTAGAGGTTGTCTGCAATGCTGTGAAGTGCGTGTTAGAGAATTTGATGGCAAGAAACATCACAGCAAAGAGCTTACCCAATTAACAAGAGCCTTGACATAGTCAATCTTCAGTGTTCTGCCAACTTTCTGGGGCATACAATGTAAAGAATTGCAGGCAAATCTCAACGGTCCAGAATTTTTATGAGACAGAGTGCTTTTTAGCTTGTCAAAGTGTTCCTCCAGTTGATTATCGTCGCCAGAACCTACATGAGATGCAAGGAGGGTGCAAATCACAGATATCTGTGTTACCTCTTTGGCTGTCATTGTCCCAGGAGGTATTTCGCTAAAGTCACATGCAAATGCTGGGGAGGGTGATGTCGATGTGGTCGACTCTGAAGTTAAACCGAGAAGATGTCGGGTGTGGTGTTGGACCAAGCCTTCCAATATGCAGTGCATTGGATCAATGACAAGTTGCTGGGAGGGGTCCCGGTATGGTAAGTGCCAGAGTTCGGAATAGTGCACACCATGAGCCTTGAACAGTCTTTCACGTTCAGAGGATGTAGCAGCGTCTCTCCACTGCTCAGCATATTCTTGCAATTTTACTTTGTTGCGAGGTTCCCACTTCTCGAAGTCAACTCTTCCACAGGTAGACTTATGATAACAATTGCATGCACTGCAATAGAAGTGACTGCCAACTCCAGCCATAGAAGCAATATGACGAGCGGCGGGGAGGTCACAGACAACAGGGGCGACGGCGCTACGAGTAAGCCAGCCATGGGGGTAACAAGCCATTTTGGAGAACTTGATACCATGCTGCCATGCATCTACCAAATCATTGATGAGGGGTCGGATGTAGTGGTTGAGGTTCTCCAGTGACGGCTGCTCCGGACCTGGGATGATACCCGCAACATACATATTCTCCAGCTTGTATCTGATATCCACCGGTAAATTTAAGCATGCCATAGAGATAACTCCGCATGATGTACTGGCGCCACGGATATTCAGACCTTCCGGATTGAAAAAATCCACATGAAGAGCGAAGACATAGTGTCCCTCCTCTCCTCTGTCAACAAAAAGTGAACCAGGATGAGGACCATCAAACTGACGAAGAAATTGAGCTTCAAAGGGGGTTTTGACGAAGGACGGATGGGGGGAATCAATTGAGTCCATCAGATTGTCGCATGCCTGATCCATCACAGCCTCAATATCTCTACGAGAGAGGAGACCAAACAGATAATCCTTGAAATCGTGGTACATGAAGGTCCTCCTGGGTAGGGAATTTCCATCAGCACCAACAAGCAAAGCCTCGCCACATTCGGTCATGAGCGTAGGACAATGAGTGCACCATTCAGGATATACTGGAGTCGTCGAGCCTGGTGCATAAGTTGGTGGATAGGTGCAATGGCAACTGCAGACAGCATACAGGACAATCTTTCCCTTGAGATGGAATCTGGCCTCGGCGCTTTCTGAGGTCATTGGGATCTGCTTTAGGATATGTGTGTGGGAGGGGTTGAGGCTGTTATCTGGTCTCCTGAATGGGAGAAATAGTATGATGGAAATGATCTTCATGATTAGATCACAGCTACTCCTGCTGACCCCTATGATAACTCTGCATGTGACGCCAAGGAAGAGAACAATTTGAGTGATTTCATCTAACTCGTTCACTGGATCTTGTGGAAGGGTATCTACTGAACGATAAGCAAAGAACTGTCATGATGATCCGCACGCTCACTTACTGGTATTGATCTCGACGGGTGTATCATCGGATGGCTCGTGAGTGCTGCACTGGGTTGCCAATATGTCTATCTGCAATTTGATTGCCTTCTTTCGTGCAATTATGATATCGGTCTGCCGAATGACATTTTGCATAGCTTTACGAAGTAAATGTAGTTCGCGACCAACATGATCAATGCTACAAGAATGCAGCAACAAGTGAAAGCATTGCTGGATCCGAGACTCAATGTTGTCAAGGACAACCAATGTCTTTGCGGTGCATTGATTGCATCCCTTTTTTGAGACAGGTACTGTGTCAGGTTTGAGCTCGACAGTTTGTACTGTCGAGCTCAGAGAAATATTGACCAGTACATCCGTATCAAGGGTCAAGCGACAAAGATTGTCAGTGATGACGACGACTGATGACGTGTTGTCTGCGATGGTGCATGCGGCAAGGTCAGTGGCAGAAAAATGTATGTCAATAATCACACTGTTACCTGCGGTGCATTCCGCTTTTACATGCAAGATATGAGACACGATTAAGTGTTTGGCCATGAGCACTCCTTTTGGTGCGCCTTTCTCGTCATATCCACCTTTCTCAATGCACTCCTCGCAAAGACATCGTTTGAGCATTGCATGGGCTATGGGCATGGAGAATTGAGGGAGGTTGGTGGTTGGGTGATTGGAAGTATATCCTGGCATAGCGGGACTTAAATGAAAAAAAAAAACAAGGGAAGAATGGAGCAACTCACAAACAAGGCATCGGAGACAAATGCCCACGACAAAGTACAAGGTGATTGCCTATATGGACACTATTTGGATGCATGACAAGGGACGATGGAACAATACATACCGTAATCTAGATCTGACGAGACAAGCGCAACGCAATTCCAAGTGCCCGTGAACAAAGTGGTCACACAATCTGGTCATATTGTTGGGAAAATTCCATATTCGCAAATGTCGACGAGGAACGGTAAGCTCGACAGTACAAACTATCGGGTTCAGAGTGACGAAAGTATAAGAGAACATGAGCTCCACAGTACAAACAGAGAGTCAAGTGTACATCAATCGATTGGCCATATCGTTCTTTACCCAGGCTTGCCTTAAGTGGGTGACCAATTGGTCGTTCATGTGTGCACCTACAGATGATCTCGATGGTTTTGTACCATCGAGCTCAAAAAATCAGGGGTAAGATAATACTACCACAACCGTACGAAACAGTTGTAGTAGCAGTCTATAGGAAAGGAGTAACTTGGGACTTTGGCGAAATTTGAGATGGCGAGACAAACAGCTGCAAATAATATTTTGTCAGCAATCTGATTTGAGATTGAGTCGCCCACCCAAAATGAGGCAGGAGGTCGGGGGGCGCTCAATGTTAGGATGAGCTCGATAGTACAAACTATCGGGCTCGGAGAGATCGGGGGGCGAGGAACTCAATGGTACAAACCACCAAGGTTGGAAACTTAAGGGGACGATACTACCACAACCGTACGAAACAGTTGTAGTAGCGGACTATAGGAAAGGAGTAACTTGGGACTTTGGCAGAATTTCAGATGTGTGACAAATAGTTACAAATACAATTATGTCATCATTGTAATTGGAGTGGCCAATTACAATGATGACATAATTGTATTTGTAACTATTTGTCACACATCTGAAATTTTGCCAAAGTCCCAAGTTACTCCTTTCCTATAGTCCACTACTACAACTGTTTCGTACGGTTGTGGTAGTATCATCTTACCCTTGCAAAATAAAACTAACACAGCAGTTTGTACTGTTGTGGGAGTCATTACCTAAACCAACACAACACTTTGTGGACTCTCCACCTGTCCTGTCTATTGTTACCCCAGAGTTCGATATTTGGCATACCAGCTGAATGGGTCCACAAATTATTGTGTTCGTTTGTCGGAGATCTGTCGGCCAAAGTGCTGCGCACCGGTGTCTTCATATCATCCTCCCATTTCCCTTGGGAGCTACAGCTCCCTATATTCGAACACTTCTCAATCCCGGTCTGGGTTCACCTCAAGCAGAACAACTCTGCATTCGACGCGAAGCTGCGTCATTATAACCCGTCCAAGGAAGCTGTCGCACGTGCAATTGAGGCGCAGCGCATAAGTAATGACACCTGGGGTCAGAATGATGGCTGGGGCCAGGATGATGACGTGTGGGGTAAGCGGGATGATAGAACTCAGAGCAGGAGCGCCCTTGGGTGGGATACTAATGCAATTCAGCCTGCCCTTGGGTGGGATGCCAATGTAACTCAGCCTGCCCTTGGATGGGATGCCAATGCAACTAAGCCTGCCCTTGGATGGGGAACCGCACCTGAGAATCCTCAAGTGGACCCTTGCTTTCCGGCCCCTCAACAACTCAGTGGCCAAAAGTCGGGAGAAGATTGGAAGACATTTTTTACACGACGCTGCGAGGAAAATTGGAAGAAGGAGGAAAAGGAATCCCCTGCTCAACGGCAATCACGTGAGAGTCAGGAACAGGCAGCGAAGAATCACAGTCTTCCTGGAAAGTCCAGTACGGCCATGGTATTCGAATGGCAACCTCAAGACGAGTTTGAGGGCTTTTTACTTCGCATCCGCCTCACGAAGGCTGAGGTATCGGGGACTTGGGGGAACTACAGCAACTCTACCAGGCTGTACGACTCATTCAGAAATGAGTGGGACTTGTGTAATCAGCTGGATCCCACCAGCACCCCTGACAGCAACTGGGAAGAAGACCAGTTCAATTTCCCGGACCCCATCCCTGATCCTGTGCCGCCACCTCCCCCTGTACCTCCATCGTTATCCAGCTTCTTGCAGAATATTCGCACTTACTTCGGACGTCATGAGGTTGCAGCCTCGTCCGATTACACTGAGGGTATTGAACACTTCATAACCCACTTACGATTTTACCTCGGCTTCCATCTGATGGCATCAAGCACTAGATCCATTGGTAGGACCTCCAGACCCAATGGTGGAACCTCCAGTGAGGTGCAGAATAACAGTGCCAGCTCCAATGGTGGAGCTGTCAGATCCAATGGTGGGGCCACTAGATCCAATGGTGGGACCACCAGATCCAATGCTGGATCTGCCGCTTTTGAAAGTTGGGTCAAGAAGCAGAAGTTCAACCACATCTGCAACATTGTCGGAGATTCAGGTAAGGATGTCGACTCAATTTCAGACGTGCAAAAGCATGTCATTACATGCTTCGTGGGTTATCTTGTCACCCTCCCCACGTCGCAGTTGTCTGAGATCCCGGCCAATCACTGGGACCTGGGACCTGGCACTCCTTTGTCGGTGTCGAATGCATTCATTCGAGTTTGCTCTCTCGACATCCCTGGCTAGGAGCGACTCTACGTAATTCAGCCAAGCCAATCAAGAAGTCTCATCCTGTGGAAACTCGTGGTTCCTGACACCGCTACAGCTGTAATGTGCCTCCATCATGACTGGGGGTCCGACATCCCGACCATTGCCCTCAAGCTCCTGCAAAAAGGCATCACGTTCAAGACACTGCAGCCCATGGCAGTTTCTCCTGAGGCTAGGCGCCCGCTCAGCGAACTTCGTACATTCTCGCTCAGATACTTCCGGCCCCCCTTCAAGGCCGTTTACGCTGATTATATCACATATGAGCAGTACCATCACGAGTTCATGAATGAAGATCGTGCACGAGCTGCTCTGCTTTGCGGTGGAATCTTATGGCGGCTAGCATTACATAGCCTTGGATTTGATAATCTCCCCTCGGCCCTCATTGGCATCTCACAGGATGCTGTCCCATTTGGACAAATGCTCACCATCAACAGCGAGACTCACTTTGACAACGAGTTATCAGAAGAGGAGGTCGATTTCATTTGTGGGACGTATTATGTATACACAAGTAAGTTTTCCTATTCACATTGACCCGCAGTCTGCTCAAATTTGAATTATTAGACAACGGATGCATAGAGAAGTTGTCTTGGTGGCCTAGGCCGCAGGCCTGGGCTGGGTCAGGGTTGGATGTGGGGTTCTGGTCTGCTCGATGCGAAAGCTGGTTCCAGACACACCTTGAAAACATCCGACAAGGTGTTTCTCGTCGCCGCAATTCATCCGACAACAATGGCCCGGTGAACAACACACATTGGAAACATGGACTCAAATTCAATGGAGCGACAAAGAAATTCAAGAAGAATCTTGATGCGGCATGTTTGACTTTCTCACTATCGAATTCATCTACCAAAACATTTGACCGCTTCTTGTACCTCGCCGTGAAATTCATCTTTGAGGGAGAATTTCTACCATCAGACACATTTGCGTGATGGCCTGTGCTGGAAGACAGCGATGATGCACTGTCCTGCGCAACGGATGTAGTGGCATAGTCTTTTTTATACAGGGCATGTAGGTCATTCTTCAGTGAGTTGATTTGCGACCTGTGTACTTGCATCATTGGCATCACAATCATCACGGAGACCTTCGTAAGTGATGCGGGGATCGAGAACTTGAACTAGATTAGCTATTAAAATAAATCTAAATTCAGTGAGAACTCACTCGAAGCCCAGACATAGTACGGTGAGTCATCAATCTTGAAGAAGTAGTCGCTGAGCTTCCGATGCGCGTTGATCAAAGCAAGCCGTATCTTTGTTGGGGCTGAGTCTGGAAGATTCGCTAAATCATCCCGAAGTGACTCCTCAAGGCCACGAAATATAGCGTGAGCCGAAGACAACATTGGGCGCTTGGTTGTTGACATTTGAGTGGTTGCTGACCGGAATGCCTTCAGCCACCCCATCACTAGTTCAATTGCTTGCCAATCGTCATCAGAAAGTTCATATTGTCATATTTCACGTGTCTTTGCCACAAAATCGTTGATAGCCTTGCGGGAATCCAATGCACGGCCTGTGAATTTGATTGGTACTCAATCATAAGTTATGAAACTGTACTTACGAAGCATTTGATGTGTCGATGACCAGCGGGTCTTGACGTCCAAAATGAGCATGAGTGCAACTTGACTGAGTGTATTATCAGTCTTCTTGAGTGATATCATGACCTCTGCAAGCCATGCCTTGCGTCGCTGTGGGCTTGACCGAACTGACCAAACAATCTTTCGAAGCTGTTGGATCCATCCATTAGTAATGTGTTTTACAAAACTGTGATTTCAATACCTTGTCGACAGCCGACAAAACCCCCTGCAGAGTGCCAAATTGATCCGCTTCATCAAGAAGTGCAGCGTTATCGTCAATCTCACAGTCTATGGGAGCAGTAACTGAGTCCTGGTATGCAGATTCTCTACGTCTCGAATTTGGCTTGATAGCACCAATGCCCTCAAGAAGCTGCATTGCAGATAGGTGCACAATATGTGGCAAACAATGGATCCGTGCTTTCTTGTGCGAGAAGTCGATCCCCTCAGCGGAACACTTTTCTTCAAGGGATTCAAGTAGTGTATCATTGTTCGTAGCATTGTCGCATACGACACCCATGATCTATGACAGAATGAGTACATAAAATCATGTGACCTGCTGTTTTGTACCCGATCTTTGAGTCTGTAAAGTTCGAGTGTGTTCCACACAGCTTCGGCAAGATTTGCACCACTGTGTTCGCCAATAATTTCACAAAAATCAATCAAAAGCTCTTCTGTTGATGCGAAGTTGAAGGTTGGGCACAAAAATGATGGGAGGGACATACCTAATTGCCAGTCATTGGTCACATAATGCATGATAATTGCAAGGAATGCAAATTGGTTGCTCGATGTCCAAGCATCTAGGGAAAGGCTCACTTTCGCCTTGAGTTCCTGAAGAAGGTTGGTAATGTACGAGAAAATATTTTTTGAATTGTTCAACCTACCTGAACCATATCTTTGATTCCTTGGATAGTCTTGTCACCCATCTTCATGATATGACATTTGATTGCCATTCGTCCAGGGATACATAGCGAACCTTGGTGAGTGTACTCAATGAATGCTTTGAACTCTGGCTTTTCAACCTCGTCAAACGGCTGGTCACATGCAACAAGCCATTTCACAAGCAGGTCTTCGAATTTGTCTTGGTTCCAGTCACCAAATGCTTTGTTGACTTGTTTGTTGAAGGCGTCGACAAGATTTGCAGATGCTTGTTCAAGCTGTGTCACGTATGCTGCTGCTGCTGCTGGATCGAGAACTTTTTTGCCTCGTGCCATTTTGAGCTCGTCTTCAGTGGGAGGTGTTCCATGCGACTTCAAGATGAGGTATAACCAGTACATAGGTGGAAAATGTGTTTTGAGATGCCCAATCAGGCCTGATAGTTACATATTAGTGAGAACAACACTCTACAGAAACATGAGAGAAATCACCATTCAAGCTGCTTTTCATTGCACGTGTGATAGTGAGAACCTTCCAATTACCCAAGTGACATTTGTAATGTCTGTCTCCTGCATCGCCAACCTGACCTGCAGCATTTAACTGTACAACATCATAGAAGTGGTATATCGGGTTCCGCTTGGCAGCCTAACAGTACAGGTAAGACTTAAATCTACGAAATGCAACAACACCATACCTTGACAGTGGGCAGCAGAACTTCGAAGGGGTGCAACGTCTTCAGCAGAATTTTCTTGCGCATTGGCAGTTGCAGTTGCAGTCACCAAAGCTTGAGTGGTTGACTTCTTGGCTATGTGCTTGCTGCTTCGTTGCGCCTATTCATTCGTTCCGGAACCGTTTTCGAAGGCAACAAGTGAGCGAGCTTTTTTTCATATGTGGTCGAGTTTCCAATCAAATATTATGGGGTGATACTCAAACTTACCTCTTCGTTCAGTAATCTCAATGACGTCGGATTCATGACCAGAGTCTGATGTAGTATCTGACTGCGAACCTGAAGGACTGACATAGTCACTCCCTTCGTCGTCCAGGTCACCCTCGATGGTAAGACCATTGAAGCGGTTCTGGGTGGTTTTCGACTTCTTGCTTCTCCGTGGCTTAGACTTAGCAGCAGGAACATCTTGACTACCTTCCAATTCTGCCGTGATGCTCTCAGTCAAGCATGTGGTATTTTTAGCATGGTGCCCACGACCAAGGACAGTCTGAAATTGAGGTTCATTGGCAGGAGACTCGGAGGACATTGTGGGTGGAAATGCAAGGCTTGGGGGACAAAAAAACAAGTAACTAGGGAAGTCTCAGTAAAATACTACAAGGAACATACTGAGAACGCCGCTTCTATCAGTGTGAAGCACACGCAGCAAGCTATCAGACTCGTCGCTGTCATTGTTGTTGTCACTGCAGGGCATGGCGGTTCAGGGCAAGAAGTTATGGGATAAATCAGCACCCTTTCCGACCGTATGAGGCCGTAAAGGTACCGTTGACGGCCATATGGAATACGTCTTGTACGGTGTACGGTCTGGCCGTACACCGTACCCTTTGCATGTCCACCGGTACAGCAACCATATCCGTCGACAGCCGCTGTACAAACCATCTATGACGGTGACGGTGTGCAGCCCTAGTATAGGCCAGCATTAAAGATATATTTATATTTCTTATTGTTGATGGCATTCAGCCGGCAACAAAATGTTCGCTATTGCTTTATATTTTTCTTGTCATGCAAGATCTCTTTAATATTTGAAATTTTATATCTGCTGACACGACAAGCTAAATACTAAGTATTGCCTTGACATTTCACACGACATTCAGACTTGTCTTAAATATTGCGGACACCGTAGTGAATGGACATGGTGTCAAATCTGCAGCGGATCTTTGTATGTTTACTTGCACCCTTTACGGCGGTGGCGAATAACGTGTTAAATAATCATTTTCTTCTGCCGACAAGCGGCCATTCAAGTTGTGAAAATGCTCAGCTATTTGTGAAGCATGCCGAACTTCGATCGAACAAGCCCCGCATTTTTATATAACCAGCGTGTAGTGGCAAATTCAACAAGATGCGGTAAGTCAGTTTTAGGACTCGAGCAGACAATATCAGGACAAATTTGATCTGGTCACCCATGTTACATTTGTTTGACCGACTGTTAGTGTTGGCTGTTCATCATAGCAGTCTTCCACATCGTCCACTTCGAAGGCACGAGTCATTGACCGGACGGAATTGATGTGACATAGTAACGACAACATTGAACGAGCACAAACATATTGAGGTACACGACAGCTGCCAACATTCGAGAACAGATTTCAAGTCAGAGGTAAACAATTGGAACACAAAGGAAATATCCAAAAGATCATGGAATTTGGATCTTAAATCTGATTGATGCTGACGACATCGGTGGAGGGATCATACGTGATGCTCCACGTAGTATCGTCCTCGAGAGCAGTAAGATCTTGCCTGAAGAGACAATTGGTCTCGACTCGACTCTTGATCAAGCTGTTCTCCTTGTAGCCCGTGCCATTATACCCCCTTAGAACTGGCTGAAACACTCCTACGTTTACCTTCTGCTCGTGCCCTACGCCGAGCCAAACTAGAGCCGTCTTTGCCCTGTCCCCATCCCTCCCGATGAAACCTGGACAATATGTAGCACAAGAACTTTAGGAATAGCAGTTAAACGTACCAAAGCCTATATCCTCCTTGGATGGTGCGTCGTTTAGACATTGAATAGATTTTACCGAGGGGTCGATTTTGGGATCCTAGGCTTGTCTCGCAAACGGATATTGAGAATGCCAGTAGGTGTACTTACGGAAAAATGGTATATGTCGCCCTCCTTGGTTAAAGTGGTGGTTTGCCCAGGCTAAGTAGCAGTCCATGAAACCCAACGACAAATCCATGAATCCACCCGACTCTCACCTGCATAGCAACCTCGGCAACACTTTGAATGTCACCACTAGAAAGACGAACCTTAGTGAACGCAAATCTGAGGGGTGCATTGTAAATTAGCTCTCCACACAAGCTTCAAATGGCCCTTACGGTGATTGATATATAACTTCGGAGCGGTAGGCGCCTGTCAGTGTCAGTGCGTATGTGAATAGCCCAAGGCACTGATAATATTCGCCCCACCTTCGGCCCCAAATCTCCTGACCCTATTCGCAAAGTCACATCAGCGAGCGAGCGCGACAACAAAGACGAAAATATGAAGGATATACATACGCAAAAGCCGATGGGTAATAGTCCTTGAAAACCTTGACATCGGGCTGCTCGTCGAAAGTGAGAAGAAGGTCGACGTCTACGCCGAGATCCTTGGATTTGAAGGTGAGCCTTTTGACGAGGGTATCCATACGGTGTGGAGTTGAATTCGAGAGTGAAAGTACAAGGGAGTTGGCGTTCAATGTTCAGTTGTGGCCTATTGCAGAGTCCACACGACGGGTTATATACCGCCCTCTGCAAACTAGAAACGGAGAGCCTGTTTTAGGTCAAGTTCACTGTTCAGCATGCTTCACAAACAGCAGCTTGACCCGTTCGTCGACGTATGAAATGATTCTTTTGACGCGTTAGTATTCGCCACTGTGACTCGGAAGGGTACAGGTGACATACAAAACTTCACAGCGATTTACGAGACTTGGAACCATTATGCCGTTTGATGAGATCTGGTCATTGTTCAGAGTAAAGTCATGATGTAGTAAGGAAGGGTCGCATTGCAACTTGACCTAGTTTTCACTCGACTTCTCCGGTGTTACGAGCGCTCCGAACGTCAAAATGGGATAAGACAGGGTGCGATAATCGGATGCAATGAAACCAAAACATCCACGTGATCGCACTCAGTACCCCGGGCCCTTTACACTGCAACTCTGGAACTAGGACTATTTACTCCGAGTCGCACGCGCCGACCACACAACTTCCTCGTGTCGAACGAGTCACCTCCATTCCCCCACTTAATATCCAACTTTTGGATTTTCGACACCAAGACACATTTGACGATCTGCTCTAAGAATTATGTACCGCCACATCCCGATGCATCGATTCGGAACTCTCTTAACATCGGTTGTGGACATGCCAGTGGGGTCAATGCCGTCTACTACAATTACGAGGATGACCTCAACACGTTACTCCAAACAGTTAAACAACAGATCCCTCTAAACGACTTAATACCCCAAAGTCTCGTACAATGCTACCGAGCCCTGTCAAATCTGCAACGGATCCTTGTATGTCACTTGTACCCTTTATGGCAGTGGCGAATAATGTGTCAAAAGAATCATTTCGTACGTGGACGGGCGAGTATTGTGGAAGTGATCAGCTGTTTGCAAAGCACTTGAATCGAGAACGACCCTCCGATTCCAGCTTCCACATTCGATTTCTACGGATACAGGGTCGCAGTCCTTCCGGAGGGGGTATATAAGTCGTGTCAACTCAGCCACAGGCCATACGCGACTGAACACTAACTTCCTCTTACTTTCCATCTCGGGTTCAACACGATATGACTCCGATTGTCACCAACAAGCTTACCTTCTTCGTCTCCAGGGACCTCGGCATAGACGCAGAGCTTCTTCTCACTTTCGACGATCAGCCTATCGCTGGGATGTACAAGGACTATTACCCATCGGCTTTTGCGTACGTATATCCTTCATATTTTCGTCTTTGTTCCCGCGCGCTCACTGAAGGAATTTCCAAATAGGGTCAGGAAATTTGGGGCCGATGGTGGGTGAACATTATCTGTGCCTTGGGCTATCTAAATAAGCACTCAAAGGTATCTACCGCGCTGATATTACATATCGATCACAGTAAGGGTCATTCGAAATCTATGTGGAAACCAATTTACAATGCGCATCTCAGACTTGCGTTCACCAAGGTTGTTGTTTCCCATGATGTCATCCAAAGTGCTTCGACCGAGGTTGCTGTTCAGGTGAGAGTCGGACGGATTCACGAATTTGCTGCTGGTTTCATGTAGTGCTACTAGGTTGAGCAATCTACCACTTTGACCATGAAGAATCAAATATTCCATTTCTCCGTAAGTGCGCTCACTGGCCTTCTCAATGTCCATTTGCGAGACAAGCCCAGGATCCCAAAACCGACCTCTCGGTACCGAAGAATAACATCCAGTGTGTAAACCACGCACCATGCAAGGAGGATATAGGCCTTGGTACGTACAATTGCTCTCTTGAAATTTCTCGCGCTACATATCGTCCAGGTTTCATTGAACGGGAAGGGGATGAGCCCAAGACGGCTCTAGTTTGGCATGGCGTAGAGCACGGGCAGACGTTGAACGTGGAATTTGTTCCGCGTCTAAGAGGTTATGTTAATGCTTGCCCCTACCAGCTGGGTAGCTTGCTCGAGGGCCCAATTCAAAGTGGCCGCCTTTTCGACCAAGACCTCAGTACTCTCGACAAACATACCACATGGGTCGTCACATACGATGAGCCCACCGGAGTTTTTAGGATCGATGAGGAGATAACGAGCGAGGTTCAACATCTGTGATAAATTGCTTTTCATGAACCTCTTTCAAATTTTGGCTGCTGTCAATCAGTTGGCATTGTGCTGTATTGATGTTACTATCTTGTAAACTGTTCCCTTTGTTGTGCAACTCGTTTTTTCAAAGTGAAACGTGATAATCACAGTATGGGCGAAAAAGTCGCCTATGCCCACCGTGGCACCGCCCCTCTCCTACAAATGCACCTTCCTAAAATGTGTTAAGTACAGTATTCGTCCTTGCAACACTGCCACTCGTTGAAAGAGTTGGTGTTTCTTGTTCAATCTTACACAAAATTCCTTGAAATTTGATTTGTTATGATACTTTGAGAGGCCCTTAGACTTGTAATTGAGTCCAGCTTCATCTATCAGATGGCATTGAGGTCATTCCAACAGTGGTTGGGCTGGGGCCGAGCATTAGCTCGGATCGGGTGGGCGGGAAACAAACTTGACAGGCAGACTGTCGGATGACCATTATATGCGATAAGATAGGTGGCTAAATACGATGATAGGTATGTATGTACGGGTATTCGAGATATAATTCAATATGACATGAAAATTATTATAGCTATGTCGGTAATGGGAGTGGATGGTGGGCAAAAATATGAGGAAATGAGCGAGGAAACTGTAGGTACGAGCAAGTAGGATGTGTGGAACGGAGAAGAAAAACGACAAAGAGAGCTGAACGTTTCGCTCATGTGCAGATGTACATTTTGTAGGCAAGCAAACACCAGTGCCCAGCCAGGCGCACTATTTCAGGGTCTACCTTTTGTGCAAGGTAGAAAGAGGCTCCTCCTATGTGTCTGAATGTGGTGCCCCATCCCCAGGCTGCAATTGTGCAGTTAATGCATTCGAGTGTGTGCTGTTTGACCATAGGGCGGATGATACCCAGTTTGTCACGCCACAAAAATAAAGGGTCTTCTTGAAGTGCCAGTACTACTGATGCTAGATTGTGTAGCACTGCAATAGGACATAGTGCACCTTGAGAAACTAGGAAGATTGATTGAATTTCTCCTGGGTGAGCTGTTTTGGCTGAAGGCAGATCCAATCAAGCATATGCTTTTCCTATGAGGTCCACTCCCAGAAAAACATCTTTGCAAGTGACGTGTTTTGCTGAACTGAAGGCTGCCCATGATTTGACAAATACTTCACCAAAGCGCATCATGCAGAAAAAGGTGCAGCTTGCCATTGCCCAGATACAAGCATCAAACGAGTCAGATAAGTTCAATGTTGCTTTCAGTGCATGTAACATGTCGATAGTGACTGGAGGATGGATTAGTTTGCGCCAGGCGCTGAGCAGGTTGTCCAAACCACATAGTGACCAGTTTATTCTAGCATGGTCGTCTTCAGAAAGAGGTGGGCACCAGCCTTGTGTGATGTGCCCAGCAAGATATTTTCTAGCTACACTTATGGAAATGGGCTCGAAAGGGATCAATGTGCAAGCATTGCTGAATGAGTTGTCGGGTGAAGGGTCTGAAACTGCCCAAAGCACAAATGAATGGAGTAGCTCAAATGAAGCTAGAAGGCAGTCCGATTCTGGTATGGAGAAAATGTCACAAAACAGGTGAAATTTTGGGAGGCCAGAGCCATAGCTCATCGTATTGTGAAGGGAAGCCCTGGATGCTATGCTGGCTAAGTGCTCTATGACAGGGTGTGCAATTGTTGATGGTGGTGGGATGTTGGGTCCTTGCCAAAGGAACAATTGTTTATTTGCACGACAAGGGGGCCAGAAAGATGAGGGGTTAAGGCTGAGGTGACGAGGCTGGGCTGATGAAAATGAAGAATTTGCTGGTGGGGTGCTAATGGTGAGTGGAATGGAGTGAGCTGATGCTACAATTATATTAATTTGCCTTCGAGGTGATCTGGAAAACTGAAAGAGGCCTGCTGGGCTGCCAGGCGAGTGAAATATTGCTGCAAATGACAACAGCCCCCTCAAGAAGGGGCAAATGATGGGGAATACACAGGAAACATGCACGAGTTTTCCATGAAGGCTGTTTGCCTCTTTCTCAGAGAATTTGGTGTTGGTCTCGAGCCATGTTTTCACCAGAGCTTGAATTTTGATGAGTTTCTCCTCTGGGAAAGCTACAGATTTTCTCTCGAGATACCAATCGAATCCACTGTAATGCTGTGTGGAAGTGAAAGGACGGAGCTTCATGGAACACCACGTATGCAGTGAGGGCAATGAAATCAGCTTCCGTCTAGGATTGGTGTGGCAAATGGATGACAAGGAAGTTGTCCACCCATTTTCGGATTAAGTTGAAACCAGGGTGTTTTGCTGTAGAGGATGCACAGGAGTGATGCAATATGCTGCTGAGATGTTGAACATTGCTGCAATGCAGCCTGGTGGTAAAGTGAGAATTAGTTCTGCTGTGCTATTGAAGGAGCCCCATATAGTGGGTAAATTGTCCGAGTTGTTACCTGCATTCACTGAAGCAAAGGAAGGGTTGTTTCGTGGGTATGAGAGGTCTTGTACCAAGCACAATTTGCTGGAATGAGGTTTTGGAACCAGTCCTAAGGGCAATGATTGGAAAGGTCCAATTAAGGGCTCGAGTTCATGAGGGTTGTAACCTCATGAATAAAAACCAGCAGCTTGTTCGCTGGCTATGTATGAGTCAATAAAGGAAGATTTTAGTTGACAAGATGTATGATTTTCAAAATAAATGAGTGACCGGTGGGGTGCCTTGCACCCCAACATTAAAACCATCGTGAAGTCCTGCAAGTATGTGCAACCAGTCATCTAAGATATTATATTTACGCAGAAGTTCCTCAACTCGATCTATAATGAGAGGTGTCACCACTATGTGGGGGTCAGGCTTGTTTGGCACAGCTACTAGCTCCATGACTAGGTTCTCTGCAGATGCTGCACCTGTGAAAGTTGGTGCAGTTGGCTCCGAATCAGCAGGAAGAAGAGCGAGCCCAGTTGAAGCAGTAGTGCTTCCCATTGGCTACTGAGAGAGTGTGCCTGCTTTTCACTGTGGCTGTAATTGGAGCAACAGTTTTACCTGCGGAGGTAGTTTCGGCACTGCAGTCACCAGGCAAATGTCCGGAGTGCCCGCACCGAAAGCAATGTACTTGTGCCTTCTTGCGAGGAAATTGCATAGCTTCCTGCAGATGCTCTGCAGGAGCTGAACATTTCAGCAGAGATGTTGACATATAATTGGGTAACTTCTGAGTGGCCAGGGATGTGCGCACAGCGGCTTGAGTTGCTATGAGCATGAGCACATTGACATCCAGGCCTGTTAGGTTGTGACTTGGATTCTGCACAGCCAGCTCCCACTGCGCAATATCGTATTCCTGAGCAATTTCCCATCCATGAGAGGATGTGAGCTCAGAAACAACTTTATGATGAGATATGAAGGCTGTTCCATGCAAGGTGCCATGGTAAAAGGTGATACGCTCTTCCACCGATCAAGATGCAGTTAACCAATCATGAAATTTAATTGTTCGTTCTTTGCTACGATCTAAACCTTTTGCTATTATGTTGCCTTGGGTGCTAAATGAAAATGCCTCATCGCCGTTGCAAGCAGTGTTACAATGCACTGCAGGGGTAATCACCGAGTATGGCACATATTTGTATTGCCTCAAGGCATCTTCCACCTTTGAAGGGACAACTGTAATGCAGAGATATATATGAGCGACAGAGCTCTCGACGATGAGTAGGTAAAGCTAAGGAGATAACATGACTAAAAGGCTTGATTCTGGAGAGAAATGTGGGTCGCGATGAATATGATTAGCGCCAACAAAGGTGCATGATGATGTAGAGCCTCAAGTCTCCACAGGCACTTCCCTCCAAATTCTCCCACTTTCCCTATAAACTCCAGCTCTAATCCACAGGATTAGTCTAGTGCATCAGTGCACTTATATTTTATTTTGCAGCTTTCGCGCGCAACCTCACGGGTTCGTGCACCTCGCACATCTGCACTCGCATTGTCTGCGCATTCGTCTGTCTGTCCATCCTATGTCCTTAGATGTTCATTGGTGTGTTTTCCCATCATATTTCCTTTTCAATTAATTGGTTTCCATCGCTAATACTCGGCTCTGCACTTCGTGCATAACCAAGACCCTGTTACATACCCCACATACTATTTTTAGTCTGTTCGGCTCATTACATTGGACCTGCACACCTGCCGCCGCTTAGCTACTTTACTTATACCCTCCTATTACTTATGTTCTGGGTCGATTTTCTGCCCACTTTCTCTGTGTCTCTAGATACTAGGAATTTTACTCATTGTTTGCAAGTGACTATCTAAAGTCGTGCGCTTCGGTTCTCCGTCTCTATCTTAGCATCAGCCAACCTTAGTTGGGGTGTTAACACTTGTCTCGCTTCGTCTTTCCTTTGTTACTCTCGCTCACTAGTCTCTTGCCTTCGCTCGTGCGCGCTACCTTCACGTCGCGCACCTCGTCCTTCACCTTTCACACTCGCGCGTCATCGCGCAAGTTTGCATTTCGCACATCACATTGTCTCTGCCTCGCGCATTACTTAGCCTTAGTACTTTATTAGTTGTTTGGTGTCCCTCTTTTTACAAAGAGAGGTTTTCCTTTACTCAGTTAGCTGCCCTTGGGACAATGATTTCACTTGCGCCCGGGTCTATCTGTGTTTGCTTAGCTTAGCACCAACTTTCCCCACAGTTTAGATTCCTCATCTTCAACTGGAGCCCACCGTGAGGGGCACTACTGCGACATCTGATAGAGTACTCAGACCCAATGCGCACCAGTTATTTTGCGCACATCAACAAAGCTATAGAAGAACTACCCGACGGTTCACTTTTCGCTACCATACTGCCCGCAGAATAATCCGCTGTCGACGTGCCGCGTCTGGGACTTTTGTTTTTTGGTGGTGCAAACAAATGACAATCATCGCCTATCATGTCTTTGCCCAAAGAATCACTCAATGACTTTGCATCCATAGACGCGCCTAGAGGTAACATCCCTGGAACCTTTCACAGCACGCCTAAAGCAGAGCAAAAAGCGAGATTCACCGCGCAAAGCAGAAGAAGAGTCAGATTTGCCCATCAAACCTAAAACAGTTCAAGTCCTCAACCCGCCCGTCTCAATACTTAACAGACACGTAATCGGCGCTCTCTCAAGTGTTTACGCGCCGCAACCCGCATACATCACACCCACTCCAGTACCCGCACCTGCAATTGCCCCCGTTGCCCTGCCAGTCACAATGACTATGCCTTATCGCAGCCCTATTTGCGGCACTGACCATGTGCCGAAATTCAACAGCACCACCGCTAACCTCCTATATTTTATAGATGCATATGAAGAACATGCCAATCAGGCCAGTCTCGCTAGTCTTGATCACATCAAGCAGATCATCCAGTACCTTGCGCCCGCTGACAAATAACTTTGGGCATGTCTGCCTGAAGCAAAGGTCAGCGACTATGACACATTTATACGCGAAGTAAAGGTAATGTACCCCAGCTGTGAAGGTGATCATCGCTACACGGTCAACAACTTGAGCCCAGTCGTGCGAAAGTACGCTGCAATGCCAATGCCATCGGTCAATGAGTTGAGCTTGTACTATCGCGATTTCCACAGGATAATGCAGCTGCTCTTAGACAAGGATAGAGTAGGCTTGGCGGAACACGACCGCATATTCTTAGAAGGACTGCCTAGCAATGTCCAGATGCTCATGTGCACTCGCCTACTAATTAAGTTCCCAGACCATCATCATGAGGACCCTTACCCATGGAAGAATGTCTATGACACGGCAATTTTCTTATTGCCAGCTACAGCACCCGCTTCACCTGCACCCATCACCAATGTGCAAGTCGCAGCACCATTAGCGAGTTTACTCCCCACGGTCGCGTCGACACCAGTGCAACAGCCCACGCAAGGTTTGTGACCAAGTATGAATATCAGTGTCCATGCACTACACAAGCATCAGATGGTTGCATGTTCTGCGGCAACCTTGACCATTTCATCGCGCATTGTCTGGAGTGCGAAAAATACCTCAACGCAGGAAAGTGTAAGTTGGATGAGAACTATAAGCTCATCATGCCTAATGGCAATCACGTCATCGGATGCAAACAGCTATTAAAGGATCGCGTAGATCATATGATCAAAAGCGAGAAGAGCGCAGACGCTAGCAGCACTCATGTAGGTTTATGGTACCAAGCACCAGCCAAGGTAGAATGTGTTTTGGATGTCGATCCATCCGTGTTCGTACACACGATTGTTGAGTCCGAGTCCGAGAAAGACAAGGACGAGCATGAACTCAAGCGCACTACCCAAGCCCTAGCATACGCAAAGGCAAAGGTTGAGCAAAAATGCGGAGCAAAAGCTAACACAAAGGAGAAGAATGTCCGCTTCGATGGCATTGCTGTCCCTAGTGAAACGCAATCACAACCAGCTCCGGCATCGCGCCAGCCGACAGTCGAGGAGGAAATCATTTCCCCAGCTATTCAAGCAATGTCCAGTAAAGGCAAAGAGGTAGCCAAAATACCTGTAGTAGTACTGCCCACGCCGATTGCGAGTGCACAAACATCATTGTCATCATACATGAAAAAGACTGCTAATGTTTCACCCCCCCCCCCCCAGCAGTAGCAACAGCAGTGCCGGCAGCACCCATGCCTTCGAGCACTTACAGTCATTGACCATCATTTGAGTTTTCACCATCATTTGCGTTTACCTTGTATGACACTTGAATTTGATACTATCCCATGTAACATTTTTGTTCTATCATACGAGTTATGTGCCTAACTACATATTGGCAGTAATGATAGGTATAAAAAACCTCGAAAAAATGTGCGATGGTATGTTTTGTTGCAAAATTTTCACTATTATGCGTCCCTGAAAGCAAAACAGCTAGAATCAGATTCGTAAATCGAAGAAATACCTGCAAACAACCTTCAAGCACATCACTGTTCTATTCCACAAGGGAGCTGATGAGTGTGTGTGTTGCCAGAATGTTGCCGGTGCAGAGTGTCTCAATAGTATCTTATCAGCATCACCGAAGCAAGATAAGCGAGATCCAATAAACACGAATATGATTGAGGATCATTGTGTTGAGCTTCAATACAGGTGTACTTCACACATGTCTGTCGAGTACAGCAGTAACACAGTGGCAATCCATGAGTCTGCTGTTCAGTCCATCAACCTTCACTCACCACTTGAGATGGCCAAGCATGCACAGTGCTCATGCCATGGAAGCCTACAAAGCCAAGCTACAGAAACCTGAGATGGAATGGAAACCACTGAAAACCATCTGTCAGGAGGCAGCAGAGGAATGGAGGGAGAATGGTATATCTGTGACTGTGAGTGCTGATACAGTGCGAAGACGTCTCATGGGAGGAAGAAGCCACACCGAGTTCAATGCCAAGAAGAATGCATGGCTCACATCGGAGAAAGAGACAAAAGTGGTCAAATATCGCCTTGCACTTGCAAAGAGAGATTTCCCACTTAATCATAAGCAGCTGAAGTTTTATGTCGACTCTCTTTTGCAAGCACAGCTTGGTGATAAATTTCCAGAAGGAGGAGTTGGCAAAAACTGGTCTACTTGATTCATTCAGTGGCACTCTGCCGATTTGGGCTGCTATTGGAGTACCTCGTTAGATACTGCTCGAGGTCGTGCAGTCAATACAAACACAAATGCACAATGGTACAAAATGTCAGGAGACACACTTACAGAGAAGAAAATCGAGCAGGATTGCATCTGGGCTGCCGATGAGAGTGGCTTTCAGCCGGGACAAGGATTAAAAGAGCGAGTTATTGGTGCAGCACATCAGAAAATACAATATCAGCAACGTGACGGCAATCGTGAAAATATCACAGTCATGGTGACAATCTGTGCTGATGGTGAAGAGATTCCTCCTACCGTAATCTACAAGGGTCGGTCATTTTCAACAAACTGGCATCAAGGTAACGCAATCAATGCTTCGTAAGTTGCTGAACTCCTCAGTTTGTTCTGGAACTTACCCATGTGCAGTGTTGCCCAGTTGCCCAAAGGGTGGACAGATGGTGTCATTGGCCGTTTGTGGATTGAAGATTTTGACAACAAAACACGTGGGAAGTCAAATGGATGCACAAGGCTGCTTCTCGTCGATGGACACAACTCGCATTACACTCGAGAATTTCTGGAGTATGCAAGAGAGAACAACATCCACATCCTGTGTTATCCAGCACATGCTACCCATATCTACCAAGGGCTTGATGTTGTGGTATTCGGACCACTCAAACACTACTGGACACAAGAGAGAGATGAGTACAAGCGGACAACGAGGCAAAAACTTGACAAGATGAATTTCGTCTCCGTATATAGCAAGGCCCATCAAAAAGCATTAACACCTGAGATGATTTGTGCTGCTTTCAGGAAGACAGGTGTCTGGCCATTTAACCCTGATGTGGTGACCGAAGATATGATGGCACCAAGCTTGGTGACATCCTCAGTTGGCCATCTGCCAATATCGCAGCCAAGTCCCATGAAAGCACTCACAAGCATCATCCATCAGTATCACGAAGATCAAACACCACAGTCAACATTGTTAACACCACACTGGAATACACTTGTTGGACAAGCCCTCGATGACCTTGCATCTTCATCAGCATCGTTTCTCATATCTGACACTCCCATTACCTCCCGAGACCACCTCCCTGCATTTACACCAACTCCATTCACACCTACTCGCAAATGAAAACACACGGTCCTTGATCATCAACCTGAAACAGAACATGAGCACGAATGTCACAATGCATTGCGAGAGGCATATGAGCGTGAAGATTACTACAAAGGGACCTTATATGGCATGCAGTCCACTGCAGTGTTGCAGGAAATGTACTGCAAAACATTATCAAGTCAGCTGGCTGCACAGGAAGAGAAGAAGTTAGCGAGAAAGCGGGAGAAATTAGTAGGTAACAGACTACCGAGACTCCTCACAGGAGACAAATTTTATTGCTCAGTTGTTGATCACAACAATGCGGCAGATGCGGAGGTGGCAACGCATGAAAGCCGTCAGCAAGAGAGAGATGAGTGAGCGAGTTTAATGAAAGCATGGAAAGAGGAGGATGGAAAGCGGCTGGAGAGAAATGAAGTGCGCAGGCAAGAATATAAGGAGGAGTTGAGGCAGTGGGGAGAAGAGCGAGCGGGGGCAAAGTTGGGGAGACAACGCATGACACATGTCAAACCAAAGCTTGGGAGACTCAAGGCCCCACTCCCAAAGCTGGCACTCGCCCACATTGACAAGGAAGAGGATGAGTCAGATGATAGCGAGGAAGAAGATTAATCTGCGCGACTAGGGAATAAATCTGCCTTTTTGGGTGAACTCAAATGACGGTAAACGTATGATAACACCAAGATTTACACACTTTCATTGCAGAATAACATCTCGTTTGATGTTCTTTAAGATTTTGCTCGAAGTAGATTAGCTATCTATCGTGACATCCCCAAAAGAGATTTCCAAGATTGTGTCAGGTTGTGTTGTGGTAGACATCCGAAAATTTCAAACTCAAATGACAGCCAATGACTGTATCATTTAACTTGTCTGCTCGAGGACAAAGGCGCTGAAAAGCGCATAACTGACCAGATCCATCCCTGGTTGTAAAGTTTGGCCTAATAATGTGGTTGCTGCCACGGATCCATTGACAGTTTTCATGTATAATGCCATAGACCCATTTTTGACCTCATTTGACCTCCTGTCTGGCTCCTGCCAGTTGGATCCATTTTGACAGTTTCCATGGTTGATGCCAGTACCCAATATGGCACCACAGCTGCACATTTCCGCATTTTCAGCCACCTAGCATGGGAACCTCACAATACCCAATTTATTTCGCATTTTTGGCCAGCTGTGGGAATTTCCCCAGAACACTTAAAAATAGATTGCTCCTCAAATCAGGGCCTTCCCACATTAACCCCACAATTTTAGTTATTCCCACACCCTCCACACCAGGGTTCAGGGAATTAGGGATCCCGCTCTGGTTGACCAGCTAATTAGCACAACCCACAGTGAGGGCCTAATTGATGAGTGTAAATGACAGCAAATTCACTCAAATTCACCCATAGCTCTTTGACGCTGATTTGCACTAATTTGCAGGTAAATTTGGTCTAATTGACCGTAATATACAACGAAGCTGCTTATCTCCATTCCGCCCACTCATCATCCATCGGTGTCAAGGACGAAGTCGTGGCCATCACCTTTGGCGTCGATGGACCTCCACAAGCAGCTGTTGGCTGTACAGGGTGGTCTGACAGAATATTGAGGAGGTATGTGGATGATATGTCAATGTCTTTACCCACATTGAACTCCGTGCTTTTCATGCCAGCTAAACACACATAGTCCATGCTATCACGCCAATCCCCGTCTTCATCATCCAAGTCTGAACATCTACCTTGATGTTCGTTGGTCAAGCTCGAAATGATGTCCACGGTCACAATAGGTGGTCGAGTAGGTGGCGGGACAACAGGTGGTGTCTCATGTTTACCATGGATGGTTGCATACATATCTCGCCATTTGACGGAAGGAGCGACTGTCGGTTCTTTGCTCATGTCAGCTTGCCAGCGGTGCCACTGATGAATCTGTATATGTTCTTTTAATGTCGAGATGTCTTGTCTGCTTCGAGTGGGGCTTTTAAGCCACGTGATTGTTGAAACTGTCCTCTTGTCGGCCATCAACACTGGGACAACGGAGTATAACTTGATTGCAAGGGCCTGGACATAAGAGTGAGTCAAATAAAAAAATATATTGAATGAATGTTACCCCAAGAACTCGTGCATTTTCATCCTTTTGAACAGCTAACCACCAGTCTCGAACATTCTCGTGCTTGCAAATCTTACGGTTGAAAGGATCTGCTCCTTTATGATACTCCTTGAGCTTGACCTTCAATGCCTGCAGAGCCTCTTGTGGAGTCAATCCAGTGAAGTGGGGATTTCTCTCTTTCATAAGTTTTGTGGTGGCTTGGTCTGACCTCACCCCATCATAAACATCATCATACTCGTGCTTGAGCATAAGCTGAAGGCTCGTGCCAACTCTCTTCATGATTGAATCTTCGGGGGATACAATACTATATGTCCCATTTCCTTTCGTCATATGGATGGGAGGCAGGTCAAGAGGATTGATATTCCTGTAGATCTGTGCAGTTCGGTGTTCTTCAGAGCGTCAGTGTTGTGACAGCACTGCAATGAGTTGTCCACCTACCTGGGTGCAAGAAAAATGCTGTGATATATGGATCATTTGGTGCATTGTTGATCATCTGATTGAACTGCGCATTTGTAATTGTGCGAATGGCCAATTTGGTCTCTTCCCACAGTCGAATTGTATTGCCTCGAAGGAGTTGTTCCATTTGTGTGACAATGGCAAGCCAGTACAGATAGATGTCTGTGCATGTTGTATGCGCAGATTCCAGACACTGAATTGCCTTCATGTATGGTCCTGTAATTGCTACGAGCTTGGCTAGGGCAACTTGAAACATTAGCGAATCGATCAAAATGGTACATAGTATCTTACCTTCACGTCGATCCCCAGACTCGGATTGCTAACTATGGCTTGCATTGCAGGCAAACAGCATTGCAGTGAGGCTGCAGACCAATGAATGTTTATTAGTCCAAGCATCTATTCAACAATAGAAACAATGTATCAGGAGCCCAGGACCATAGGATAACACCCTGTTGCATGGTGTACCCCTGCTCTCCTGGTGGTTTACCCCCTGTGAAACTTTTTCCTGTAGGACCGGACCTCAATTGGTGTAAGGAGTCTATTTCTATGTATATTCACAATAGATCTATCATATAGCTGGCCAATGACACACATAGGATCCTTCTACAGGAACAAAAACATAGAAAATCGCATTTTTGACACTTTTGATGTTTTCACTGCCTTACCCTTGCATAAATGACTGGCCCTGCTCATATATAATCAGTAGTACATCTTCATATATGTTCTATGCCAAGTATCAGCCCTACATAGGGCGCAAATTTGATATCTGATGTACAGGGGGTAATTCTACTGATAAGAAGCCTACATAGTAATCAAGCCTGTGATGACTAATCAAAGACCTGGGATACCTTCATTAGAACATGTCTCACGTCATATACAGCCCAGAGAATGCAAGAAATGACGGAATTGTAAGCATCTCTCATGTAATTTTGACAGCACAATCTCACATTTAACAGTCACAATTGGAGTTTTTGGCAGACTTAGTATGCATTTTTTCGAACAGCTATTGGTGTTACAAGAACATCTAGACGCTTGGGCCCCTACTATTTTTCTTCTCATCCTCCTCATATCAGCCCTCGCCTCACACCCTTACCCCGACCTCGCTCTCGTTATCCTGGTCATCCTTGCATTCCCCTTCGCCCTCTACCTGTTGCTGCAGCAGAGCCAGTACATCTGGCCCGATCCTTTTGCTGACAAAGCATACCCATGCTCCGTTTCACCACCTGATTGATCCTGTGGACAATCTCTCTGCCCTTACCGTCCGGATGTTAACCTATGATACAATGCACGACGCATCCCCTTTACCCTTTTCCCTTTCTTGATCCATGACTCGGTGCACAGTCGCACATGCGCATGTATACTTAGTTCTGCAGTCGCACGATCGTGCCCCTGCGCGTTTCACTTCTTGTTTCAATCTTTGACTCACTTTCTTATCTGCACGTTCAGGTTCACCCGTGTCTCACCTCGAACGTGCTTTCCTTTTATAGTCTTACCCTTTACCGCTTACTCTTCTTGGTAGTACGAGTTATCATCCACTAATACGCTTCCTGTCCTCTATATAAACTCGCTACCATGTACCATATTCCTTAACTTGAATCTACTTGGTTCTTGACCTCCTACTCTCACCAGAGTGATCCTTTCTGCCTAGCTAGCAGTCTATATTCTATCTTCTTATTCGCTCTTCGCGAATAAGTCTTTAGTCTCGATCATTACTCATCGACTTCATCGACGAGCAAAGCCCCTTCGCTAATTAGTCAGACTTCTATCCTTCTAATTAATGACGATCTTACGATTAACCTTCAGGTGTCGTAAGCCTTGGCAGATCTCGCTTATCGTCTAGCACCCGCTTGACATAAGCTACCCGATTTGGACATAGGCGTCAAATCTTACTTGCCGAAGCTTCACCAAGTAAGACCCCTAACCTTGGGCTAAGCCCAAGGACGTCCTCGACCGTTGACGACACACGCTCTGTTTGAGCGTCGCCAACAGATACCATCCAAGTCGTAACAATTGGACTCTTATCCCAGCCTGTTGGAGCAACTAAAAACCAGGTCTGAGGAGGAGATTATTCATGTTGGAGAGCTGGTGCATTGTTTTCTGTGTGGCTAGACTTTGTGCTTACAATTCATAGATCAGTAAGGGAGCTGCAAGCACGAGAGGCGATGATACAAAAATGTTGAAGCCTGCAGTCCTTGATTGGATTTCTCCGAAAGGGGCAGCATTTCAGCCCCCCCTACATAGGAACTCAAAGATCAATCTCTAGCATTGGCAGTCCTAACGACCTTTTTTGTGCTTGATTTTCAACAGAACGAGAGAGAACCTCCAAAGTGGTGAAATGATAGTCTATAGGGACAAATGGCCAATTTTTTTATATGCCTACAATACATTTGATGCTGATGACCCATGGTGTGGTCTTCTTAGGAGGCACTTGTTGATATGTGTGAGTAGGCAAATGTATTTTTACATGGTTCACTACTGATTGCTTGCATGTCAGGCCTACAAGCACGTCTTTACATCTCTCCAAGTTTGGTTAACAAAGAACCAAAAGCCATGTGGTCCGAGAATGCTTGCCTTCATGGCATGAGTTCCATCACCATCGTGTCTATAGCTTATATTGCAACTCAGGTTCGTTGACACACATCTTTCTCACTGAATAATTGACATACATGCAACTGAAGGTCCAATTTGCTCTTGTCACAAGACCTTATCTAGTGCCAGAGTTTATTAATAGTTTATAGAGAATGGAATAACTGAACTCCCCTTGCACCTAACGACCATATCTCGGCAGTAAGCTGGTGGATGATATTGTGTTGTCATCACCCTGCATCCTTGCACCAAAGGGAGCTCGATCCAAAACATGCTAATGTTGCAAGAAATTATCTAGCACCAGAGTTCATCAACAGTTTGTGGAGAATGAACTGACTGACTCGCCTTGCACCTAATGACAGTAAGTTGGTGGAAGGTACCGCATCATCATTGCCTTACATCCAGGTACTGAAGGGAACTTGGTCCAGAACACACTAACATCACAGGACTTTATCTACTGCCAGAGTTTATTAAGATTTTGTGGAGAATGGAATGAATAACTGACCCTGGCGGATAGTACCACATCATCATCATTCCACATTCTTGTGCCAAAGGGAACTAGGTTCAAAACAAACTAACATTGCAAGACTTTACATAATGCCAATGTCGAGGTAGGATCTGTCAAAGTTCCATTAGAAAGCATAGGTTGTATGTGATAAGTGAATTGAAACTGCATTATAATTGCTTTACACATTTGGGCCGTTGGCCACTTTGACCTAAAGCAGTCTGGCCATATAAAAAATTATCTGATGTTAGCATTCATCTAGAGATTGAGCAACAGGCAAAGGTCACATACCATGAGGTGACTGTGGAGACTTTGGGTAACTGAATGATTCATTCTCACGGCTGGTGGGTATTGCAATCTGTTGACAAAATGACAGATAATTGCAACGAGACTGCACAAATGTGCATTTGGCAGTTTCTATCCAACTTAGTCCAGGTATTCAAAGCTCTGTCATTTAAAGTACAATTGTGATATATATTTTATGAATTGTACTTTAAATAAACCTTTCTAACACTTTACCAATTTCATGTTGCTTTCCTGATGATGCCCTAGGAAACACTAATAAGAAGAATTTCACACTTTGAGTACACAAAAAAATTAATATCATTAAAATCAGGTATCAGGCTAATGCAGTAATGTACGATTCATATGAATGAGTAAAGCAAAGCACAAGAAAAAGATAGTGAGTGATAGGATATAGCAAGCAGCGAGGTATCAATGATTATAGGACACATTGAAAATTTGATGTCCTACAAAACACAGCATGCCAGTGAGATATTCTACTTGTTGTCCATGTCATTGAGGTCCAAGAGTGCTAGATCAGTATCTTGGTCATAGGCTCCAATTGTATTATGACAGAAACACCTACAAGTAACAGTAAGTCAAGATTGTGTACATCAACTCAGATGTAGACTTACTGGACCTCCTCATAGATGTCAGCCATCATTTTGTGAAACTTAACCAGAGCAGTCCTTTGGATTTTCTCCAACAATGCTACATGGTAGTTATAGATATCACAGAACTGATTACTAGTGAACTTGAAGTCTTCACCCACCTTGTTTTTCTTTGCAATGAGAGTAGCGTGAATCTAAAAACAAAGAAGGTTAATGAGCAGATGAGTGTGAACACAAACTTGCGGCTGTGCTGACTATGGATAACATGGGGATGGGGATTTCTGGCCGACCAGCTTTGTTCTTTGCAATGTTGATGAAGCGTTGAGTGAACTGCAAACCAACTGACTTCGCATTTTTGAAGAAGATCTCCTACAGAGTGTCGACTATGGGTGGCCCTTGATATGGCTTCTGTTGTTTTGGTGAAGGAAGACCCTCTTCCTGGATGTGAGGTGTTAGTGCAATGTGAAATAGGCACTAGTATAATCTGAATCAATATCCAACTGTTCAATGTTGATATTGTGACAAGCTACAACTTTCAACCATTAGTAAGTGTGTCACATGGTCCCATGGGAGTCCTGACCTTTCTTCTTCCTGGACCGCTGAGGTTTGTTAACCTCCACGTTGTCCTCAGAGTCTGATGTGAGAGGTGGTGGCCACTCTAATCTTTCTGTGAGTTAGTTTGACTTTTGTGAGTGCTGATACTTACTGCAACTTTTGCTTGTCTCAGTTCTGAGGGACTAGGGAGGTACTGGTGAAGATGAGGAATATATACTGTTGTCAAAGTTGGTGCTAAGCTAAGCAAACACAGATAGTCCCAGGTGCAAGTGAAATCATCATCCCAAGGGCAGCTAACTGAGTAAAGGGAAACCTCTCTTTGTAAAAAGAGGAACACCAAACAACTAATAAGGTACTAAAACTAATGGATGCACAAAGCGCAAGACTAGAATGATAATGAGTGAAAGGTGGATGTGCAAGTGCGAAAGGCAAAGGGTGAGGAATGTGACATGAAGGTAACATGTGCGAGCAAAGGCGAAAAACTTGCGAGCGAGAGAGATGAAAGAGAGACAAGGCGAGACAAGTGTTAACACCCCAACTAAGGTTGGCTGATGCTATGTTGAAGAGGGAGAACTGAGGCACATGACTTTAGATAGTCACTGGCAAACAACAAGTAAAATTCCTCGTATCTAAGGACACAGAGAAAGTGGGCGGAAAAATCGACCCAGAAAATAGAGTAGAGAGATGGTATGTGTAAAATAACTAAGCACCGCTAGGTGCACAGGTCTGATGTAGTGAGCTGAGTAAGCTAAATATAGTATGCAAAGTAGGTAATAGGGTCTTGGCTGCGCGTGTAGCTCTAAGCCGAGTATTAGCAATGGAAAACAATTAGTCAAAATGGGAATATAGTGAGAGAACGCACCAATGAACATCTAAGGACATGGGGAGGAGGGGCAGATGGGTATGCAGACGATGTGAAGGTGGGCACGCGGAATCTGCAAAATAAAATAGAGAGCGCTACTGCGCAAGATGTATCCTTTGGATTAGAGCTGGAGTATGTGAGGAAAGTGGAAGAATTTGAGGGGAGTGTCTGTGGAGATGCGAGTCTTTACACTGGTGTTTTTGCTTTTGTTCAGCCACCTATATTTATCATGGTAAGTTGTCATTACATGTGAGCTAGCAATTGTGACTTACTCTTGACTGACTTGACCCATTTTGGAACAGATGTGATATTGTCAGTAGGTGAGCATTCATGCTTGCATGCCTGCTTCCCAGTGAGTGGTCCCCACACTGCAAGTTTCGTTGTTGTGAGTGTGAACTTGTATGATGACAATGTGCTTACCTGAATTATCTAGAGCCTGATCTTTTGCTTTGCGTCGTACTTGAACCATGTGAGTTTTAACTTTGTTTTCATGAAATTTGTTCTTATGCCATGGATGCAAGTCCATTGAAGGCAAGATTAGGTTGAAAGGAGTGAAAAACCTGAAAAATGAATGTGAGAGTGCCTTTCTGCAACAGAAAGACTGCTTCAAAAAGGTGAGTGGGTGTTTTTGTTTGAGTTGGAGAATGAGGTGTTCAATTTTCAACAGTCTGCTTATTATACCATCACACTGAGCGGTGAGCCAGGGTTGACCTTTCCCTGTCTCGCTTAGTTGCTAATTGGTGAGTTTATGTTTGGAAACCTAAAACACAGCCTTACACCAAATCCTAGCCTAGTCCGCACATTCATTTTCTGGTTCCATCACCAGGAAACTTTTTATTGGTGGTATGGTAATCGGACACAAGTCATTTCCTCTGTTTATGGACTATCAAGAAGCATTTTCCTCCCTGTTACCGCCCTCTGTGTTTAGGATATTCGACTACACTGGCATTTCCTCCATTTACAGACTATCAAGAAGCATTTTCCTCCTCATTACCACCCTCTGTGTTAATTGTGTTTAACTACTGCACTTGGTCAAAGTCATTTATCTGTGCTATTCGCCCTCACTGGACCTACTTAATGATTCTGATATCTGCTTCCATTGCTGTGAGACTCCAAGCATGTGGCATACTGTCATCGCTTTACCAAAGATTTCCATACTTTGGCAGAGCCTCACCTCTTGCATGCCACTGACACCATTTCTCCATTCTGACCCTCAGACTCATCACTCATGCACTTCTTGTTCTTACTGTTGGGTGATGAGTTGTAAGTGATTTTTAGGTGCCCAGTGTTCAATTTTTTACTGAATCTACACAGAATATGCCTGAAATAACATGTCCCACCTGCAATAAAAAGCTCACATCAATCACTGGTTATAGCCAGCATCTTGCAAAAACTACCAATCCTGCTTGTCGTACCCTCTACCTTTCTTTGCAGCAATTTGCCCCAAACCCACCGGACGATGGAGATATAGGTGCGCCTGATCCATGTCATGCACTGCACTTTGAAGGCAATTTCTTTGGAACATATGCTGAGGATGAGCTCACATGGCCAGAGTCAGATGATGAGGGGGATATTGGTGAAGTGCCTATGGACAAAGATGACTCAGATGGTGACATAGATGACAACGACGAATGGGAACCTCCTGTAGTGTCAGCAAATCTGGGTCAGTCTGTGTGTGGTGACCATGATCAATTGGAACCTCCTGTGATGCCAATACCTGCATGTAATGAGCGCAATGATGCCTCATGCCTGTCTACCGCAGATCAAAGCCAAGATCCTTGGCATATGGCACAACAGCGACTTCATGATCAAGAGCAGGCACCCATAATTTTTTATTACCCTGATCAATGAGCTGGACAGCCTGTTGAAGTCCTTGAGCAATCAAGCAACACAACCTACCATGCACAGCTAAACGGTGTCAGTTCAGATAATATATATGCTCTATTTGCCTCAAAACTTGATTGGGAGATGGCTCGATGGGCAAAATTATGAGGTTCAAGCTCAACAGCATTCTCAAAACTTGTCTCTATTGAGGGTGTAAGTCTGGGCTTCTGTCAAACACCAGGATGAATCTAATCATGGCACATTGATGATGAACTTCCAGGCCGACCAAAATTTAAACATGATCAGGTCGTCATTGCCAATAAAGTGTTCGATGTCTACTATTGTGATATCATTGAATGTATCAAGGCTCTTCTCAATGATCCAAATTTTGCTGAATTTCTGGTCTTTGCACCTGAATGCCACTATGCCGATGAAGATAAGACAGTTTGTTTACATCATGAGATGAATACTGGAAAATGGTGGTGGAATAGTCAGGTTGGTACTACTATCTACATTATGTGAGCTTCGCTGGACTAGTTTTAACACTATTTTTCCTAGAAACACCTAGACTGTGAGTGCCCCAGTGCTACAATAATTCCCGTTATCATTCCATCCGACAAGACTCAAGTTACGATGTCTCACAACAAGACAGCATACCCTGTCTATATGACTATTGGAAACATCCTGAAGGAGATTCGTCGGAAACCATCACGCCAGGCACATATCCTTCTTGTATACCTTCCAACTACTCGCCTTGAACATGTTACCAACAAAGCCGCTCATCGACGGGTGCTCGCCAATTTATATCACACTTGTGTGGAACATGTACTTGCTCCACTCACAGCTGCCGGCATTAGTGGCATTAATATGTGAAGTGGTAATGGAACGATGCATAGAGCTCATCCTTTGTTCGCGTGCTTTGCGGGAGACTACCCAGAGCAAGTTCTAGCTACTGGAGTCAAGACAACTGAATGTCCGAAGTGTGATGTTCCATCTGATGAGCTGAGTCTAGCAACTGGTATCGCAAACTGGCAATTGTGCACATGCGCAGATGCTGGCATTAAGCCTATTGTCCACCCATTCTGGGAGGAACTACCATTCATCAATATATTTGAATCTATAACTCCCAATGTTCTGCATCAACTATACCAAGGGCTCATAAAGCATCTCCTCACTTGGCTTTCTGATGTATGTGGTAGCACAGAGATTGATGCACAATGTTGACACCTTCCCCCCAATCACCATGTTCAACTATTTACAAAGGGCACCACAACTCTGTCATGTGTGAGTGGTACTGAACACAGTCAAATTTGTTGTTTCTTGCTCGGCATCATCATTGACATCAATTTACCTAATAACATGTCTTCTGCTTGACTTCTCCATGCCATTCATGGTCTACTAGACTTTTTATATTTTGCTCAGTACCCATGTCACAGTTCTGAGACACTGGTCTTACTTGACAAGGCACTTAATCTTTTCCACAAAAACAAAGACATCTTTATCGACCTCAGCATTCAGAATTTGTTTAACTTGCCAAAGCTCCACTCCATGGCTCACTACACCCACATAATTCGAATGTATGGCACTACAGACAACTATAATACTGAATACACTGAACACCTTCACATTGACCTCACTACAGATGCTTATCGCTCTATGAACCACAAAAGCGAGTTTGCTCAAATGACTACTTGGCTTGAACGGAGAGAGAAAATTTTACATCACGACAAATACATTTAGTGGAGACTCACTGAAAGCAGTGCATGTCCTCATCATCAGCCCCATCCCCCAGATATGTCATTTTGTCATATACAAATGATGATGAAGTGTCCTACCATCAAAGCAGTCACATTAGACAAGGTCACGAATACATATGGTGCCACACACTTTAACAAATCTCTCACACATTATGTTGTGAAAGCTACACTTCCTGCCAACACTAGCATTATGGCCAGGCAGCTCGAAGATCAAGCAGCCGATATACACATCCCATTTCAAACGGGATTGGTCTTTCACAAGGTGAAATGGCTCTCCACTGATGTTCATGGTCATGGTGATCCTCCAGTCACAGTCAATAGTGTTCATGCATGTCCTGGATGTCCAGGAACATTTACATCTCACAATGTTGCACCAAGATTTGATACTGTGGTTTTTTTTCTTTTTTTTAATCCAAATTTTGTCTTTGAGAGTAATACTCTATGTAAGACAATACTATCTAGTCTTGGGGGCCCCTGTTCCCCCCTGCACCTCTAGATTCATGAATTCCCTGGTGTGAGGCAGGCCTCCACAGGTCCACCATTCCCGCCGTGCATTTTAGACATGCAATCTAACGAAGGAGAAGTGACTTTTGAAATGGGCGCGCGATGATATAACTAATGAGTGGGGATATTCTGAACACGTTATCAGCTGCGTGAGCAGCTGGTATAGGAATATGTGTGGATGCAAAAGTAAGGTAGAAGAAGCCCCTGGTGACGAGGGTAGAAGTTCTTCAGAGTTTTGACTGAGACCAGTGTGAGCCGTGATTCCATATAGGCAAGAGATTAAGATTGATTGATGTTTGGTAGGATTATAGGGTTAGAATAGTGATTAGGAATTATGAGATTAGGTGTTGTTGATAGTGAGGATAGGGCAGGCGTGGGTGGTATATTTGACAGACTTGAAGGACGGGCAGGGCTCAGGATCTTGATTTCTACAATATTATAGGGAGGGAGAGAGGAGAGGGTGGGTGGAGGTTTTCGTCAGTTTGAGTGTTTTGGGATCAATGAGACTTTACCGAGTGTGGCTTTCATCCTGCCTGTGGCATTGACATATCGTACAAGGTGAGCAATGGTCCCTTCATTGGACAAGAGGAATGGGAGAGATGTAGCTTTGCGACCCAGTGCGCAGACAAGGATATGATGTTCTAGGCGATAGTGCGGGCATTCCAGGAGGTATTGATGTATACTTTCGACTGATTGTGGGCAATGGGGGCAGAATGGAGTGGGAGACTTGCTGATACAATGAAGGTGTTTATTCAGTGGGGCGTGGTGGGTGCGAAGGCAAATTAAAAGTCCTGTAAGGTATTTAGGATAAGTTTTGGTCAGCTTTATGAAGGAACAGTTCAGGATTTTTGGATTGATACTGTTCGTGCATGCAAACAGTGGGGAGTTAGCCCATACCCTTTCCCAACGAGCTTGGGTGGTGTCGTGGTGCGCTTGCTTAAGAGCGGATATGCTGAGCAGTAGAGACTTGAGGCGAAGGAAGTGAGGGAGTTGATTGTGTGGACTGTTGTTTTGATGATCTTCTGCTGCCATATTTGCTTGCTTGTCAGCTTCCTCATTGCCATGAATATTTGAGTGCCCGGGTACCCAGTGCACTGTAACCTCAAAGGTAGCATGTTTATTAGTGATTTTCTGCATCATATGCTAAAAGCGGTCCGCCAGGCAAAATCCTGGCCGTGGTCGGAAGTTGTTGCCACATTGAATTGCCACTTGGTTGTCGACAGATATTGAAATGGGGAATTGAAGGTTGCGTTCTGTTGCAATCAGTCCACATATTACAGTAACATATTTCCATATTATGTGGGTCACCCGACCTACATAATATCCTGTATAAGACAGGCCAGCGGATGATGGGCCGATGTGATGTATATCCTTGATGTTGATGGATGGGCCGGGAGGGATATTATTTACGATGGAGGCAGGTGGGCCCATATGTGGAATATGTAGAGTAGATGAGTGGGCCGATGGACATGAATATTCTATAGACAGATGGGCCGAGGTAGTTGGATATTATGTAGATGGGTGTACTAAGGTAGGTGGGTATCAGATAGACAGGTATGCTGAGGGTACTTGTCATCACATACACGAGTGGGCCCAGATATATACCATATTAGATGGGTGGGCTGGCTGAGGGGTACATGGTGTCACATACACGGGTGGGCCCAGATATATATTATCTTAGATGGGTGGGCCGAGTGTCAAGGAAGGTGGGCATCAGATAGACGGGTGGGCCAGCCGAGGGTACTTGTTATCACATACACAGGTGGACCCAGATATATATTATCTTAGATGGGTGGGCCGAGTGTCAAGGTAGGTGGGTATCAGATAAATGGGTGGGCCAGCCGAGGGTACTTGTTATCACATACATGGGTGGGCCCAGACATATATTATATTAGACAGGTGGGCCAATGGTGTGATATAATATAATATATTAGACGGGTGGGCCGAGGGCGGTATATAATATAGAGAGGTGGGCACAGGTAAATGGTAATTGTAAAACAATGCAGTACAGATTACCAAGTAGTTAATTTGGGTGAAGCACAATGAGTTCCTGCAGCTGCAGGTTCATTCTTGTTGCATTGCCATACAAGAAGCAAGGTTCCAACTACCAAAATTTGAGTGAAGCATACTGAGTTCCAAGACCCGGGTGTCAATAAATGAATATCTGATATCCAGCACACTTCCGATCATCCGGTATTTCATTGAGCAACGGATGGCAATATATCTTTGACAGCCAACATCATGGAAGGTTCTCTTATCAGAACCTCATCATCACCACCTACCAAACACCAAATGCCAAGTTCCGACTACTGAAATTCGAGTAAAGAGTGCCGAGATCCGAGCCCAGGAGTCGACAAATGAATATCTGATATCCAGCACACTTCCAATGATCTGGTATTTTGGCTCCCTTATCTGATTCTGACTATCTCCACCCCCTTTAACACCAACCTCTGGGTGTCCAGCATTCTTCTGATTTCCCAAGATCAACTTCATCATGAATGGTTCTTCCACTTTTGCAATTGGAATAAGCCTCTGGCGCACTTGGGCCCTGACAGTCACTCACGAGGCATCTGAATATACTGCACAGAAATTCAATGCAGAGAAGACAGGAGGAGACCGGGTAACACCTTCTCCTAACCTAGACACTGATCTAGTGATGGCCTGCAATCAATTGGTAGATTGCCTCATACAGGCATATAAAAATCCAAGTGGGTCTTCCTGCAGATTTGGAAAATTCATTTGATCATTCAAATTCCTTCATCACAGTTCAGATGAACATCAACATTGCAAGATATAGCAAATTGATCTCCCGAAGAAACACCGGGCACAATGAGGAGAAAGAGAAGAAGTTGCTTAAGAAATGTCCTCCTAGCCATGAGGGGACAAGCCGCAACACAGGTGTGTGATATATATTAAATACCAAATGGTACCCACAGAAGGAAAATTGGGCAGCCACCAATTTGCTGTCTCTGAGTCTGAAAAGAAGTGTGAAGGTCAATGGGAATTGGCAAATCAATCCGGAGTGGTTCAAACACAGCTCGGAAGATGTTGGCTTACCTGCTAGGTGCATCAATTTATCTCCGGCATGGTTTCAACAGGGGCACGAGGTAGGACTTGATAGGATGATGAGTTCAGTAGTTGAACTCACCAATCCCATAGAATCTATTGGACCCAGAGGTATCTGCATCATTAAAGGGACCATTGTCTGAGGCAATCCTGAATGCCATTGCGAGGCCGGCAGCCATCGCATCAGCGGCACTCAGGATCATGCATCTGGAGCAGTACTGGGCAGGGTTATGAACATTTGGAAGCCTTGGAGAAAAGGCAGAAAGCAAGGAACTGCCAAGAATGTCCAAGATCCTCCAGTACTGGGCATCCATGTTTAATACGCTATCCATCATTTCCAATCGTCAAACCCTGCATCATCGAGACCATTCATCAATTCCCGAATGCTTCAATATTCTCACCACTGTGGGGCATTATTCTAATGCTCAGATGAGCATGCCAAGCCTTCAGCTGGAGTTCAGGTACAATCCCGGGTGTATGATTGGATTTTCTGGAAGGATTGTCAGACATGGGGTTCATGAGGTGGAAGGGGATCGGGTTGGGTGGGCATGGTATATGAGGGATTCTGTTCATATTTATGCTGGGGTTCCCTCATGCGGATGGGCTAGGGTGGATTGACGAACCTTACTACCATGTGAAAGATGAAACAAGTAGAAAGTGTAATTACCCATATCAGTACCTGCTTTCAAATACTAAGTACGAACTGTCTCTCTTGATGACACTCAAACACCAACACATTCAGCGCGAGGGAGTGGGGTTTCAGTTGTGGTGCGCAGTTACAAAAGGCCGGCCCTGGGTTGGAGTACTGCAGAAGATATCATCTACCTTACCCTAGGCAATGCTAATAAGAACGGTCTGTTGCAAAAGGAACCTACAAGTCAAAAGGGCACAGAGAAGCAAAGAAATGTAAGTATTAATGCTGCTATACAAATTTGAAAATAGTACTAAGGCAAAGGCTATCATTGTATTTAGACTCAGATCCTATCAACGTTCATCAAAGCCAACTCAGAAATTGATATCCGGACCTTGGTAATTGGGACTCTGTGATTGGGACACAATATCTGGACCTCGGTAGTTGGATTTCGGGAGTTGGGAGTTGGTAATGGAGATCTGGAACTTGGAATTCAATATTCGGAATATGAATGTTGGTACTCGATGCTCAGACCTCAGAGCTCGATATTCGGAGCTCGGTAATCGGGTCTCGGCACTCAGGTCTTGATATTTGGACCTCAGTAGTTAACTTTCGGGAGTTGGGAATTGGTAATTGAGATCTGGAACTTGGAGTTCGATATTTGGCAGTTGGCATTCGGTACTCGACACTCAGTACTCAACGCTTGGAGCTTGAAGCTCAATATTCAGAGCTCGGCCATCGGGTCTCGGTAATCGGGACTCAATATCCAAAACTCGGAATTCAATATTCAGCACTTGAATGTCGGTACTCGACGCTCGGACCTCAGAACTCAATATTCAGAGCTCAGTATTTGGGTCTCGGCACTCAGGTCTTGATATTTGGACCTCGGTAGTTGGATTTCAGGAGTCAGGAATCGGTAATGGAGATCCGGAACTCGGAGTTCAATATTCAGCATTCAACATTTGGTACTCAACACTCGGTACTTGATGCTCGGAACTCAAAGCGCAATATTCAGAGCTCAGTAATCGGGTCTCGGTAATTGGGTCCTGATATTCAAAACTTGGTAGATGGATCTCAGGAGTTGGGAGTAGGTAATTAAGATCCAGAACTCGTAATGCGATATTTGGCATTCAACATTCGGTACTCAATGCTGGGAACGCAATGCTCGGAACTCAAAACTTGATATTTAGAGTTTGGTAATCGGGTCTTGGTAATTGGGACTCAAAATACGGAGCTCAGAATACGATATTTGGTATTCAATACTTGGTACTTGACACTCAGAACTTGGCATTCAATATTCAGAGCTCGATAATCAGATCTCTGTAATTGGCACTCGATATCCAGACCTAGGTGGTAGGGACATGGTGATCAACATCTGCACTGTTTATTTTGGGACTCGCCATATAACATCATGTTAGATATTTCAATGTCTACATGTGGTTTTCAGTACTCATAAAATCACATATGGAACCTGCACTTCAACATTTTCAACTAAGTGACTAGAGCTACTCTCCTCTGCCTCTCTTCAATCTGTCTAGAATGGCAGTGTAGATTTGTATCTCTGCCATCTTGTCATGGATGCCCTCATGTTGCTCCTCAAGTAATGTCAGGAGGCGTTCTCTAATCCACCTCAGTCCTATCAGTGATGGAACTGAGGTATGATCCACCTGCTCTGGAAGTGTCAGACTATCATTCTCAATGCCATCCTAGAACAGATTAGTCATGTATTAAGGAAATGGAATAAGAATTTTACTAGCCAATGTTGGTAGTGAAAGATACAGCAAGTCATCACCCGATCCCATTGCCATGATTTGTTGGGGATTGCAGTTTCTCCCATCCACCATGGGGTATCATAGCCGGATACAATCCATGATGTCATGAAACAAACAGATGTGATATGAAAAGATGTGATCCAGAACCATGTTCCAGGTGTGACCGGCAATCAAATGAAGAATATGAGCAATAGGGCTGGGAATGACTGAAATGATCTTCCTGGCAGCTGAGTACTGGAGGATGGGTGTGACAAAAGTCTGTGTAAGATGTCAGCATTAACTGACAGTGTTGTCAGGGTCTTACAGTGATATCCCATTGCAGCCCAGCTTTGAAGTGCCTGATCCAAGCCAAAGGGGGAAGATTGTTGTTTGCAGCCTGGGCCTGATATTGGAAGATGCATGCTCGAATGCGTGATGCAGACATTGACATTGTGACACTGGCAATCACAATGACAGTTGGTTCAGATGTGAAGATATCAACCACTGATGGATGGATAAAATTTTCAAACTCCGACATGGGCTGACCCAGCCAATTCCTGAGACTAAAGTTGTATATTGAAATGGTTGTTATATCTCATCGGCAATAAAACATTCATTCATCTTGGGAATCTATCAACACGGTCTGCAGGTGTTGAAATGCTGCCTGGGCATCCTGCGTCAGCAATGAATACATTCAGGATTGCCTTCTGGAGTAGCATGCATGACCCGGAAGTCGTTTCATGAATGATTCCTGCATCTGGTCGCCCCATTGGGTTGCTTTCCACAAGAAAAAGTTACATGTCCAATCCATCTCAAATTGGATCAACATCAGCTCTTTCTTCCATTGATCCTGTAGTGCCTTTGCCTGGAGCCAGTGAACTTGGTAAACTTCATATTCATCCGGTCAGCTCAATGTCGGACGTGTCAAGCATTAGGGAACTCACATTCCTCATTCCATGATTGATCAGGACCCCGCATGTCAACCTCGACGGACCAGAGCCACACAAGGGATTCATTTCATTGACCACGGGCATTTGGATCACCCACGGCAGTGCTGACTTTGAGCTGCTTGCAAAGCAGGGGTTTGTATTTCTGAAGTTGGCCATGCCCTGTGTCAAGTTTCATCATTTGCTTCCTGGTCTTGGTATATATACTTGCATGCAGGGAGACAGCCTGCTGTACTGATGTCACCTGCAACCAAGCTCGAGTTTTCAGGGCTTGAGATTTGGCTTGCCTGACTGTTGTTCAGAATAGGATCGCCTTGTTGCACAAGTGAATGCGGTGTCTTAATAACCGAGGGTCTTATATAAAGTTGTGTAAATGTAATGACACCACAATTACACTTTGGATAAGACTGCTTGCCAGTCCTCGATTAACACGGTCTACGACTTTTCCTATTTCGTGGTAGATAACGTGTGAGTTCTTGGGAGGCTCGCTAAACTAATCTTTTATTAAGATCAACCTAGCTGGAGCTTTACTTTTCTTTATTGAAACTCAAATCTCTTGTCTAGGAATAAGCTTCTAGACATGTAATTTGGTTTCTGGAATGTATTTGCCTAGGAAATCTCCTTCTAGGCTCTGGACTTGGATACTGGAACTAGTGAGACGTGGTCTCAAATATACAAAATATGACCAAGATCGCTTGGTCTATGGACACTTGACTGTGAGACAATGGTCTCAAATATATGATATATGTTCAAGATCGCTTGAACAAAGGGGACTATAACTTAACCAAGATCGCTTGGTCTATGGGACAACTAGTGAGACGTGGTCTCAACAATATGATAGATGACTAAGATCGCTTAGTCAAAGGGCACAGAGCAATGAGACAAAGGGGTCTCAAAGACAATATATGTGACCAAGAACGCTTGGTCTATAGCACTAATAAGTTTCTAAGGTAAGAAACTTATAATCTCAAGGGAATTCTTTTCCCTGCACTTGTCTCACTTCAAAGGAACTAACTTTGTAAGTGAAATATCTGATAGGCAGATTGCTACAAATGGGAGATCATATATATATATTTTGGGGGGAGAATGGGCTCTCCTTATATACATTTTGTGTGGGAAAGTAACCTAGGTTCACAAACAATAAAAAATAAGGAGGACCAATCAAAATATTGGGTCAAACCCAGTAAAAGAATAAAATACAAGTGAAAGATGGAGCTATGACATCATTGTGGAGCAGAACATTCTGGAATGTGGAGTAATGACATCATAATGACATCATTGTGGAGCAAAAGATTCCAGAACCTTCCATGAGTGAGTCAGAGTGAGTCATTGTGGAGCAGAATATTCTAGAAGGAAATGACATCATGAATGATGTCATTGTAGAGTAGAATAATCTAGAGCTTGATGACATAATATCTTTCAACAGAATACCTGCAGGAGTATCTGTGGAGTCTTATGACATCATACCCTATGGGTACAATTTTATGAAGTGTCAGGTGAGTCAAAGCATCCTAATGAAAAAGTAAAGTAAAGAAACACTAGAGAAAAGTAGGTAGCAAAAATAAGACAGTTGGCAGGAATTGAAACACAGTCAAAAAAATAATGCAGTTGGCAGGAATTGAAACACGGTCTTTTTTGGATAGGTTTTTTATTGGCTTTGTACTTTTCGCTATGGTTTTCTCTAGCCAAAGTGAATAAGCCAAAGGCAAGGCTAGAGAAAACCATAGCGAAAAGTACAAAGCCAATAAAAAACCTATCCAAAAAAGACCGTGTTTCAATTCCTGCCAACTGCATTATTTTTTTGACTGTGTTTCAATTCCTGCCAACTGTCTTATTTTTGCTACCTACTTTTCTCTAGTGTTTCTTTACTTTACTTTTTCATTAGGATGCTTTGACTCACCTGACACTTCATAAAATTGTACCCATAGGGTATGATGTCATAAGACTCCACAGATACTCCTGCAGGTATTCTGTTGAAAGATATTATGTCATCAAGCTCTAGATTATTCTACTCTACAATGACATCATTCATGATGTCATTTCCTTCTAGAATATTCTGCTCCACAATGACTCACTCTGACTCACTCATGGAAGGTTCTGGAATCTTTTGCTCCACAATGATGTCATTATGATGTCATTACTCCACATTCCAGAATGTTCTGCTCCACAATGATGTCATAGCTCCATCTTTCACTTGTATTTTATTCTTTTACTGGGTTTGACCCAATATTTTGATTGGTCCTCCTTATTTTTTATTGTTTGTGAACCTAGGTTACTTTCCCACACAAAATGTATATAAGGAGAGCCCATTCTCCCCCCAAAATATATATATATGATCTCCCATTTGTAGCAATCTGCCTATCAGATATTTCACTTACAAAGTTAGTTCCTTTGAAGTGAGACAAGTGCAGGGAAAAGAATTCCCTTGAGATTATAAGTTTCTTACCTTAGAAACTTATTAGTGCTATAGACCAAGCGTTCTTGGTCACATATATTGTCTTTGAGACCCCTTTGTCTCATTGCTCTGTGCCCTTTGACTAAGCGATCTTAGTCATCTATCATATTGTTGAGACCACGTCTCACTAGTTGTCCCATAGACCAAGCGATCTTGGTTAAGTTATAGTCCCCTTTGTTCAAGCGATCTTGAACATATATCATATATTTGAGACCATTGTCTCACAGTCAAGTGTCCATAGACCAAGCGATCTTGGTCATATTTTGTATATTTGAGACCACGTCTCACTAGTTCCAGTATCCAAGTCCAGAGCCTAGAAGGAGATTTCCTAGGCAAATACATTCCAGAAACCAAATTACATGTCTAGAAGCTTATTCCTAGACAAGAGATTTGAGTTTCAATAAAGAAAAGTAAAGCTCCAGCTAGGTTGATCTTAATAAAAGATTAGTTTAGCGAGCCTCCCAAGAACTCACACGTTATCTACCACGAAATAGGAAAAGTCGTAGACCGTGTTAATCGAGGACTGGCAAGCAGTCTTATCCAAAGTGTAATTGTGGTGTCATTACATTTACACAACTTTATATAAGACCCTCGGTTATTAAGACACCGAACCCGAAAGTGCTTGTTGTATTGACAGTTGAAGTCATAAAAGGTGACAGCCCTGGCAATGCCTTCCATGTTGTGCTGGGCAGCCTTGCAAAGGGCGTAGTCCATGTTCATTTGTCTGCAAACCATGCATGATCAACTCGTGAATGTAGAACTTCATGTTCGGCTTGCCTTCCACCTTTCTGAAAATTGACCATTGCATGAGAGACAAAGCAACTGTGGCAGGCACAAGCAACTCCCCCAATACCCGTCGACTCCAGCTTGTGCTAAGCTGCATTTGCTTGATTCACTGCCCGGTGATTGTTGCAGCTAGATTTCTCCAAAGTATCAGCAGCCTCTGCAAGATGCGCTTTATACCTGTCCTTTCCCACTATGAACCCCAGCCCATCGGCAAGCCATACTTCATCAAATGGCTTGATGGGATGCAAGTGTTCGGCTTCGAAATTACTGTCTGTCACAAATGACCGGGTATATTTCCAGCTTGGAGTTCCTATCATCACTTAGGTTGCTTAAGTATGAAACAAGACTTACTCATCAAGTAATTCATTCCCTGACAATAATATGTTGATCCCAGGCTGAGGACATTGCAGACAACACATCTCCTATCTTCTGGAGGAGCTTCTCGATCCAGGAGGTGATGCAGATATGATTCCTGCCTTGGGACCCATTGCCTCAGGTAGTCATTCTGGCTCTGCATTTGTTATACTTAGCAAGGTTTGAACGACACTCCAATGGTTTACATTAACTTGTCATTGTTTTTGGAAGCTTCAAAGGCTCAAATGAGCCTTGGTCTTGCTCATAAGTATTATCAGGACAGTCTTCCCAAGCAGGTGGTGCCAGAACAGGCTGAAGTATTGGTGATTCTAGGGGAGAGTTGGGCATGGACCTGTAGGCATGTCATCTTGCCCTTGCAAGAGGGACCTTGACCCAAGTTTTCCTACCTTTGCTGCCCCTTGCTTCTACCATGTGGGACTTTTGCAGTGGGGTGCATAGACCTATCTTCATCTTATTTTTAAATGTTGCAAGAACAGCATTAGCTCAGGAAGGTTGCACGAATTATTATTCCAATGTGATGTTATGCAGTATTGGTTGTTTATTACAAATTTATTTCTATTAATGGCATCATGTCTGATATGGGTTGATTAACCAACTGTTAGGCTTTGGTCAAAGTTGAACTTTGAACCAATATTAATTCCACCTTTCTTACCCTCAGCACATTCTCCAATCAGAGTCACCATGATAAGATCAGGTCATTCCACTTGCTTGTCTCCTGGAAGGCATAGGGCATGTCAACCCCAGACACAGAAGCTCATGGAAACCAAAATTTCCAAGCTGAAGAACTACCTTCCTAAGTGGACTTCTGTGAAAAGGAGCAAATCAGCACACTCCTGCTTCACATCACAGTTGATCAGATCATCTTCATGCCCGAAGTACATATCCAGGTAAATGGGGAAATCTGGTTGATCAGGCTGGACCAGAAGAGATTCATCTGTAAGGGTTTAGTGAACAGGGATGGTGAGATGTTTTGATTAACAGACCAGGAAATTCTGGCATAAAATCTTCATCAGGCCCAAGGTACAGGTCTGGGTGGATGGGTACATCCGGTTGATAAGGTTGGGCCAGAGGTGATGGATCTGTCAGGTTTTAGTAACCAGGGATGGCCGGATTTTTCATTTGAATTGATTAACATACCAGGTATCTCAGGCATAAGATCCTCATCAGGCCTGAGGTCCAGATCCGGGTGGATGGGCAGACCCGGTGTAGAGATTTGCACTATTGTGGGTCTGCAACGCGTTATACTCCAGTGCATACCACCTGGGTTTGCAGCACCAACTTGCAGCATCATTCCCTAGCCTTTTCTCAGCAATTTCCATATTGGGCAACACTTTCCCATGTGCGATGTTCTCGCGCTCGCTTTCCCGCACTTTCATCGCCCTATCATCCAGGAGCATCCACCCACTGTCCAGCAAGTCTCCCTGGTATGTATTTTTGCTTTTATTCAATATGGCACCATATTAGAGCATGGACCCTGACTTACATACCTTATTACATACATTATCTCGCACTCGGCTCACTTAGCGAGACACATATATAGGTTCGCATTTTTCACCCCTTACCACATTAGACCACTCCTTACCTTAGTGGAGTTACCTCATGTCCATAGCCAGATTCAGAATTTATTAGCAGTCTTTTGTTTTCATTGAGCCCTCGTTTATTTCTCATTGCATTTCACATGTTTGCTATTTCGCATTTCGCATTCCCATGCCTCGCAGGCACATCGCTCGCTTTGCACAGCTGCTGCGCGACTGTGAATTTGTCTTCTTTGCTTCCCCTTGGATTGAACATGCTTGTCTCTGCAAGCATAGCAGACTAGGCATTGCACTGATCACTATATCAGCTTCTTGTGTCCCTCCCCTTGCATTTACCATTTGACCTAGAGCTGAGTTGATTCACCTTCACCGGCATATCAGATTATCCTCAGGCCCAAGGTATAGGTCCAGGTGAAGAGGGAGGCCTGGTTGATCACATTGAACTGGAGGTGAATGATCTGTGAGATTTGAGTGAACATGGATGATTAGATTTTCATCATATCAATTGATAAACCTACCGGAAATTAAAGAAAAGACATCCGGACCATTGGATGACACAGAACATGATTCTGGGTCATCAGCCAGCCCAACATATAATTGATCTAAGGATGTCCAGTAAATTGATAAGGTATGATGGATGTTGAACATACCTGTTGAAATCCAGGACACGGTTGATTCATCCACATCCATTGAGTTATATTCAGTGACCGGAGGGTCATTGAATCTATCTGTAGCAGGGAAGTTCATGTTCTGTGATGACTGATCAACTGATTCACTGATTATTGATAACTTCGAAGTTGAACACAAGGCACCAGCAATTGCCAAAAGTTGAACCACAACCAAACAAAGACAAACAATCAATGAAATTTTACATTGTTAAGCACTGATCTTGTTTTTACTGAAACATCATCCTTATGATAACTGATTTCAACCTGAATACAACTTGATTTCTACCTGATCTCAACACATTCAACACTTTCAATTTAGATACCATGTCTACTCCGGTTGACACCTCTTTGACCGGCCTCAAGGAAATCACTGCCAAGATCATGGCCATCATCACTGGTGCTCAGCAGCTTCCTCCGTGCCACAGCCACTTTTCTCTGACAATCCAGGTCAGTACACTTGTGGTATGTAGCATTGTCATATTTTCTCCCCTTCATTTTTTCATCATCCAGGTAGGCTGATGCGGTCTGGCACTATGGGAGTGGTCCCTACCTTCCGGGTCTTGTGTGTTCGTGCTCCAAGGAGTTAATTCGAGTTCAGGGCATGACTCCTCAGGTCTGGCCCAACTGGCACAGCATTGGGTATGACAATGCCCATTTGTTGACGCACCCCTGGTGCAGCAAGTTGGTGAATCAATAAGTCAATAATGAATTCCAGGGTTTTAGGATCGGCACGCGGTAAATTTTGTAAGAAATTCCATATTGTGTATCGCTTCCAGTCTCGGGTTTTGTGGCTTGGGTTTCAGGCTTCGGCACTTGGCACTAGGTGATTCAATCAGTCAGTGGTAACACTTTCAGTTTTGTGGTTCGGCTCTTGGCACTCAGTGATATGTCTCAGGAAATTGATATTTCACACATTCCTGCAAGTATCCAGTTTCCAGTCTGGAGCTTCCGGTCATCAGGTGTCTGGAATTTGAGACAGTGATTTCTTGTGGAAAAATGGATGTTGTACCATGGGATTCAATTTTCAGGTGTTGGGACTCGGCAATCCATGCATGTCAGACAATTACTTTATATATCTATATTGTAAACCAATACCTTAACCTATACGTCTACACAATATCTCACTACCTTGGCCCACCCATCTATGTAATATATTACCTTGTCGGCCCACCAGTCTATATCATAAATAATTTCCTGCACTCTCGGCCCACCCATTGATATAATAAATATTTTACTGCTCGCTCGGCCCACCCGTCTGTACAATTCACAATGACCTCGGCCCACCCATCTATATAATAAATATTCCACTGCTTTCTCGGCCCACCCGTCTACAAAATTATTCCTGTATGTCAGCCCACCCATCTATACAATGTACCTTTACATTGGCCCATTCGTCTACAGAATGATTCCTATACGTCGGCCCACCCATCTATATAATAATGATTGCCTCTCATCTCCCTTCAGCCTAGCTGTCTATAATATACATGTCCATCCTACTGTACATATTCCCCAGATGGCCCACCCATCTCCCTCGGTAAAAATATTTAGCCTGGCCCATCCGACATCATCAAGCATATATATAACATTGGCATAGATGGGCCCACCCGTCTCCATTGGAAATAATATTCCCCCCAGCCCATCTGTCTCCATCGGGGATATACATCGCATCGGCCCATAGTCCGCTGGCCTGTCTTATATGGGATATTATGTAGGTCGGGTGACCCATATAATATGGAATTTGTCACTGAAGGGGCTCATCAGCCTTGCTGCCAATGTTAGTCCTACTTCCTCCGCTTTGAATACTGTATGCTCATCCTTGGTCCCTAGAAAGTAGCATAGTACATGTGGAGTTGCACCAGCTCGAAACAAGATTGCCGATGCGCCAATCTTGTCATGATGGCCCGAGCTGTCACAATAAACCTGTATCATTTCAGTTAGTTGTTCATGTATTATGGTGGCCCCTTCTCTCGAGGGTGATATTAGTTTTGAATGGATTTGAGGTAGTGGAGGGGAGTCTCGCAGGAATTAATGATTCAATGTTGTCTGGTATAACAGAGAAGAGGTGAGTGAGTTTATGCAAGGAAGAGTAGTGAGTTGCTGGGTGGGCGGAGAGGTGTACTATGGCTCTGTAACATATATTATGCAGGGCGAGAGATATGGGGAGAATGTTAGTGTGTACTTTGAGGACGTCCCCTGCGACGGTCCTCATAGCTCCAGTCATGGCTATGGTTACGAGTCTTTGGATGGACACCAGCTGTTTGGCTACTCCCAGAGATCCCCATTGCAGGATGTCTGAGTTCTCCTTGAAGGATGGAGAGAACCAGAGGTTGGTGGCATATGTCATCTTTGGTATTGCAACTGCTTGGTATAGTTGACACATAAGGGGTAGAGGGATACCTTTGGCCATGGTTGAGAGACAACAAATCTGACAAACATATGCTGTTCCCTTGCCTACAGCATTGTCGACTTGAGTGGACCAGCAAAGCTCTTGATCTAGAATGACCCCTAGGAAGTGGTGAGTTGTTGAGGGATGGATGATCGAGCCTTGAATGTTCATGTCGGGACGACTTCTGCCTCTGTTCATAGAGAAGTCCATCAGTGCAAATTTGTTAGTCTCAAATCATGAGTTATGGTCATGTGACTATTCAAATCCTCCGCCAGGGTGTTCTAGCATGTCTGTTAGCATATTGTGCGTTGTTTTGAAGTCGTGCGCTTTTGCGACAAATGCTGCATCGTCCACAAACACTAGGGTTAGCTCCTTGAGGGTCTCTCGACCTTGCTGTGGCCGTGCGACTTCCACCAGATCAGAGTTGTAAATAATATCTAAAATCATGGACAGGGGGTCACCCTGTCCTATACCGTTAGTGATCGGGATCCAGTCTCATCAAAGCGAAGCTGCGTGAAGTGGTCCGTCAGTACACGTTTAGTAAAGTCAACCAGTTCTCGGGGGATGCAATGCATCCGCATGTTATGGAGGAGGTGGTGAGTGACTGCATTGGGGAAGGCCCCTTCAATGTCCAGGAAAAGGTCCAGATGCCACCCGGTGGGAGTGGGTTTGTGAATGTTGGGGTGCAGGGTAGGAGATTGGAAGAGAGCGTGGGGGTTGGTTAACGTGTGTCCAGGGGAGTTCTGTTGGAAAGTAATGCATGGTGTTCTCTGGGAATTTCTCAGTCATCAGTTTGCAACACCTAATGAATTATGGGCAGCAGCAATTCCAGCTTGCATGATGATTGGCGGAGTGGGGGTCTGCTATATAGATGAGGGCAAAGGCCTTGCACTGTTCCAGAGATCTGCGCTGGGGAGGTTTGATCCAGCAAATGGATGTGATTGAGTTTGTCAGGAGGCTATTGTCCAGTTCTATTCTTCTGAGGAGAAGCTCATCATTGATCTGAAGCTGTATGGGAAGATATTCAGCGACTATAGGGAATGTGCGAATGCAGAACAATATATCATGATCAAATTGTCTTTTCATTGCTTCCTTGCTTGTGGGTTGACAAAGTCAGTCTGCCAGAGTTTCCGAGTCTAGTTCAATTATGAGTCCGCCATTGTGGAGTGCTAGTACAAACATGACATCTCCAGCTGGGGTGTCATGTGCCTGGATGTTGGTTAGTACCATTTTCACCTTATTGACAATTTCGATGTGTGGAGTTTCTGGGGGGAAGAGGTTATTTCCTGGCATGGGATCTAGGAGTATCTGGTGTGCACGTATGGCTGCTCATTCTATAGCCTTGTCTACTGATGGAGGCATGTTAGTTGCGACGATAGAACTATAAGATTGGCGGTGGTTGAATGCGGGTTCCACAGTGTTCATATCATCAGATGGGGGCATGGATTGGGAGAGTAGTTGGGTTGATAGGTTGTTGAGGCAGTCTTGAGTGGTGTCCAGGGATGGGGAGAGAAGTTCAATGGTGTTCTGGCATTCTGCTACTGATGTATGGAGCTCGTCGGCTGCTGTTTCAATTTGGTCGGCTGAAATTTGTAGGCTGTCGTCCATTTCGTCTCTGTCATTTACCAATGCTTTGCGTACTGCCTCAGCACACTCCAGGGTGTCAGAAAGTTGATCAGAAGTGGTTAGCAGCTTTGCCATTTGTGGTGCAATGGCCCTCACAACATGGTCAATGATATGGGGAGTAAGTGTGTCCGTCAATTGCCTTGCTATCTCATTGGCTGTCTTGCAGATGGAATGCTTTTTGAGGATGAAGGTGACTGCATGTATAACTGAGATGACTAGGAGAGGTGTGGTGTCTCACATCTGGGTGATCTGAAAAAGAACAGAGATCACATGAGCAATAGTGTAGGGTTCATCAAGAAGGCTAAGAAGGTTTTTTGCAAGGAACTTCTCTGCGGAGTTGTAGTCGTTCACTGCATTGGGCAACAATTTGATATTGTTTTGAGGTAGAGGCATTTTGACTGAGTTCCTTGTGGCTGTGCCTACAGTGGGAGGAGGGATGGTTGAGCTGGGTCTGCTTTGTGCTCCCTTTGGTGCAGGCATTGAGGGAGGATTATTAGTATCTATATCTATATCTATGTTTTTGTGAGTTTTAATAAAGGTTCAGAGGAATACTAGGATGCCTGTGGGCGTCTTTCACGCTGTTGAGTGTGATGTTTGGAAGTTTGATTTCCGGGGTCCTAGTTGGGGTGCCACTTGGTGTAGGTCCAAGAAGTGATACTGTGTTTGTTAATGATGGCACCGGCAGGTCACTTGGCATCAAAGGCGAGTACTCCTAATTGTGCTATTGGCTTGTACTCAGTGGATACTCAGGATATCAAATTTTGCAAGGCCATGTTCTATTCTTGATCCCTCCCAAAGCGATCACAAAACTTTTCCATCCACATTCCAACCTCCGAGACATCTTGCATACGTTGAATGGTTCTCTGCCTTTCATATACCTGACTGAAATCATGGCTTGCACAAGGTCTCACATGTCATCAAAAATGGAGAACAAATGGCCAGCATTATACCAATCAGCAACATTCATTGTAGTGCCTATTTGATTCACAATTCAGCCCTGTAGCTCCTCATGAATGGAGTTCTGCTAATGTTCTTGACAAGTGTTCATCATTTTATGTAAATACATACTTAGATCAATATAGTTTTGTGACACTGCACTAGTTGCCAATAATTATCATTAGCTTGTACTATGCTATCATTCTGAGAGCTAATTTTTCATAATTGTCGAAATTGCACTAAAATGATCTAATTTGCTCAAGTTTATGTCGGAGGATTTTCCTGATGCTCGTATTAATGTATTTTTTGTATAGTGCTAATATGTTTGTATGTTTCAGACCAGAAAGCTGTAGTGATAATCACCATATGCCTGCAAAGCATGAATGAAAGATGCAACTGCTTACAGGGCTGGATGGGCTTTTTTATGAAATCACCATGTGTTCCCAATAGTGGTACTCAAAATATGTTTTGAAAACATGCTTAACAGACTTTGAACTCTGGGCTAAAGTTGGTTTCAACTCACTCAAAACATGCTTGGCTCATGTGGGGATTTTTCAAAGCCTATGTTCATAGGGAAAATTTGTACATAGAGTAAAAAAAAGCAACCCATAGTAGATATACATCACATTTCAAATGTCAGCATTCATAAAAAGAGAGTCCACATGAGAATGAAATCAGCTGTAGGTAGTGAATGCTGGAGGGACTAAATAGGTGCTGAGGGGAGAAGGACACATGAAAAAGATCTGGGTGAATCTACAGAGATGTCAGGTAAAGTGCTCAGTAAGTTTCTTACACTCCAACTTCATGAAGCAGTACATAATGCCAGTATGGATAGAGCATGCTGTGACTTGATGAAACCAGCAATGACTTGAACCACCTTCTTTTTCATGGACGGTTTAGGCTGTACTGCATAGTACAGGTTGGGGCAGTTGAAAGACTGCATCATGCATAAGGGGTTACATAGACCTAAGTGTGCCTCAAGTCAGCCAGATTAGAATGAGTGCAGCCTATCAGTAAATCACAAATTTCTCCACAGACATCAACATTTTCAACAGTTCTCAAAGTAACCCACAGAGGCACAGTGTTCACAGCAAATTTCTCCCATGTATCAACACTTTTCTACACTTCCTCACACTTCCCCACAGAGGCACTACACTCACAGGACATACAGCCTCAGTGTCTATTAGTAAGATACTATTATACTAGTTACTAGTAGTCATGAGTGCTAATAGGCCCAAGTATTACTTCAACTCATAATCCTAAAAGTACTTGGAATTAAAATTTAAAGTCACAATTTGAAGCATCCACCAAGTCAACATCAGCAAAAACACAAACTGCTATATAGCACTATGGCACCTACATAGCACGTGTTGTCAGGTTGCAACCCCCCCTTCAATGTAGCACTATATTGCATGCTGTGGCTCATAGGAAAACACAATTGTAGTGCTATATATTGTCTTGTAGTTCATCATGTTTGAGGTCATAGACTCAAAAAATCATATTAACCAAAACACTACTAGTAATTATTCATTGTTGCACATTAGCTCCTCTCTATCCTGGACATCACTCTTATACTCATCCTCAGTCACATTCCCACCACCAGTACTACTACCCTCCTGAAAATCCCCCTCGCTGCAATATTCAGTCCTGTTGTAAAGCATGAAGGCCTCAAATCGCATTGATGGTGGATTTAGGCTGAAAGATATTTTGGGGTCCGGTTCATATGGTATGTTCATATGATATTGATTCATATTCAGGTTTTTATTGAACATACATTAATGTTACTAGCTGTTGTGTACTGTGCACAGAACTTCCTCAATGATGACATTGTTGCTATCAAACTCGAGCCAGTCACTAATAATACATCTTCTGTGGAGTGTGAGCACAATATTCTAAAGCAACTTGAAGGTGGAGTTGGGATCCCCTGTGCCCTTTGGTTTGGCTGGGAGTCAACACACTATGCCTTGGCTCTCGACCTCCTTGGGACGTCACTACATGATCTCTTCCTCGCATCCAACCACAAATTTAGCCTCCACACTGTTGTTAATTTAGGAGACCAGCTGATACCGTGGTCAAATTTGTTGTGGGCTACTGCAGATACTAACCTATTTTCCAGCTGTCGCATCTCAAGTACATTCACTCACACGACTTCATTCATAGGGATATCAAACCGCATAACATTTTGGTGGACAATTCAAGGCAAACTGTCTACATCATTGACTTCGGTACTGCCAAGAAGTACTGGAGTAATGCAATGAAATCCCACATCCCATTTCACCAAGGTCGACATCTTACAGGCACACCCACCTTCACTTCAATCAACAATCACTTGGGATTGGAGCCAGGTCGCAGTGACGATCTCGAATCACTTGCTTACATGTTGATATATTTCTTGCATGGCTCCCTTCCATGGCTGAATAGTGACCATGAGAGGCCACCCAGCTCTGTGATACTCGAGTGCAAAGTGGATACCACCATTGCTGATCTATGTGGTGGAATTCCTGCTGCATTTGCAAATATCCTTGTCTACTCATGCTCTCTTTCATTCTCAGAGGATCCTGATTATGACCATCTTCGTTCTTTACTTCACAATCTTCATACTGCAGGGCCCACACCAGCTACACACTCCCTGAATTTCAATTGTCACATTGCTCCTTCCCCTCAATGTCCTCAAGTCTCTGAATCAGTGCCCCTATGTCTGCTGAAGGTGCCTCCTCATAGATCAACCCGTGTGTAAGTAGTTTGATTTATCCTTACACATCACACTCATGATTTATGAACTCATTGTTTGCAAGGTTACGCCCACACGATGGTACCCTAATGCCTTGCGAAGTGGTTGTTCCAACTGATTGTCCCTTGGTTGAAGCCACTTACCTTCCACATCATCCTTCTGGTCTGTATTGACCAATGCACCGCTTATAGGACATTGACAAGTATAAGCATCAAATGGCATGCCTGGGACTGCTTGTCCATCAAGGAGCCTGTTGATGCACATATTTCTCGGTGTAGAAAGCTGATTTCCGCTGGGCTCAGCAGAAATCGTACTACCTAGACAACAAATATTTAGGTAGATCTTAGCACGACCTAGTCTGCTATACTGATCATCTTATCAGCAATTGGAATTTCTGGGTGATGGTGAGCAAACTCGATACCTCACTTCTGAGCCAGTAACTGATGATCTGCTAAGCTGTCATTGACCTTGTCGTCATGAAGTATTTGTTCAACAAGTTCCCTGAAGCCACCTCAGGTCAACTATCAGCTGCTTGCTCGTGAGCTGTATGCGGGCCAACCCTAGCCTCTGTTGCTGTGAGATGGCTCAGGCTTCACAAACATCTGCTTATCATATATACAAGTTTCATATTGAGCTTTATCTCGAGGAGTCTGAGAAGCAGAAATGGCCAATTGGCATACATCCTGTAGGAACCTGCCTTAGTGAAGGCTGGACCTTAACCAAGATTTTGGAACGACTCAAAAATCCCACTTGCACAATTGAGATGCTCGGCCCTCCCCCTAGTTGCAGCGATGGTAGTTTGAGGCCCGCTGTCAGGATGGCAGTTTCAGAGCGTGGCTTGCCAAACTTCTCCATCGAGGAGATGTATAGACACATGGTGAAGTTTATCATAGCTGATGACCAAGTGAGTACTGTCCACCATTTATGTACTCTTGTTAACGACCATCTCTAGCCAATCAGCATTGTTGAGTGTCCCGAGTTCTGCCAGCTGCTCCGCCTCTTGCAGCAAGACCTAAAGGAGTCTGATATTCCCCATCGTTCAAAGTTCTGGCAACTAATTATTGAAGCTTGGAATGAATACTTTACAGCCATCAAACTTGACCTTGCTGTAAGTGTACAACTACCAATTGCATATAGTTTTTCATATTTTGCAGACCGCCCAAGGTCGAATTTCATTCACATCTGATATCTGGTCTGATTCTAAGCTTCATCCCTTCCTTGCCTTGATTGCGCATTGGATTGCAAAAGATAGCAAGAATGCAACACTTGTTTTGAAATGTCGATTCCACAAGATATGACATGGATGAATGAAAATTGGTCAGCCCCGTAGATCACAGAGGCTAAAAAGTATATTCTCAAACTGGTATGTCTTCCCGATGGTAACAACAGCAAAATGCAGGCTGATATGTCCCACAGATGCAGAACAAGAGAGCGACAAATGTCTCTGCACCGTCCAGTCAGTTAATTCATCAGCCACATCCTGCAACATTAGGCTCAACAATCTATGGACTTCCTGAGATAAATATGCTGCCGCATTGCCAGGGTGGCCCCCAATCAGTCAAAGATGAGTTCAATGCTTATAGTATGGGTGTCCTTAGCCCCACAGGTACAGATATACTATCTTTTTGGATGGTAATATCCTTTGTCTCTTGTAACAGGTTTTATTGATGACGAGGCATTAATGGTGGGCTAGGTTTTGAAACCCATGTTTCCGATGCTCTACAAACTCACAATGGACTTTCTGCCAATTCAAGCCTCTGCCGTTCCATGTGAGCACATCTTCTTCTCCAGCAGTGACACATTTATTAAGAAGCGCAATCATCTCAGCTCATACTTGATGGAAGTCCTACAGATTGTCAAGTTCTCGCTGAAAAAAGACCAACTTCACTTTACCAAGAGTTGGGCAGCATCTCAGAATGACATGGAGTATCACTTGATGTATGTCACGGGCTCTTTGAGCCATGAAGATCTCTTGACATCTGGCTCTGATGATCTACTGATATCTGCCGTTAGTGGCAGTTATAATTTTGAGGCCCTTCTCAGAGTCATCACAGAGGATGAATGTGATGATGTTCTAGATGATATTCCACACTTGTGTCTTTTCATCTCTTAATTCTTGCCTGTTTACTGCTACTTTTACTATGCCTGTCATCCTATTCACACCACTGCTGCATTTGTCATTAAACTGACCTTTGACTAGTGATTTATTCATTCTCTCAGCTTTCTCACTCTGACTCACTGGATGCTGACCTGCTTGACTCTGCATTCGTCACTCCTTTGCAGCTTGACTGATGTATTTGTCATGAAGCTTGTGTCCTTTGCATGATCACTCCAAACAGCTGATGTTCCCATGATGATCATTGAATATGTATAGTTTACTGACTTTCATTCTGTTCATTAGAGGATACCATGTGCCTGGCACTCACAAACATGCCCTGGCAGATATTCAGATGAACATCCACGAGCAGCACCTCCATATTCACTGTTTGCAGGTTGTGAGTGTGTTTGATCATCCTTTAAGCTCAAGCATTGCTAATTGACATTGTTTCCCATCATTCACAGATTTGATTGTCCTTCAAGCGCAGGCATTGCTAATCAACATTGTTCCCATCATTTGCAGCTTGTAAGTGGAATGATCATATTTCAAGCTTGAACATAGCTGATTGATGTCGTTCCCCACCGTTCACAGTGTATCTCCTTCAATCCTCCATGCTCATTTTGCATTTACATTTTCTTCCTCTTCCACATCGCCAAAATTCATATGTACTATCCTTAGACACCTCACATCTTCTGTAGACTGATCCACTCACTCATTCTGTTGGATCCTAAATCACAGTACTTTTGCCAATGCAATCCATAACCTCAATGGCTACCTTGACACATGCACCAAGGTCACTTCCCACTCTCGTGTCTGTGAACCTCTCACCACCCTCTATGTCTCTGCAGTTGGCACCCTCGCCGCCACCTGCCTTGTTTTGTTTATGGTGATACGGTCCTAATTTATTTATGGACTTAACACATGTTCAAATGTCACAAAGGTACAATGTACCTTATTATATGTGAAGGATCTTGGGACTTCAAAAGGACACACTGGATGCATGGCAATGCACGTTATGTTGGACTTTGTTTACTATGCCCAGTTGCAGTCATACACAGAACATATGCTGAGCCACATGCAAGCTGCACTCGCATCATTCCATTCCAATAAGGAAGTGTTCGTCGAGCTGGGAGTGCATGAGCACTTTAACATTCCAAAGATCCATTCAATGATCCACTACACTGAGTCTATATGTTTGTTTGGGACTGCAGATAGATTCAATACTGAGCTACTATCTCTCCAAGACTTGCCACTTTCCAAACACACCAATTCAACACTTGATTGAACACCCACTGGGTGTGGGATCTATCTTTTCTGCCGGAAAAACTGTAAACTTTTTGAAGGAAAAGGTCAAAATTTATCTGGCATTTAATCTGCCTAAAAATGATGAAACAAGATCATAATGTTCTTGTAAATTTCCAATGGAGAAAACTGTAAACAAATAAAAATTTTGTGGTTTCAATTTCTTCATGATATTTCACCTTTGTGACACAACAAAATACTATACAAATTAGAAGCAACATGGGGTATGATTTGTTTTGAAAAAGTGTATCAGAAAAATTGAATAGAGAAATCAAATCTTTTTGTATCATGTGTTTCATGGAAAAAAGCAGAGAAAATCAGGACCACAGAACCATTTAAATTTTTCCCAATATTGTCAGGAAAGAAAATGAAAACAAGATTGTGACCTTCTGTCACAATGAATATAATGTTTTATCAATGGCAATACTGGGGACAAATTGAGAGCCAAATTTCTACATTTGTCTCATATTTAGACATGAGAAAAACAAAAAAGAAATTGAACAAAACAAATCATGAATGTGGTTTCCAATATGTCCAGAGTTTGTTTGCAATACAAAATAAGAAAAAATTGAAAAAAAAAAATAGGAACAGAGGGTTTGGGAATGATGAATGGTCCACTGACTGGTCAAATTTGCAATGTCCAATATCAATGTTTAATGTTCAATGTTCAATGTCTAAGTCCAGTGTCAAATGTCCAAGTCAAATGTCTCACATCCGAGTCCAATGCCCACTATCCAATGCCCAATGTCCAAATCCAATGTCTGAGGTCAATCTCCAATGTCTGAGTCCAATGTCCAATGTCCAATGTCCAAATCCAATGTCCAAAGTCAATGTCCAATGTCCCCGTTCAATGTCCCAGTTCAATGTTCCAACTCATATTTTGATGTCGAAGTCAAAAGTTTCGCTTGCAAATAGTGGCTCTCTACTTCCATAAGTGCAATGGATCCGAAGCGGTTTGGGTAATGTTTTCCATCTTTGCCGATTTGGAGAAGGATGAACCCTACAGCAATGTTAGAGGTATCAATGGCGAGAATGACTTCGCAACCACATTCATAGTCAATCGGGCAGAGTGCGGGGGACTCTAATATTAAGTCCTTGAGCGTCTGCATTGCTTCCTGCTGTTCCGATTCCCATACAAATAGTGCATTCTTGCGCATAAGGTTGACAAGAGGTCAGGTGATCTTGGAAATTTTTTTAATGAAGATGTGGAGGATGCTGCATGTTCTGAGGAAGCCCCGCACTTGCGTGACATTGCTACACTTAGGCCAATCTCGGATCTTCTGCACTTTGGATTCTCCTGGAACTCTGCCTTCAAATGTGCATTTATGACCAACGATGATAGCGGTCAGTGCAGCTAGAATGAACTTAGTAGCAGATACGGTAACACCAACATTTTCGAGTCTCTGGAGTATGTGGTTGGTCACCCCATAATGCTTCCATATGAACTGGCAAATGCCTTGGTTCTCTGGAATAGTCTTGGATGAGTCATCAACTCACTGATATTGGGTTTCCACCAATTTGACTGGGACATTGTCAATAAATGGAAAAGTATACTCTGGTATCTCATGCTGCACAATGAACACTGTAATAATGGTTGCAGCGCTGGGCTTGGAACCAGTCAATCTAACACCTATGTCCCATACCATTCCTCGACCTCCCTTAACCTTCCAAAGGCCGTGCATACTTGTCCGAACCTTCCACAGGCAGTTCTTGCATTCTGAGGCCTGTCTGAACCTCGTGAGTTACCATACCATGTCCTATCCTCATCCTTTTGACTTCACTGGTGCATTTTCCTTTATTCTATCTATATTTTGACTATGTCTTAGTGCTACACAGATAAATCTCATCAGCATCCTGTCGGGAGCCTTGGAATACGTATAAACAGTACACATTGCAGCTTATTACATAGGTTTGGACTTGCTTATCTCGCTACTAGTTTTGCCTCAGATTTCGGTCTCTCACGGAAGTAGGATATAATCTTACTCGCTGACTACTGATACTGCACTTCACTTCCCATACTTCAAGTCGTAATTAGTAGAGTCACCTTGGTATATTTGTAACTGCACAATTGATCTTTTGTTCATTCAGAATGATTGTTTGGCTAGACTGATGCCAATTCTGCACCTCGTTTATCCTTGAGTTCTGATAGATTAGCGTCATTCCGGACTTTGGACCCTTTGCAGAGTCTTATATTATTCAACACATCGACACACCGACATATATTGACCTTCGGACAATTCTTGCAAGCCTCGGAAGACATTGCGCTACTTTGGACAACACTTTCGCAGCTTCGGACGACCTTTGGTCGCATCGGACAAGTATCTTGGTACTTCGGACGTAGTCTCAGAACTTTGGATGAGCATTAGAAAGGTTTACTTCCAATATCTTGTCTACTCTCTGACTGTATAAGACTTCCCTTGCATTATCAAGGTAGTTCTTTAGGTTGTCTTTTATGACAAAGCATACTCACATCTCTCAGGACTAGGGACTCACATTCTGTAGAGTCCAGCCCAGGATTACTCTTTACAATGCTGTATCTCCTTGGTATACCTGGACTGCGTTAGCATGTCCTTGCGGCAACGTGGTTAACCAGTGAGGTCCGAGTGGGGTCCCAAAGGTCGTTAGGTCATGTGCGTCTTTGTGTAATGCTTGCTGATCATAACCTGAGTACAGATCCATCATACCATATACTGCATATCCTGCAAAGGACTCGGCAAGGTACTCAATGAACGGTGGGACTGAGGAGTCTCGTATGGTCACCGTGCTGAGCGGCTGCAAGTTGTGAATTAGACGTAGGGACTTTCCATTGAACTAACCCTAATGATGCTGTGAGTTGGTACTGCAAACCTAGGTGGTATGGACTGAAGTGTTACATGTTGCAAGCCTGTAATTATGTGAATCTCTACACTGTCTTTCTTGACTATGCAGAACCAGCGTGAATGGTATGCAGCAGTAGATGGTCCATAGATTCCGGAGTCAGTCTTCTCCTTAATGATTCAGATAACTTTGCCGATGGTTGCCAGGGGAATAGGGATGTTGTGCTGAGACCATGGGGTATGCGGAATTGTCGGAATTTTGTATGACGGAAAATAAGTTTCATTGAGACGTCCACATTTGCTCGTGTCCCGGGTGAAAGCCATTTCATGTACTCTAACGAGCCAATGTACAAGCTTCAGTTCTTCGGGCCATAATCAATTTGCCGGGTCTAAGTCTAGGTTGTCGGATCTCTCTTGCATGTAGCGGATGCCCAGAACGAAGTTGGGCAGAAGGAATGGCAGTGTAGGCATGCTGGCCTGTGTGCCAGCTATCAAGCACAGCTGTGAATAATAAATGGCAAGTTAGTACTGTAAAGCACAAATCAAAAAAAAACATACTACAAGTGGTTGAAAATTAATAGTAGCACTGCCTTTGACCACTTGCAGCTGCAGTCTGCAAGTAGCCAAAGGACAGTATACTTGCATTGCTGCTTGCCTCATGGCTTATTACATAGGTTCGGACTTGCTTATCTCACTACTAGTTTCACCTATGGATTCCAGTCTCTCATGGAAGTAGGATATAATCTCGCTCGCTGGCTACTGATACTACACTTCACTTCCTGTACTTCGAGTTGTAATTAGTAGAGTCACCTTGGTATATTTGTAACTGCGCAATCGATCTTTTGTTCATTGAGAACGATTGTTTGGCTAGACTGCTGCCAATTCTGCACTTCATTTATTCTTGAGTTCCGGTAGATTAGTGTCAGTTCCGAACTTTGGACATTTTGCAAAGTCTTATATTATTCGACACATCAACACACCTACACATTCTGACCTTTGGACAGCTCTCGCAAACCTCAGAGGGCATCGCGCTACTCCGGACATCACTTTCACAGCTTCGGACGACCTTTGGTCGCATCAGACAAGTATCTCGGTACTTTGGATGAACATTAGAGGTTTACTTCCCTATATCTTGTCTAATCTCTGACTTCAAGGTAGATTTTAGGTTGTCTCTTGAGACAAAGCACACTTGCATCTCTCAGGACTTGGGACTCATATTCTGTAGAGCCCAGCCTAGATTTACTCTTTACAACACTCTCCCTCATCATGGCCCACACCAAGAATACTGCCAAGAAATGTACTGGTGGCTCAGTGCCACACATCCTCCTCAAGATCTCAAGAGTGCATCTTTCTGGAGGAGACCACCAGAAAATGAAGATGGGGGCCCTTGATTTCATACCACTACCATGGACGAAATTCCCATGCAAAGTTGTTGCAGGCAAGGTAGAGCCGTCACAGCTCATAGTACCAACTGGCCATGAATCATATAAACACTTTAGAAATGAAACCAAACTGAACTCACCAATACTACATAGTCTGAAACCCAGCCCATATAACCACCTCAACGCAAGTAAACTCCCCACATACCCACACTCAACCAAGTACAACACCCAAAGAAAACCAGAACGAGGCAGTCAAACTATCCAAACACCAGCCATACGTCAAACTACAACATATGAGACGAAAGACCACACACAACCTCAGAAGGAAAACTGAAAACTGAAAACCGAAAACAAATATCACCGTCCCAATCACCCAACCAGACCACACCCATCACGCACATGTAAACTAAACAAATAATAAAGTGCATGGAACACGAAATACCCGACAAAATACAACAGCCCAAGTACATGTACCGCCTACTGAACACAACGAGTGTGATAAGAACACCTACCTTCCCTCATCCCACAACAGCATATGCAACTGAGACACATGTAAGCCAGCCCCCACCCAAACACCCTGATAAACGAATGAACCTAAGCCAAAAAAGAGAACACAGCCTACCTCAAACTACCATAATGAAGCCATAAGGTAACACCCCTCATCCAAAAACCCCAGTATAAAAGACCCTCCCCCCCTACCAGCAGTAATCCCCAACCTGCTCACAAAGATGAAGGACATATCCAGCATCAAAACTGCGAACCTCAATGCCTGCCCCTCTCCTATGGGCATCCGCCAGTCTCTTCACAGACATCAGCAAACAGGCTCACAATTCTTCCTGCCCAATGTCCTAACAGATGAAGGGGACTGCACCGCAGAGGGACTATCCCCCCCCCTGATACCCCATCACCATCCCCCCACCCTCAGAACCTGAGAAGAACGAGACAACCCCAACCACCAACTCCCTCACCCTCACAAAGGACTTAGAGGTAGAGATGCCCTTCGATACCCACCCCCAAACCCCTGCGCAGACCCCCACCCCCACGGAAGATGAAGCAATGACAGACCTACTCATCTCCACACCCAACCTAACCCCAGCTCGTACCCAACCTCCTGCAACCTCACAAGCATCCGAGGAAGACCTTCTCCGAGCTTACTTAGTGGTCACAGAGACGAATCACTCCATCATTAAGTCCAACGGCATCAACTCACTCACGGTCATCCCCCAATTCACACCCACCCCAATCGGTGGCTTCCCCCATATTCACTTGGCCCATGCAGCACAGCTATTCGATTTCCAAGTGGCAAAAGTCATCACCACATGGCTCAAGGTACCCCACCCCAAGATCCTTGTGAGGGTCTTTGACCACGATAGGAAAAACCCCTCTGTTAAAGGCCCAATACTAGTTGAATGCCTACGCATAGCGGTAGCTGAGATTGCTCACTTCGTCCACCAAGACAACCAAGAAGTGAAAGTCTCCCCACCCTGCCCTGAATTCAAAGTCAACTCCCCTCCACTACTCCTCTTCTGCATCCACAGCTTCTCGACCACAGACATAGCAACCATCAGAACAGCCGTCTATGAAGCATGGTTGGACGACGTCACCAGATGGGACATCTGTGACATCCTATCCGAAGGGGATTTCCCCGAAGACAAAGTCCACACCACAGCGTGGGACTTCATCAGATCACTATGGATAGAGCGCCTCGACTTCAAGGTCAGCAGAGGCATCCTCCTCCCACATTACAATGTGTTCGCGATCAGTCCCACCAATAATCCCTTGGTCTGGACGAAGCTAAGAGCCTACCTTCACTCCCTAACCTACCCATCTGAACTTGAAGGAAACAGCATGGCAGTCAACTTCATGCCCTGCCCCCTCTGCCACTCAATTGCCCACCCCCATGGCCTCTGCCTGTTCCCAAACATTCCACTTTGGAACAGACCCAAACACAACACGACCGTGAGACACAACAATACGAGCCAAAGAGGTAGAGGCAAAGGGAGGAGAGCCCCCACCCGAGAACTCTCTTACTAGCTGACGCACATACTTGCCACCCCGCCCTCGTGATACTATAGCTAACATGCACATACACATACATCATGTAACTACGTACTCGAATAAACCCCCCTCACCAAAAAAAAAACCTAAATGATGCAAAAGTGTGCACAACCCTGACAGCAGCCACAAACCACATCATTTGGATCTACAGGGCTAGATCCAACTAACCCCTACACCTGTGGCCCAAATTTACTGATCGTGGAAGCAAGACAGGAAAGCCAAAGGAGCCCTAACGGCGTAAGCCAAAAACGGAGGCCTATTCAGGCCAAGGATTAGCCATGCTGAGAAGCTGAAGTAACCGCAGAAGACTCAATGAGTACAGGACTCGTTTTTTCAGATAGTGCGAACATCTATCCACTGTGGATGCCCAGGATATGACAGCCCTCGCCTCTCAATGGTCGTTCAGATGGCGTAGTAGTTCGACCACTCAGCAAACTTACAATCAAAACTCACTTTACAGTTCTTTTCCCGGCTTTGGTTCAAGCCTCCTGAGCAGCAGAGGGGAAAGCCCTCAAACCGCCAGGGCCAACCCAGATGATGCTACACAGGAGATTGGAGGCAGACCCCCAGCTCCAATGCCACACCAGGCAGACAACAACAATAGAGACACACCTCACATCAGAAAGAAAAAGAAAACGAGAGCTAACATTCTCCTCGCTACTCTGAACATGAAGGACCGTGCATCCCCCCAACTAAAGAACAGTGAAATATCAAAATGGTCAACAATCCAACACATTATGAGAGAGAAAATAGGCATACTATGCGTCCAAGAAACGCACCTACTGCCTGAACACAAAACACAAATAAGTGAACTATACTCACAAAGACTCAAAGTTATAAACTCGAGAGACCCACACCACACAGGTAATTCAGCAGGGGTAGCAGTAGTGCTCAACACTGAAATCTTCAACACGAATGAACTAGAAATGACAGTAATCATCCCCGGCAGAGCCTTGGCACTTAAAACAAAATGGCATAACACACACCTGACCATCGCCAACATATACACCCCAAACAACCACACACAACACACTGAGTTCTGGAACAAAATATCAAGAACCTGGCAAGAAAAATGTCTACCCAATCCAGACTTCATGATGGGAGACTTTAATATAACGGAAGACGCACTTGATTGGGCCCCAGCCCGCCCTGAAAATGAACAGGCACTAGACGCCCTCCGAGACCTAAGATTCCAGATCAATGTACAAGACACCTGGTGAATCAACAACCCATCATCACATCTCTTCACATTTTACAGTAATACAAACTCACATTCACGCCTAGACCACATATACACATCGCCAAACCATGAACACAACATATTTGGATGGGACTCGTGCACCTCGGCCATACCGACAGACCACAGAATGGTCCTCGTAAGATTCGCTCCATCAGACACACCTTTTGTTGGAAAAGGCCGCTGGTCCTGGCCAATAAGCCTGATAAACGATCAAAAACTCATTGAGAACATCAGCAAAGCCGGAAAACAAATACAACAAATTCGAAGATCACACTCAGAAAACCCACAACAAACTTGGGAGGAATTTAAATCACAAACCTGTCAGCTCGCAAAAATAACAGCAAAAGAACACCTGAATAAAATCAGAACAAGAACTAAACAACTTGAAAATGACCTACGAAGAACGGTAGCAAACAACGACATAGACAGCAATGAAAACACCCGAAGACAAAAAGCCTGGATTGAAAGTGAGATAAACCACCTAGAACACAAGAAAAGAAACAACTACACTCGCAAGCGAAATGGGCAGTGAAGGGCGAAACCATGAGCAAATACTGGTCGAGAATCAACAATAGTAAGACACCTCGCAACATAATATAAAAACTAAAGATACCCAACCAAAACCGATTTGCCTCCTGTTCCGACCAGATGGCTGAAATAGCACGATCTCACCACAAGAACCTACAAAAAGACAACATGTCCAAACAAGAAGCAGAAATAAGGCAAACTGAAATACAAAACACAATGAGCAAGATCCCGCAATCCCAGAAACTATGGAACGACAACTCACTACTACACAACCTCCTAAAAGAAAACCATATCCATGAAGCCTTGTATGCCTCAAAAGCAGGTAGTGCCGCTGGAATAGATGGAATCCCATACGAGATCTGGAAAAACCTACATGAAAAACACATCAACGATCAAAAGAAAGAACTACCTAGCTTTAACATAATCAAAACTCTCACACTAGTAATAAACGACATCCAGGAACATGGTGTCGATGACAATACAGACTTCACCCTGGGATGGATGTGCCCCATCTATAAGAAAAAGAGCGCACAGAAATAGAGAACTACAGACCGATCACCCTGCTGAACACCAACTATAAGATCCTCACGAAAGCACTAGCCATGCAATTAGCACGAGAAGTACACTCACTGATTCACTCCGACCAAAGCGGCTTCATACCTAAATGCTCCATTTTCGACCCCATACACCTGGCAAGACTAATGATTGAATATCCAGACATTGCTGAGGAAAACGGTGTCCTAATTGCGCTCGATCAAGAAAAAGCATATCACAAAATAAAACACGACTACCTAATAACAACCCTCGAAGCCTTCCAGCTCCCGCAAACCTTCATCACGACGGTCAAGGCCCTATATAAAAACACACACACTAAGGTGGCAATAAACAGCATACTAAGCGCCCCATTCCAAGTCACCAGAGGGGTACGCCAAGGCGACCCCCTCTCATGCCTCCTCTTCGACCTTGCAATTGAACCATTAGCATGCACCCTATGAAACTAAGAAAAACTCACAGGCTACAACATACTGGGACCAACAGACAAAATAATAGTAAACCTATACGCCGATGACACCACCATATATCTAAATGAGACGGACAAATATAGTGACCTAGAAACAATACTATTAAAGTGGTGTTGCGCATCTGGAGCAAAATTCAACCTCAAAAAAACCGAAATAATACCAATAGGATCAAAAACGCACCACGACAGAGTAATACAAACATGGCAACCAAACCACCTCAAACCGCCACTAAGCAACAGCATTAGAATAGCACTGGACGGCCACCCCATAAGGTCTTTAGGCGCCTGGATTGGTAACAAAACCAATGATGTAACCCCATGCGAACCTATACTGAAAAATGGCAAAAAGGCCACCCAACTCTAGACGGAAAAATAATAGTACAAATGATCACAGGTGGCATGACACAATTCCTAACTAAAGCACAAGGTATGCCAAAGAACATTGAAGCCACAATAACAAAGATCATACGCAACTTCATCTGGGACAATGCATGCACCCCCCCCCCATTAACCTAGAATGAATGCACCGCCCAAAAGAAGAAGGCGGAATTGGCCTACTCAACATCAAATTAAGAAATGAAGCAATAGAAGTAACATGGGTAAAATTGTACCTAGATCTTTCCCCATCCAGACCAGCATGGGCCTCAATAATGGACCTAATACTGAACAAAATAAGACTGAAATACAACAATAATGAAAACACTAACCCATTCCTCACATCATGGGTTCCTCCGAAAACTCTCAAAAGAACTTAAGAAAAGTCTCCCATCATGGTGCCATCCAGGCACACCTAAGAACACGTACCACAAATCAAAAAGTAAATGCCTAATAGACACACATAAATTGGACAACATCAAACACCTTCTAAAAATCAGAAAAAGACTAATGCAAATCAGCGAGAACGACCAACACTTCCCAAGAAAAACATGCCCCTGTACTGCATGTAATAAAGATCGAGATAAAGGATGCAATAATCCTCACACCTGTGCCCAACACGCAAATGAAATCCTGTTTAAAATCGCACCCAAATTCAACACCAAAACACAACCGAAAAAAGATGGACTATCGCTAACTCACCGCAGAAAAGAAAAGAACTATCAGGCACACCAAAGATGACAAGGGGAAATCCTCTTCAATCCCACAGTAATGATACAATCCAGCCTACCAGAATGCTTCAGAATCTTCCTAGACCCAAACAACACATCACTCACTGCAGCACACCACCTACAAGCACCGACAAGGGGCCTCAATCTCATACAGGACAACCTAACCATCTTCACTGACGGCTCATGCTTGAGCAATGGAAAAGACAACACACAAAGTGGATGCGGAATATGGATCAGAGAAAACCACCCCAAAAACCTTGCCTTCAGAATCCCAGGACAAAAACACTCAAACCAGATAGCAGAACTGTCAGCAATACTACTAGCACTGCAACGAACAGAACCATACATAACTATAACCTTTGTAACCGACTCCAGGTATGCCATTGATAGCTCAACCAAACACCTCCCACATTAGGAAGACACCGGATGGATCAGCATCGCAAATAGTGAATATATAAGAGCAACAGCATACCATCTACGAAGACAGTCAGCCCAAACCGCATTCATATGGGTAAAAGGACACAATGGACATCAAGGAAACGAACATGCTGATAGACTGCCAAAAGAAGGAGCCAACAAACCACAGCCAGACGAATTAGACTTAACCGTACCAAGTGAATTCAACCTACAAGGAGCAAAACTGTCAGCCATCTCACAATCCCTCGCATACAAAGGCATAAGAGAAAACATACCAACGATCCTGAGACAAAAAACCACGAACAACCTGGATGTTACCAGATTTGCAATACAAGAAATAACCGGACACCTAGAAACAGATGCCAGCATTTGGGAGGATAGCAGACACAAAGATATATCTCGCAAGACGAGACAGTTCCTGTACAAAGCCATGCACGGCGCACATAAAATCAGAGAATACTGGTCAAAAATACCAACATACGAACATTGGGCAAAATGCACCCACTGCAATGCAGACAATGAATCCCTGGAACACATTCTAATTGACTGCCCAATCCCTAATATGGTCCCTGGCCAAATGAACATGGCCCCTAAAATTTGGTAACTGGCCAAGGATAAGCATAGGAACAGTCCTAGGATGCGGAAACATAAACCTACCGCCATTAACTAGACAAAGTAACCCACCCGAAAATCAACCAGCAAACAACTCACAAAAAGGTGCCTCCAGACTCCTGAAAATTCTGGCTCAATTTCTCTCAATAGTTCACAATGTCACAGCATGACCTTCCTGATGATGATCCCGACGAGCTGAGTGGAGTGCAACCGAATGTATCTCAGGATCCCATGGATGACATACTAGCTACAATCGCGTCAGAGGAGACTGAGGACATGCCAGACCACATTTATATTTTTTCACAGCCTTCATCTTGGACTCATTAGAGGCTACAATTTTAATCTGTAACATAGCATTCAGAACCACCTCAGTTATCTGTGTACTACTAGTATGCACTAACACTACTTATGTTGAACTTCTTTTTGACTGCAGAGGCCGGTAAAATGCCACGGCACATGACCTCGGTGATACTCGTGACTCATCTGTTCACTTCCAGAAGTTGCCGCTATGGTGCACATACATGTTGAATGTGTGTATCGTTGGCATATCATATCTGTTCAAATTCTATCTGTGTACATCAACATCATACTTAGGACTTGATGATTCCTGTGCATGTCAATGGGAGGTATCGGCTGAAAGACAAAGTAGGGTCAGGTGCTTATGGTAAGTGAATTGTTTTTATTATTACATCTCACTGCGAGGACTGGACTTTGTGACAGGCGAAGTGTATCATGCAAGTGATATCATTGGCGACGGTGATGTGGTTGTCAAGCTTCAATGTATTACTGGCACCACCACCACCAGCTTGGAGCACGAGTATAATGTGCTCAGGCAACTTGGTGATACTGTTGGCATCCCCCATGTCCACTGGTTTGGACGGGAGGACAGTTATGATGCCCTAGTCCTTGATCGTCTTGGACAGTCGCTTGAGAGTGTATTCAAGGAATATCAACACTCATTCAGCTACAACACTATAGTGTTCATAGCTCATCAGCTCATAAGTATTTCCTAAATCACATGTACTGATTCTAACATTTTCACTAGGTCTGCCGCCTCCAGTACATTCACTCCATACACTTCATTCATCGCGACTTGAAGCCCACCAACATTCTTATCGGAACTGGCAAGGATGCGCACAAGATTTTTCTTGTCGACTTTGGCATTTCCAAACAATACAGATGTCCACGCACTCACCTCCATATTGCATTCAAACAAACCGCCTCCTTGACAGGAACTCCAGCTTTCACATCCATCAATAGCCATGCAGGTATGGAGCTAGGACGTCATGATGATATTGAGTCCCTCGCATACCTCTTAATCCACCTATTTCGTGGATCTCTACCTTGGCTTTGCTGTAGTGGCATCTCTGACAAGCAAGTTGTTGAGATGAAGTATGATACGATGAAGTTGTGCCAAGACCTTCCTGAAGAGGTTAAACAGATCCTCACCTATTCACGTTCCCTCTCGTTTGACCAGAAACCAGACTATGCATTCTTATGTCGCCTTCTTCAGCGCATCAACAGTACATCTGAGTCTTGCCAGCAGGACCATGTACCCAACTGGTCCACTGTTTCCCCCGCACCTTGCAAGACCCCCAATGGCAATGCAGATTCCACCATGCCCCGCCGCTCATGTCATTTGAAGGTGCAGGCTTCTTCTCTGTGCGCTATGTATTCCCTGCGCAGCAACCGCCACCCTTGGACTGTACAGAAATAAGTGCTACTTCAATAAATGTGAGTACACTTATTCTTTAATATTCATAAAGTTGTTGACTTAAATGGTCTGCAGGTCTATGTCACACAATAACTCATGTCTTACTGTGTTGTATTCTTGTTTGTATGTCAAAAATTCATATAACTACTTGACCGCAACAATATGAGTGAATTTGAGCCTTCTGTGATTTGGTTCAAGCTGGCTTGAGCTGTGGCTCTATGAGCCTTAGCTAAAGCTGACTCATATGGCTAGCCACAGCAGGCCAGGCCGGATATAATGGCTTAGCTCACTATAAATAGCTGAGCTGTGGCAACACTAGAACTTGGAACAAGTCAAACATGTTGCTTTCTAATGGTTGTTATTTAGTACATGACTGATACATGACTGATATATCACTCACTTTGCAGGTGCTCCATGAGTCAGAGACTTTGGCCGCTTCTTTGATGCTGAATTCTCTTTGCCGATGGAGTCAGCAACATCATTGAGGTTGACTCCTTGTGCTCTTGTTTTGGTTGTCCCAATGCAAGGGACTCAATGTAGAGACTCACATCTCCACAGACACTTCTCTCGAATTCTTCCACTTCCCTCACAAACTCCAGCTCTAATCCAAAGGATACATCTTGCGCAATAGTGCACTATATTTTATTTTGCAGATTCCATGCACAGCCACTCGCATCTTGCGCGCACCACATGTCTGCCCTCACATCATCCGCATACTCGTCCGTCCGTCCTCCCCATGTCCTTAGATGTTCATTGGTGCGTTTTCTCACTATATTCCCATTTTGACTAATTGTTTTCCATCACTAATGCTCAGGTTTGCACTTTGTGCACAGCCGAGACCCTGTTACATACTTCATGTACTATTTATAGCCTGTTCAGCTTGCTAATTCGGACCTGCGTGCCTAGCGATGCTTAATTATTTTACATATACTATCCCTCTACTCTATATTCCGGGTCGATTTTCCGCCCACTTTCTCTGTGTCCTTAGATACAAGGGAATTTTACTTGTTGAGTGCAGTGACTATCTAAGTCTCTCACATTAGTTGTCCGCCCTTTGCCTTAGCATCAGCCAACCTTAGTTGGGGTGTTAACAGTAGTCTTGCTTCATCTCTCTCTCATCTTGTTTGCTCATCCTTACTTTGCACTCACTCGTGCGCACTACCTTCGTGTTGCACATCTTGCCCTTTGCCTTTTGCACTCATGTGTCCGCCTATCGTTTATCGCATCGCTCCCGCCTCCCCTTGATGTATGACTTGAGGTACTGGGCCTTGTCATGACAATGTTTTATGTATGAGACTTTTTGTTGTGCTACAGTATATAATGTATGAGTACTACAAGAACAGGTGCCTGCAATGCCATTTTAAATAACTTTGCCACTGATATTTTGTAGCTCATCCACGGTCCTGTCACCCACCAGGGACAGGCTTCTTTTGCATAATATCAAGATTGGATTTGATATGGTTGACATCACCATGCATACATCTTGTTCCATTCAATTCCATGTCAGTGCTGTCAACCACCGGCCTCTCTCAGCGGCATTCATCAATGGAGGCAGAAACTTGGTGGCGCCCGATGGCTATGGAAAGCTTTTCTTCTGAGAATCAGCTTCTACTAATTTATTGTGGTCAATCGAATCAGGATGCTGTAAGTGTTAAAACTCCCTTCAATGGAAATTCTGTGCAAATATATACTAATGGCTTCATGCGCAGCAAACATACAGGCTCTGGCAGTAAGTCAAAGCTTCAATAATTTTGTGTGCACCTTGTGATGATATTTGTGCGGTTCTGTAAGACACCGACCACAGATATACAGGTTTGCTCTCTGGCATTTTCTGGAGAGTTTATAACAAACACAAATGAAGACGGTCATCATGTCGTATTTGTCTGGCAACTCACCCGTGAGACATTGTTACTTCTCCAAGGAGAAAATTAACCTGTTTGCCTGCCTGAGAAGAACCAGAATTGCGATCTCGAGACAACCACTGTGTAGAGAGCCTGCAGCCATCGCTCTACATTGCATTGGCACGCCAGACCTGTCGTGCAAGCAGTGATGAAGGTAGTCATCAGGATCAAGCCAAGCATGATGCACTGTTCATACTTCCCTAGAATTAAGCTGGGACACAAGCCATACAAACAGATTTTATTGAACCTTGGCTCACTCATACTGACATGTCCCCTTTATGTGGTGTCCGCATGGGTGTGTCGCTTACATTACATGTTTCTTTTCGCCTGTAACTCATCTCTATCCAGATCCATGCATTCAGGATGGTCCCATACCTAATCACCACAAGCCAACACATGTGTCAGATGCATGAAAGATAGAAGAGCTTGATTCAAATCCTCAGCGCAAGGATCCAGTGCCCCTGTTGTCTAGCCTGCATGTTGCGGCACAATGCATCCCTATCCCTACAACTGGGATGATCCCAGATGATAAAGATTCTATGCCTAAATCTCCATCGATCATGGGCGTCAAGTCAGTGCTAGCTGTTCAAACAAGAGAATTGTTTTTAGGATCTGGCAGGTTGGCGAATTGGATGGTTCTCCATGAGAAGAGGCATAAATGCACGCCCATGATCTGTAGGGTATTGTCCAAGGTACTAACTTATCTCGCATGTTTGAGTGCTTTGATGATCTTTCTGTGTCCAGTGGAGGGTTACATTGAGGCTCGATCCAGCCTTGGGGCTACTAATTACAGGTGTCATATGAGTCTGTTATCTGATGTCCTTAATCTTACCTAGACTTAGTAATAGCATACACTACGTCAACATGTCCCTACCAATGTAGGGTCCATTGCACTTGGCTTGATATGCAGCACTATCAGTCCAGCTGACCGTATATAAGGCTGTTTTTGATGACTCACTTCTACTGGTAGTGACCCTCTGCATCCATCAAATCAATGACCACCTTCACAGTGGGTTCAGTTAAGTCGATATACTCTTTGAATGTACAAGTAGAACTATGGGCACACCTGTGAACATTATTAATACATGAATAATAGCTCACTCAATTAAACTACCGATGGCATATTGCATTTTCGAAAGTATGGTACAAGCAAATTAGATGTGATTGTTGGCTAACAAATTGGCAGCAAAGAGGGCATTAGGGATGCCGCTTCAGTTGAGAATTAATGCATATAGCACAAAACAGATGTCCTAGTACACTTTTTTGTTAGTGAGATCAGGTTGCAACTTAGCTGAGACAAAACAAACAAACCACATGGTGTGACCAAGGGTATCACTCTTGTGTCATGAAATTTGAGATGACATACAGGACATGTAGACATGGTGATTGGCTGATCGGTATATATCTGTAGGCTCTATATATATACAAACACCTGGATGTCACTGAATGTAAATATTTATGATCTTATAAGTGTCTTACATGCACGGGAGAGGCACGACTCTATTGCATTTTCAAAATCTGGGATGAACCAGCAACTATAGTAGTAGGAGGCCGTGCTATTGCTTAGTAATTACAGCAAACAAGAGTCATCCTTTGCTTGGCCAAATTCCAACATGATACAAATCCCTCCATAACGCTATATTTCACCGGAACTCATCTCTCAGGTTCGCAACATGCTGAGCCAGATCCTTCACGTTCAGAGTCTATGTCACCTGTCTGAAGGGGACAGCAAACAACTCAACTTATTAGTACTTGGAGGAGGGTTTACTTTATAGCACTCGAGGATGTCGATATGGTTTGTTTAATCTTGTTCTTTTTGAGACCCCCTTTAAATTATTAGCTGTGCCTCAGCAGACTTTGTAGCAATCTTTGATTGCAGTGCTCTTAACCTCACACTCCACCACCAGATGGGCATTGTGAGATAACAATACCTGGATTATTTACTTGACTATTTCTATCAGAGATGGTGACCCAATCACAGCTCTGGACTACAGATCTGGTACTAGTCTCATTGTGGCATCTGCACAGCCACCAACTAGCAGCCCATACGGCCTTTGGTTACTCTTTTGCCAGGTTCGGCACGATGTGCAAAACATTCATACGTCAGATACCAGTGTCTTCCACCAGATGTATTCCCACAGGTAAGACAGGTCTTTTGTGCCTGAATGTGCTAACAATGAATGGACTTGGTCTATCAGCAATTCACGTAATTTTTGCTTCCCACCAGGATGTCTGGGATGCATAGCAGCTCCCTATCCTGCAGGTGCAACCTCAGAAGTCCATCCTGCAGGACAAAATTCTTATAGGACTTAGGTGCATCCAGGATGGTCTTGAAGAATGGGTCTTCCTCATACCCTTTAACTTCAGACAGCATTGCCTCCTTTTCAGGGCATGTTAATGGTTTGGAGTGGTGGCTTGGTCAGCCCTTCTTTCACAGATGTTGTCATCTGGTATGGCTCAGGCTCAGGGTTTGGCTCCTTTAGGTGCACCCCTCCCTCCTTTCCTTCGACAAGACCCTTAAGGATGAAACAATCGCACATCCGCCATGTAAATTCAGCCGAAGTCTCGGGTCGACTGGTTTCCGCGGGTTCGATGGGTTGTCAGACCCATGGGTGTCATGCAGTGGGGCTGATGGGTAAGCAAGAGGATCTCATTTTGTGCGACATGTAGGCTGATTTGTGGTTCATGTTAGCTTCTGATGACCGAAATCTCGGTCTTGACTCCACATTCAGAGCCTATTTGAATTCTTGCTATATTTGCTAGGTTGTCGAGCCATGCTGAGTTTCAGAGGTGTGCAGAGAGCTCACATGGAAGTCACCACACGGAATGAATACATGGCTGGCAATAATTGTGACCCTAGCACACTTCGATAGAGAAAATCACATGGGGAGATGGAACCATGTTATTCTGTTATGCAGGATGAATAGCATTACTTATGCAGGGCCTAGTAATATAATGTATCCTATTGCTAATGGGCAGAAAAATGAGAATATTTGTGGAAGACATGGGCGGCGTCACTCAAATTTAAGTCCTCAAGAACAAACATTGACCTTGGTAGATTAAGTAAGTATCTGGGGTCTTCAGCCTTTTCTTACCCTTTCACCAGTGGCAATTTTTGACAATGAATCCTATTGTCAAAGGCAAATAAAAGGGTATCATTTTCTCAAGCGAGTTGCAATGGTAGATACTGCACCCTTTAAATGCTCATCCTAGGGTTAGATAATAACATACTTTGTACGTCGCATATATGTTAGCCTTTCCATCTGCTAAAAATAATATAAACAAGCCTAGCCTTTAATCAACCCAGATGTTCTTGGATATTGCAAGGCGAAGATTGATCATCTGTTTGCATACAAAAGACCAATGTGTTGATACCATTCTGAATCTCAATACTTCTGACATCTCTTTTGAGAAAAAGTCTAAGGTTCACCCACAGCATCTCAGTTGCAAAGAATTAAATTTAGCACGTTCCTCAAAGGCAGCCTTTCGGTTACCTGTCAGTATCAAATATTTGGAAACCTTCCGCCAGTCCTTTTCTGCATGTGTATTTTAACCTATGCAAATAAAAGTTTTGTTTCCATTAGACATGCCAGTTGGAAGGCAATGTTGCTTGAAATAAATGCTTTGTAAATTGACAGTCCATACAGTCATAATGATACATATAATGTATTGTAATGACCAAGAAAAATAGGATACATTAATGAGGTGAATGAGCAGGTGCTTTTGAGCTACCACAGTGATGTATCCATGAGGAGGATCCCATTCCGCTTCTTACCACTTTAGGTTATGTATCCGATAAATTGCTGTTAGGCTATCATTACTGATGTATCTGTTCGCCGGATCATATGAGCGTGGTTTTAGCTGATGTATCCAATACATAAGTTACTGTTAGGCTACATACTGACTATCCTACTGATGTATCCGTTTGGCAGATCATACGAGCATGGGTACTTCTGGGTCCTTGTACTAATCCTTCACCGTTTTAGGTGATGTATCTGATACATTACTGTTAGGCTATCATACTGACTATCCTACTGATGTATCCGTTCGGCGGATCATACAAGCACAGGTACTTCCAGGTCTTTGTGCTCATCCTTCACTATTTTAGGTGATGTATCTGATACATTATTGTTAGGCTATCATACTGACTATCCTACTGATGTATCCATTTGGCAGGTTGTACGAGCGCAGGTGCTTCCAGGTCTATGTACTCATCCTTCACCATTTCAGGTGATGTATCCAATACATTGCTGTTAGGCTGTCATACTGATGTATCCATTCAGTGGCAGGTTGTCCTTCTCTACCATTTAGGTGATGTATCTGATGCATCTGAGTTGTTGAATCACTTGCTGCTGTTAAAGAGGTTAATTGTTACCTGTTCCTTCTCTACCATCTAGGTGATGTATCCAATACATCGTTTTAATGGGCTATCATACTGATGTATCCATTCAGTGGCAGCCTGCCCTTCTCTACTACTGAGGTGATGTATCTGATACATCCAAGTCGTTTTGACTCACTTATTACTATTAGTATTAAGTAGGCTAACAATTATGATCATACTAAAGTGATGTATCCGATACATTGTAGCTCATTCAGCCATGTTTGAAATTAGATTTTGCACATGGACCTTACAGTCAGCACTCGTCAACTATGTCAAGTCATCAATTTTCAATAGTTCCATGTTTCACTTTAAACACCCAACATGAAAGGTAGAAACACTAAATTTGCATGTGACAAAACCCTTCTCCCACTAACTGTGGCGAGTCGGGGATGCAACTACATAAGTACATATTGTAGATAAGATATTTGATATCAAAAGGAAGTGTATGTAACGACTTAGACATTTTTTTTGCTTCCTGTACAAATATAATTAGTTTTGAATGCTCCAGAGTGTTAGCATTGAGTATGACTTACTTCTTATAAGCACCGTTTACAGTAGAACTCCCCCGTTTCCTTGAGCTGGCAATTTCTGACCCAATTGAGTTGGCAATTTCATTGCGCTTGGAAATTTGCCGAACTCATTTGCCATGACTGACAATTGGTGACACGGTCACCTTGCTGGAGGGTGTAGGCTCTGCCGAGGTGGAGCTGGACACAGGTGCAGACTCTGCCAAGGTGGGACCGACAATCAGTGACACGGTCACCTTACTGGAGGGTGTAGGCTCTGCCAAGGTGGAGCTGGACACGGGTGCAGACTCTGCCAAGGTGGACACAGGTGCAGGCTCTATGGATGTGGACATGGGGGAAGGCTCTACTGAGGTGGACACAGGTGCAGGCTCTGTGGATGTGGACATGAGGGAAGGCTCCACAGATGTGGAAGGCTCCATGGAGGTAGACTTGGAAGGAGCCCGTGGATGTGACTTGACAGGAATGGAGGGAGCTTGTGAATGGGACTCGACAGGAACCATGACATCCTTTGTGATAAGATCAGTAATCATGTATTTGTGGAATTTCCTGAGTCCCGTATGTACTCAAGAACTCATAGAATCCCTCTGCAGCCAGCATCAAAGAGATGACATTGGAGCCCAAGCGCATCGAAGAGACAGCATCAGAATCCAAGCGCATCGGAGAAGCTGAATGCAAAGGACATAATGGGGGCATTGTTGATAATGGAGACTGAGAAGACGAGGATCCGAGCGGTTCGGATTTATGAGGGAATGATATGGAGGACACCATTAAGATATCATGTGGGAATTTTTCTACCATCTCTGATACATCATAGGTGCTGTCGACGTCTTTCAATAACTCAGGCTCTAGTGTCGAATGTTGACTTGCACTATAAACACTTCCTTGTTCCTTTACTGCTGCAACCGCTATCAAGGCACAAGTCAGGAACATTCCAAATTTGGTTTAACGCACAGGTCAGACTCGGACTTATGAAACATGCACTTGGTGAACTCTTTCCATGGCCGCATGATCCCTGAGTCAAACTCAGGATATACTTGGTCGAACTGGTTTCCAACTTCAGTCGCACCAACATGAAAACTCTGGACGACAATCTTCCCTCCCATGGCTGGTGTTGGGCCACCCATAAGGACTGTGAAAACATAACCGGTAAGCCTCTGAAGCTCATTGAAGAATTCTGTGAGAGCACCAGGGAGTCTATCAATATATCTGTAGATGCAAGTTGCAGGTGAGCACTGGTACTCATGCCAATGTGTAGTTTCAACTGACACTTGATGGTCAACCACCTCTGTGCCCTTTGTCTCCTCCAACTCTGTCTTCTTCTTTTGCTTTGCTTCTTCAATGAACATCGCTACATGTTGTTTGACGTCATCGGATGCAGAGTTATACAGCATGCTGGTTTGCTTTCTGATAACCATTAGCTTAGATTGGGATCTTGACCTCTGTTTTCTCAGCTGCAGTCTTTGCCTCTGCCTCAGCTTTTGCTGTCGAGAAGGCAAGATCAAGAGTGGGCTTGATTATATTGTTGAAGAACAACTTTGAGAACACCTCTGTTGCTTGTGGACCGCGGACAGGTCTCGTGTTGCTCATCATCTGGGCAACCATACTCTTTCTACTAATTACGGCTGTCATTAGGGATGTGCTCGTGCATGTGCCCGCTGTCGTCACATCTGCAGTCATCATTCTATTATTGCGGTTTTTGTTGTGACAGTTGACTTTAGATGAGCCCATATCATTTTTGAATTTATTTATGATTTGCTGATGTCACAATTCTCATAAGGGCGCGTGTTTGACCTAAGAATATTACAGTCATGTACCTGTTGATGGTTTTCGACAGCCTTGCCAACCACAGTCTTTTGCTTGACTGTGAACTCAACATCGAGGGGGATAGATGTGAAGCCATTCTGGGAATTTTTTGAACCATTCTTCGAATACTGGCTTCCAAAATCCAGTATAGTTGTGCTTTGCTTGACATACTTGGTATTTAGCTGAGTGTTCTTGAAAGAAAGTTTCTTCTTTGGGGGTAGCCCACTTCGGCGGTGCCATCTACTATTCATTGTAAGTGACATAACCATTATGTGAATATTTAATAACACCCATGGTTTTTGTTCAAGGTGTCAATGGGCAAGTGAAATAAAAAAGAGAATGAAGGCTATTGAAGCACTCGTTTGGGGTGTGCATGGTGCATGGACCATCGAAGTGTGTCTGATACAAGATTTAGGTAGTTAAATTTCTATCTATGTACCCTGTATAGCACTGGGGCCTATACACCATTACTGTCATTGTTGTTCTCATAGTTAAAATATAACAGCAGCATCTCAGAAACTTTGAGATTGGGAAATAAACACAGTTAAATGATTGCTTGAGAGATGCCTCAGCAGCTTGTACAGTTAGAAGTTAGTAAGTAGTGGTAGTTTTGCATTATTAAGTGGCTGTCATTCTACAGTTTTGGTCCGACTACAAACCAAGTTCTAGGTTGTCTGCAGTGTCTATGTTCATGGTGTGCGCATATCTAACATATAACAGGAACCTAATTCAAGCCATTGCCTCAATTCAAGGCTTAACTGTATTATGATATCGTAGATCAGTATCTGTATTGATAGTTAGCTATGTATAATATTATTAGTTTCTGTCTGACTACTATCAAAGGTATGACTCCGTGCCATGGTTCAAGAAGCTACTGCTTCTTTTCAACCTTTTTCTACCAACCACACCACAATGCTACAACCTCTGCAACCAAAATTATGCCACATCCTCCTATTCATATGACACTTGAGGCAAAATGGCAAGCAAGTCGTGAAAAAAACCAACACCATTAGGAAAAGTAAGACTAATCACTCATATTAATTGTGTCCAATCGTACCTGACTGGTCAACCAATTGAAGGAATAGAGACAGAATCTTAAGCTGGTGGAGACAACTTTGTGTTGAACAGAACACGGGGCCATCAGAGCTCCAGAAAGCAATCACAAAAGCCCTGCATAGCTATGACTCCGATGAACATGAAGATGAAGATGAGCTGGAGACATTAGGCAATTCTAGTGAGGAGAACGATGACAACACACCATATGTCATTTTATAAATAGAAAGTAAAATGAACATGAAATTAATAACCCACAGATACAGATCAGATCTTCTGGAATGTCTGCTTGCTATAAAAAGGATCAAAGATGACATGTTGTCGTTGATTGATGAACCTTGCACATTCACTGAGGCACTCTTGCTTCAGTTCGTAAAAAGCATTACATACACAGATGACTGCGCTGACAATGGTGATCAAACTATTGTCACGGATATGATAGCCAAAGTCTGACACTTACTCAATCAAGCCATCCCTGTTCAAGACAAAATCCATAATTTCTGTGGTTCCTTAGCAGCTGAGTTTAGTGCTGCTAACACAGTCTGTCGTTATCTCAATACCACACTTGCTTATTTGGAAGACATCAAGTTCTACTTCGATGTAGAGGGGATTTCAGAACTCTGCGTTGCTCACTCTATGGGGGAGTTAATGTATCAGAAGGGTTATCATCTCTGAGTCTTTCCATTGAGTGGCCTCCGTACAATTGTAAATCATCTAGTATATTTTTGCACCAATGTAACTTGATTTCATTGCATGTGACAGTGGACATGGCTCTTTTTGATTCCAGATGGTCTTGAGCCCATGATATGCTGACAAATCATGTGTTGACTATGTCTTCTGGCAGCAGAATGAAATGTGGATGACCATCCAAAAAACCTCGACTCAGACAATATATAGAATGCTCAGATGACAACTCAAAGTATCTTTGCCATCACTCTTTTGCCGTCTGTGATGATGGCTCTCTATCTTTACGAACAACATTTATGACTTCTCAACCTGACATAGTGCCGCAACCAAGTCCCGAGTGCTCTGAACGATTTTTTGATGCCTGGGATGAGACACTACCAAGCGAACCCAACAACCCTTCCATTGAGAATGTGGACTCAATACCTTCCACAAAAAAGAAAAAAAAATACTGGTGTGTATACTACTGGAAATGCACCTTCCTTAGTTTTCAGGCTAATGTTTGTTTGTCAGAATATTCCCTTGCTTCAGTGGATACCAGAACAGTCCTCATACCTAGATGAGATGATCTGTCTAGAGGGCCATGGTGATGAAATCCCTTGAGAAGTATGTGCTTGCAAGGGTGAAGAACCATTACTTTACCGCTGCTGGGATTGCTTTGAGGCAGAAATGGTGTGTCGTTCATGTATGCTTCAACAGCATGTACATAATCCACTCCATAGAGTCGAGGTACATTTATCAAGCATCAATTCAGCTGCAGCACTTGACAACTTACTCGCCCTTAGGAGTGGAGTGGCACATTTTTGTGCAAGCCTCTCTGAAGCTGCTTGGCTTGTGTGTCCAGTTGGGCCACAATCTAGGAGAGAAGTGTTACAATCCTGAGTGTGCTGCTGGCGATGATTTTGTTGTTATAGATGTCCATGGTATTCATGAAATCGGCCTGGATATTTGTGGCTGTGAGACGGCCCAAATCCATTACAAGCAGCTTATTCGTGCACAATGGTTTCCAGCTACAGCAATAAGTCCTCATACTGCTGCCACATTTGCACCCATGGAGTTCTTTCACCTACTTACATTTGAATCAAAGGTCTCTGCATACGAGTTGTATCATAGTATTGCTAGACAGACAGATAATACTGGTATCACACCAATTATGGTGCATCACCTCATTGATATCATCAGTTTTTCTGCTCACTGCAATTCCAGGATTGTTATTCAGCATTCATGCACATGGTTTGTTAATGGCGCAACCTCAAAGGACTCGAGCAAGCGGGAAGGGGCCATGATCCCAGCGGTGTCAATGCAACTTCTGCTGCAGAATGTGTTGTATCTTGTCCGGCATGTCCTCATCCTGGAAATAATTTACCAGAGGACTGGGAGGACGCACCACAAGACACCAGGTATGTAACTAAGTTCAGACTCACAGTAACCATTGAGTCTTCACTGTAATATTTGTTACATGGAAATATGGTCTGTTGCAAAAGGAACCTACAAGTCAAAAGGGCACAGAGAAGCAAAGGAATGTAAGTATGAATGCTGCTGTACAAATTTGAAAATGGTACTGAGGCGAAGGCTATCATTGTATTTAGACTCAGGTCCTATCGATGTTCATCAAAGCCAACTCGGAAATTCATATCCGGACGTCGATAATCAGGACTCGGTAATCAGGACACAATATCTGGACCCTTGATGACACTCAAGCACCAACACATTCAGTGCGAGGGAGTGGGGATTCAGTTGTGGTGTGCAGTTACAAAAGGCCGGCCCTGGGTTGGAGTAGCGCAGAAGACATCATCGACCTTACGCTAGGCAATGCTAAGAAGAACAGTCTGTTGCAAAAAGAACCTACAAGTCAAAAGGGCACAGAGAAGCAAAGAAATGTAAGTATGAATACTCCTGTACAAATTTGAAAATGGGACTGGGGTGATGGCTATCATTGTATTTAGACTCAGATCCTATCGACAGTCATCAAGGCCAGGAGCTCAGTAACCAGGTCTCGGCACTCGGGTCTTGATATTTGGACCTTGGTAATCGGGTCTCGGCACTCGGGTGTCAATACTCAGACCTCGGTAGTTATGTTCTGGGAGTTGGGAATTGGTAATGGAGACCCGGAACTCAGAGTTCAATATTCGGCAGTAAACATTTGGTACTCGACACTTGGTACCCGACATTTCGGAACTCGGTAATTGGGACTCGATATCTGGAACTTGGTAATCAATATTTGGAACTTGACACTCAATATTCAGAGTTCAGTGTAGCGATGGTCGCGGCGTTGGGCTCGAAACCACGTATTTTCATACTCACATCAACACCCGAAACATATGCGCACATGTCCGACGCACTTTCGCACATGTCCGAGCCACTCCATATCGGATCCGGCGCATCGGACCTTCGGACATCGCATCGGCCGATTGCACTTCGCGTGCACTTGTCCATCCCGTGTCTTGTCCATCCAAACTAGCCTCACTAGGTGCGTAGCTATTCCCGTGCACATTTTCTGACATTCGGACCACATTATTACATGTCCGCAGCACCTCGTGTCTTATTACATAGGACATCGGACCCGAAATATATCGCTACTATCTTCGCCTGTAGTTTTCCGAATTTCTACGTACTTACTTAAATACTCTGTAGTGACCCATAGCAATCATCATCCAGTAGTTAGGAGCCGTTTCCCGACTCTGCGGATCACCCAGAATATTCTCTTGGTTCTTAGTTGCATTGCGACTGGAGGGTGGGTTGGCCTTTTGGGAGAGGCTGGTTCATGCTGTATTCTGCAATGAGGTCGATGAGAGGTTGTGTGGCATTGTAGTCCATTAGGTGAGTGTTTCTTTCTTCTTCCCATAGAGGGTGATGGTGGTTGAAATCGCCAAGCCATATCATGTGGTTGTTGATGGTCAGGCATATTAGGGCGATGTTGGTGGAGAGGAAGTCGTCGAGGGCTTGGATGGTGTGTTTTGTTGTGAAAAGAGTGCATTTACCAAAGGAGCAGTAGAATTGGATGACTACTACGTCGGAGGAGGGGAATGATAGTTGTTTCCAGTCATTCGTGTTGAGTGCAGAGCTGACGAGGGTGACGGCGCGGGTCTTCTGTTTTGGGTGAGTGTAGTGTTGGGTAGGGTAAAGGGTGTGCCATTGTCTGTTGGATTTGGTGTTGCGGAGTCGGTCTTCACATGCTTCTTGAAGGGCAAGGATGTCCCAGTTTCATGCTGTTGGGCTGTTGAGGATGGATTCTTGTGCTGCTCAAGAGTTGTTGAGGTTCTGTTGCTAGATGCATAGCCGGGTGGGTGTTGGATCTGGTTGTTCAGACATGGGCTATGGGCAAGTTGAGGGATCTGATGAGTGATTGCTGTGGTGACATTGAAGATGGAGGGAACCAGAGAGGTAGCTGCTTTGGGAGGAAGGGTAGTGTGAGTCCATGTTTTGCAGGTGGGGAAGTAGGGCAGAGAGTTTTCGGGGTACTTAGCACTGAGTTCGTCACACTTTTGTTTGAACTCTGGACAACCTCTGCTTCAGCTGGTGTGGTTGTCGCTGTGGCAGTTGACACATCAGAGGGTCCTGTAGGCATTGCAGTTCGTTGTGCGGTGGTTGTCGGCGCATGTGCCGCAGATGTTTCTGCTGATGTTGCAGTTGTGGGCGATGTGTCCATGTCGTTGGCATTTAGCACATCAGATTGGTTCCTTAAGGTCTTTCTTGATATGTACCAGGTGGTGGTCGATGTAGAGGCCGTCTTTAATCAGTTTGTTGGCAGTGTTCACGTTGTTGACCTGGATAGTGGTGAAGGCCATTGTTTGGGTATGGGACCGCTTGTGTGGGGGCTTGATCCATCTCATTGAGGC